GTTTTGACCATGCATCACATCACTAAATTTGGGCAGCCACGTGATAGCCTAGGCGCGTCTTGGGGTGGACGCGATTCACCCGTTATCGCGCCCCTCACATCTTGCCCACAACCCGTGGACTCAATCTTTTACTTCAATAACAGGGTCCTTGAATTTCTCGGCGCGTTGCTCCCTCAGGGAAGCCGCTGGCAAGATGGGAAAACTCATTCGTTTGGAGCTTTTCAGTATGTACGACCGGAAGATCTGCCGCGGGCAATAGCTAACTTTGTCACTAGACTTCAAGTCCTACAAGGGACACCATGTCCTCCTATTCGGAGATGCATATTTCACATCGATTATCGGCCCAAATGGGTCTGGCAAGTCAAACTCGTGAGTGCCTCCTAGGCTTAGTTCAAAGAGCCCGAGGCTAATGCGCATTAGGATGGATGCCATATCTTTCGTTCTAGGAATTAAGTCTTCTCACCTGCGATCAACTAATCTCCGTGATCTTGTGTACCGCGGCCGTGTTTTGCGCACATCCAAAGTGGATGGAGAGCCTGCTGCTGATGAGCAGGATGGCGAGCAAGAGGAGGACCCGGAGAGTATGGATGTATCCCAAGATGCCGGTGGAAACGACCCGAAGTCCGCATGGGTGATGGCAGTCTATGAGGATGATGCAGGTGAGGAGCAGCAATGGCGCCGGTCTATCACCAGTCAGGGTGTCAGCGAGTACCGCATCAACAACCGAATCGTGTCCGCCCATCAATACAACGAAGCTCTAGAGGAGGAGAATATCCTGATCAAGGCCCGCAATTTCCTTGTGTTCCAGGGTGATGTTGAAGCGATCGCATCGCAGTCACCAAAAGACCTCACCCGGTTGATTGAGCAGATCTCTGGCAGTCTGGAGCACAAGGCTGATTATGAAAAGTTCAAGGCAGAGGCGGAGGAGGCTGCAGAACAGCAAACCATCCAGCTCAATCGTCGAAGAGGCATCAATTCCGAAGTCAAGCAATATCAGGAACAGAAGCGAGAGGCCGAAAACTATGCGAAAAAGGCCGAAGAACGCGACCAGGCCATTATCACTCATATCTTGTGGAAGCTGTTTCACTTCCAGCGGCTGATCGATGACTCCAGTGCGGATATCCAGAAGTACCAAGATGAGCTCAAGGAGTACCGCCGTGGCGTTGAGAAATATGAGAAGAACGTCGAAGACGCCAAGAAAGAGCACGCTCGAGTCGGCAGAGATGTTGGCAAGGCCGAGAGAAATATAACGAAAAAGGAGAGGGATATTGAAGAACTCAACAACTCGCTTGTGCCTGTGGACGAGAAGATCGACATCACCCAGAAGAAGGTTGAAAGATACTGTTCAAAAATTACTGAGATCGAAAAGGAGCGCACGTCACAATCCAACAATGGCAAGCAACTAGAAAAAGATCTCGGGCTGGTTGAGAAAGCTCAGGCCCAGTGGGAAACTGAATGGCAGAAGACGATGAGCAAGAAGGGTGTCCAGCTGAGCGAAGCCGATCAGCAGGAGTATCACAAGCTCAGAGAAGAAGTCAATCGACGTTCATCAGCGGACTCCTTAAACCTTGACAACCTGCGCCGGCAGAGAAAGACCGAAGCCGAAGCAGTCAACAGCTTGAAGGGCAAGTTTGAGAACACCGAATGGCAACTGAAGTCTGTTGAATCCGATGCCCAGAACATGAACGAACGCAAGTCGGCTCTCAATGACACCGTCAAGTCCACCTCCAAAGATATCGACCGTAAGAAGAAGGAGCTGAACGCATTGACTTCCGAGCGTTTAAAGGTCTCACAAATGCGGACCGAGCTAGAGGAAAAGCTTCAGGTCGTGTTAAGGAAGCTTCTCGAGGCCGATGATGGTAAGAAGCAGACTGAGCGTGAACTCCGGGCCAAGGAGTTGATCTCAGCCTTGAAGCGCATCTTCCCTGGTGTCAAAGGCCGTGTCAGTGATCTTTGCCGACCGAAGCAGAAGAAATACTCCGATGCAGTCAGCACCGTGCTGGGTCGACACTTCGACGCCATTGTTGTGGACAACGAGAAGACCGCAAAGGAGTGCATTCAGCATCTACGCGATCAACGAGCAGGTCAGGCTACGTTCATCCCGCTGGAAACAATTCAAGTCAAGGCCTTCAACTCGAACCTGAAAGGCATGCATCGGGGCATGCGGCCTGCTATTGAGACTATCGACTACGATGATTTGGTTGCGCGAGCAATCAGCTACGCATGCGGCAACTCCATTGTTTGTGACGACTTGGCGACAGCCAAGTATCTTTGCTACGAACGAAATGTTGACGCAAAGGCTGTCACCCTCGATGGAACTGTCATCCACAAGGGTGGTCTTATGACTGGTGGACGTGGTCCTCAACATAATTCTAAGCGCTGGGAAGATTCCGAGGTCGAGAATTTGTATAAACTAAAGGAGAAACTCATGAGCGATCTCGCCAGTCTCCCCAAGAGTCACCGCCGAGGCTCTGAAGAGGAGATACTACAAGGCGAGCTGGTCGGTCTCGAGCAGCGCCTCACTTACTCCCGTGATGAGTTGAAGGCCCTTGAGAGGAACCTCGAGAGCAAACGTAGCGAGCTGGACTTTGTTAAACGCCAGATGGAAGATCTGCGACCCAAATACACTGAGCGTAAGGAAAACCTTGATGAACTAGATGAGACAATCGAAACGTCACAAGCTTCGGTCAGCACCGTCGAGGATGAAATCTACCGCAAGTTCTGCAAACGCTTGGGGTATGATGACATCCGAGAATATGAGGCCCAGCAGGGCTCTATGCAGGAAGAGGCTGCGCAAAAGAAGCTTGAGTTCACCACCCAAAAGAGCCGAATCGAGAACCAGCTCAGCTTTGAGAAACAGCGTATCCAAGCAACTGACGACCGAATCAATGGCCTCAAGGCCCAATACGAGCGCGACCAGAGCCTGATTGAAGAGCTGCAAAGCCAGCAAGAAGCAATCCGTAACCAGCTCGATGAATTCGAAGCTGAGCTTGAGCTCCTCCGAGAGGCCCTCGAGAAGCAGAAGGAAATATATGGCCAATCAGCAGAAATCCTGGCAGAGCAGCGCCGTGACCTCCAGAGGCGTAGCAAGCACGTTGAAGCAGCTTTAAAGAATGTGAATGCACTTGAAGCAGAGATTCAGCGAAACTCTTCCAGTCGTTACACTCTTCTACGTCGCTGCAAGCTTGAAGACATTGATGTTCCTTTAACCGATTCTTCCAATTCCCTCGACAAGCTTCCTATTGATGACCTTGTGCAAGCAGCAGACCCGGATGCCATGGAAGTGGATGAAGGAGATGGTTTGGACGATGCTTCTCCGATGCACGACTACGGTATTGAGGTCGACTTCGATTCTCTGGGGGAGACCCTTAAAGAGGTTTGTATTTGTTATCATGTTAGTTTATTACTTGCTAATTCAATTACAGGAGGCCGATGACAAGTTGGAGGATGAACTACTCGAGAAGATCCGCGTTCTCAACAGTGACCTCGACAAGATGGCGCCGAATGCTCGGGCTATGGAGCGCCTGGAGAGTGTCGAGAACAAACTTCGTAGCACTGAAAAAGACTTCGAGGACGCCCGGAAGTCTGCACGAAAGGCCAAGGAAGAGTTTGAATCCGTGATGAAGACGCGATCCGACCTCTTCAACAAGGCATTCACCCACATTTCTGAGCAGATCGGGCCGATTTACCGTGAACTCACGCGCAGCGCCAATTATCCCCTGGGTGGTCAAGCGTAAGTTTGTTTTTTTTTTTCCAACTCCCGACTTGAAACAATCACTAACATCTCAACAGCTACCTCGATATTGAGGACTCAGACGAACCCTATTTGGACGGCATCAAATACCATGCCATGCCTCCTCTCAAACGTTTCCGAGACATGGAGCACCTTTCTGGTGGCGAGAAGACCATGGCTGCACTCGCTTTGCTGTTCGCTATCCACTCATACCAACCCTCTCCATTCTTCGTACTAGACGAGGTTGACGCAGCCCTGGACAACACCAACGTCGCCCGCATTGCCAACTACATCCATGACCACGCCGCGCCTGGCATGCAGTTTATCGTGATTAGTTTGAAGACCGGACTGTTCCAGAACAGTGAGGCTCTGGTCGGTATCTACAGGGACCAGGTCGAGAACAGCAGCAAATCGTTGACACTTGATGTGAGTTTTGATGTGTTTTGTATACGCCGATGTGGAAATATGCTGACAATGATCATTCACAGCTTCGGAAGTACACCTAAAGCCTCCAGGTGGGGCTTATGCGGATTGGGTGATGACTCTTTGCTTTTGCTTTGCTTCTTATTTCTTCATATTTGTAGATTATTGAGTCTTGCTTTATTTTCTTCCGCTTCTATCGGAGTCGATTATAAGGGGTAAGAAGCCCAGTCGCTATTCTGGGCAATGATTTCTATCGACAAGGCTGCTAATTGATACCAGTTTGTGTACTGAGTTTTTCAAGTTCCAACCCTTCTTACACGTAGCTGCTGTTAACCGTAAAAAATCTCTGTTTTGCCGACTGCTCATATACTTGTACGAATTTCAAACAATACTTATAGGATTTACGAAAGTAGATAAGATAAAGTCACGTCCATGTAACTAGATATGCCGAGGCGCCGTGTTGAGAATCCCCTAAAAGGTGCGCCACTTCATGGCAAAACATAAGGGATCCCCAAGGCCTCGCGAAAAAAGAAAGCAAAGAAACATCCACCCGTAAACCCACGAACCAGCCGAATTCAAGTCGTGTTTTGATGCACTTTTGTGACCAAGAAAGAACCTTACTTCCACCATGCAGAAGGCTTGGCGCTTGTTGAAAGTACCGGTGCGGGACGAGACAAATCGAAGTCTCAAAGGCAGGAAACAATAAGAAAAAAGAAAAGCTGCAAAAACCGGAAATGAGAATCCAGAACCAAGGAAACTGTCATCTGCAAGACTTGCGACCTATTAGATGTACCACCATAGCGAGAGGCAGGTAGTCATCGAGGTCCGGTAAGTCAGATAACTACTAGTTTGTAGCTGTCTGTCCCACAATCTCAGTTCTCAGCGCAGACTTGGGCTTGGGAGTGAGCTTGATCCCAGAAACTCCCTTTGCTAGAAGATTAGCCTTAGCCTGAGTAGCACTCTTGGCCCCAGTAGCAGGCTTCACCTGAGTAGCACTCTTAGCCCCAGTAGCAGCCTTGGGTAGAAGAACTGCCTTGGCTTGAGGAGTAATATTGGCCTGGATTCCATTGGTCGCAGTAGTGTTCTTGATCTGAGCAGTGGCAGTATCGACCTGAGTTGCAGTCTTAGTCTGGGCAGCTGCCTTAGGCTCAGCGACAGGCTCGGTTTCGGTAGGCGTCTTATCCTCGCTAGCCTCAGTTGGGCGATCCTCGGAGGACGATTTAACATGGGCCTTAGAGACAAAGATAGTCGGAAGATTGCCATCAGCGGAAGACTTCAGCTCATTTGTCTCGTCGACGGCAGGTTCATTCACAGCCAAGCTGTTGTGTTCACACTCATCGAGTGGCTTCGGGGCCTGGCCAGGGATGCCTGTGAGAATTTGGTTGACCGAGTCGGCATTTTTGCGAATGTGGACTGTCTGCTTGAGCTTGTCCTTGACCTTGAAGTCACAGGGAAGCAGACGGTAGTCAGGGTTCTCGTCGCGGTGGTATTCGTAAAGGCGGACTTTGAGGCCGCGGATGAGGATGGCCCAGCATCGTCCACCGGTAATCGGGGCACCGATCAAGCGTGGGATAGATTGATCCCAGGTTTCCTCAATTGGAGCAGATTTGTCGAGAACAATCTTCACGACGGCGTGGAGAGCCCTGGCTTCACCAGTAGCTTTCACGACGAAACAGATGGAGTGGCGGTTTTCCTGGTCATCTTCCCACTTGAGGAGCCAGCCATCCTTCGAATCAAAGGCGTAAGTGAGGAGACCGCTTACCATGATCTTGACATTTTCAGCGGTTGGTTTCTCCTCGTAGGCATTGACGAACTCCGCAATCGCGGGAAGTGAGAGGTAGTTGGTCATTGTTTCCGCAACGATGAAATTGCAAGAAAGAATAGCGCTGTGGTGCTGAGAAGGAATTGATGGCGCTGTAAGAGAGGGAGAAGAGTGAAGGGAGAAGAGTGACAGAAAGAGGAAAGGAAGAGGAAAGGAATAGGAAAGAAGTAAAGAGTGAGGATTAAAAATGAGATCAGCAAGACTCACGTAATGCAGCAAATATTGAGGCAAACATTTATACCAGGCTTCTACCTGAGAAACCCCCTCATCAAGACAAACATTCGTTGCTAGTATCTAAGATGTTCATTGCCCATATAGCGGGAAAGTCATAGCTAAATGAGGCAAAGTACCTAGTAACGGAGTAATTCCGTGGGTATCTATTGCCTAATATAACGCAGAAGTCCGAGCTAAGTGAAGCAAAGATACCTAGTCAGGAAGTACTTCTGTGGATGTCCATTTCCTATTATAACGCAGAAGTCCGAGCTAAGTGAGGCAAATATACCTAGTTATGAAGTACTTCTGTGGTTGTCTATTGCCTATTATAACGGGAATGTCCGAGCTAGGTGAGCGGATATGCTACATATGTATCTATATACAGAGTGCTACACTTCTTGTGCCTAGGTTTAACTTTGTAGCCTGGGTATTTGTCTTTGAATGCTTGACAGTAGTAATGTTAGGACACGGATTCCAAAATCAAACGACGGAGATCAGCCAGGGGTATTTGGAGACGTACATAATCTTTCCTATATTTCCCCGTAAAAATGTGTAAGTGATAAGAAAAAGCTAGTTTCTCATGATATGCAGTTACTGGACTTCTTCTGTCTCTGGACCCGTAAATATTCTATGCTGGCCGGTGCTATTATACGGTCTCTACTGCCCTGCAAAGCGAGAAGGCTTTATATAACCGTCACTTTACTGCTATACTTACCTTGAGATGCTCATCCAATTTTCTTTTTCATACCAGATACTAACAGATTGCGCATCGAAAGGTAAAATGCGTACAATTGATAAAAACAAATGCTCATCTATTTTCTCTGTGAGTCTAAATGTTGTTCAATACTGTCTAGCTATATAGATTGGACTACAGGAAAGATTGAGTAATCAAACAGTAAATAAATTCAATTCTCTTCCGCTTTTCAGGACCGAACAATTAACTCATCTTGTCGCCAGGACAAATTAAATATGACTACCAGGTGCAAGCTCCGCTCGTCATCCCAAAATAAGTTACATGAGCATCGTTCACCCCCTGTCCTCCCTGAGCCTCGCAGCACTGGATCTCATTCCCCGTGCAAACAAACATGCTATCAGGGCTTTGGGGCTCAACACTCCAGTATTCAACCCCGGAATGGACGTAGCCTTGTTCGGCCGGGGGCAGGTTTGGGATACCATCGTTGGCATGGGTGACGCGAAAGTACCGGGTTGTCTCGGGGCTCGCCGCTTGGAACCTCTCATTCATATACGATCCGTAAGCCTGATTGCCGGTCCGCGGCTCCCCGAAGGTGTACAATCGGACGTGGTCGTATATAGCGGACAGCTGGGCGGCAGTTATTGCTGCTATTGAGGCGCCCAGACTGGATCATGTGTGTCAGTCAGGTCGAGTAAGGACAGTCGATGGATAGAAATAGGACAAGATAATTGTGAGATTACAGATGGGAGTGCTCTCATACCTGTGGCCCGTGACCGTCAGTGCATAATCATGATACTTGTTTGCCTGCTGTTGAGCAAGTGACTCAACCTCCGCTTGGACAGAGGTCCATCCAAGATAGTATCCACCATGCACAGAACAACCGACGCATTGAGGCAAAGTGTCAAAAGGAGCGAGGGTGTAGTTGGTATCGAGCTGCAAGTTTGTATCACTGCCCGTGCCGCGAAAGACGATGACAATTTCCTGACGGCTATCGTCGCGGAGGACCCATCCGTTAATATCCGTGTGGGCATTGTATATCTTCTTCACCGTGGTCATGGTCGCCGGAATGTTGCACAGGTCTGCATAAGCAGCTTGGGAGATGGTGGCCATCTCAACCAGACGGTTGTAGATGTTGTCAGAGACACCCTGCGTAGTGGCGGCTAGACACTGTCCTACAGCTACAGAAAACCCAAAAGCGCGTATTGCCGAAAAGGGTTTCATGTTGATAAATTAGTGTCCAAAAATGTTTGATGGAGGATAGGTCAAAGAGGTGAAAGATTGAGCCCAGTGTTTGGGTGTGTATCCCTAAGAGCACATCTATATATTCTGGATATTAGGCTGGGAACCTACCTTTAGGATAAAATAGATAAAGTGAAGATGATTATATCCTATTGAGGCTATGAAATCACATCAAATTCTCCCGGCCGTAGATGCTCACAAAGTAACCTCTATCCGGAAGAATTGCCAGATTAGGCAGGTCAAGAGCTCCTGTCTACCAGGCTCAGTTGGAGGGTAAATGTCTTAAAAGAATAACATGTAATGAGTCCACCGGGAAGATTCCCTGTCTGGATTCGAAACTTAGCCTTGAAGTAGGTCCGTTCGGCAGGTGTTGATGCTCAAAGTACCGTATTACTTCCAAATCAGGAAATCCGCCCGGCTAGTGTATCAGACTAATGAAGTGGCGTAAACCATGTGAAGGATCGGCCCTGGAGAGTCCAAATAATGCGGGGGGCTCCATGTCTTAAGTTTGATCTAACTTGTCCTGGTTAATATCCATATATGGTGGATTCAGCTAGCCGTGTGTGGATATTCTCCTTAAAAATGCTGGACCCTGAAAGATCGGGCCGTTCCGTGAAGCATTTCAATTCTACATATTCAATTCAGCCAAATAAAATGGGTGTACCTTGCTATTATATTCAACCGTCTGTCATTCACCATTTACCCGGTGCCTAAAATGATATCCACGGGGGTGAATGAGTAGTCGTCTGTGATTTCCAACGCAAATCTAGAATTTATCTGACTACCGGCAGTTCTAATGTAGACGAAGCAATCTTCTAGTCATTCTCATTTACATCTTTTTCTTGATTAAATATACAGACGGCAAGTTCTGTACAACCGGGGAAAATGTTTTCAAATAGTTTAGGGAAGCGAGATTATCTAGCTCAAAGACACAACTATTGGATGACAATACGATCATTCTCTCCTATGACCCTTATGTTGGGTGGCTATGGGGGCCTTAGGCCCATACAGTGGCAGGACCATGCAGGTTGCTAATCTTCTCCTCCCATCTCTCCCTTCTGTTTCCTCCCCGCCCCACGCCATGGGACTCACAAATTGCTATTTTCCCATGGAGAAAAATTGTACATCTTCTAGATGCCAGATGCGATAGCATTATATGCAGCCTTGGGGTTATAGTTCCCGTCGAAAAGCAATGGGGTTGACTCGGAGCGCCACGAATCCTAACAAAAGAGGTATTAGTATACAGTCTTGTTTTTCTGGGGAGAAGCGGATATTTACTGGGTCAGCAACTCCCCAAACTGTTATTCCGATGCACTTTGCCTGGTTCAGGCAAGCTTGAACAACCTACAAGAATAGAGATTTAGTGATTAGACAACTATACCAGTCACGGAATTGTGGAAACTCACATTTAGATAGTCGGTAGAGCTGGCACCAGCAATATCAAGCTCAGTGATGGCGATCTCTGTTGTTCCTGCACTAGCTAGAGCATTAAGAGCTGTGAGAGGCTGTAAGCTAATGTTCGGCCGACAAGAAGCCAATGGGTACTTATCCAGAAACTGCAGCACCGCCACCAGCGCCTAGGTGGGTTTGAGAGCCTATAAATAATTGAGCAATTGTATGCGGTGAAGTGCAATCACAGGTTTTTTTTACCGATTCCGTCAATTGGGATACCAGCAGCAATCCATTTTTTGACATGGCTAACCATACCATTCACCTTAGAATAGGAGGCGGAATCCAGGCTGTGTAAAGTCAGAATTTGTACAAAAAGAAATGAGAAGTATGCTCTGACTCACTTGTAGTCATTGATGTAGAGCTTTGCACTTGGATCTGCAGCACGAGCTGTTTCGAAAGCAATCCGCACAAAGTCTTCACCGATCACCCTGGAGAAAACACTGTCGCGAAGGGAACCATCCTCGTTGAAAATCTCGTTCACGACGTCCTGAGATCGATCAGTAATGTAGCTCTGTATAGCTCATATTATAGATACAACCTACCCAGGCGTAGATTTTGCCCTTGTACCGGTTCATTATGGTAGTAATGTGATTCTTCATAACATTGGTCAGGGTTGTTTTGTCTGAGATAGAATTGACCCAAGACGGGAGTTGAGAGTGCCACACTTGACGAGTTTAGCTTCTCTTGTTGTGACATGCGTGGATACAAGGGCCTTGGGAGAACTTACCGAGAGTATGGCCACGGATCAGCTTCCCATTTGACTGAGCAAAGTTGACCTAGAGTTCGTAAGTACCAGACAAAGGAGAGTTACTATTGAAAAGGCCGACTACATACCAAATAGTCCGATCCCGTGAAGGAGAACTGCCCTTGGTTTGCTATTTTGTAAATCAGCATCTGTTACATAGTTATCCCGAGCCAATTGTACTCACGCTCAGTGGCATCCCACTTCATGCTATTCTCCGGAGTCAATTGACCGAAGTCAGCTTTGATAATTGCCGGGGTCTTTGCGTTCTTGTTGAAGGTGTACTGGTCACCAATAGTTCCCAGATACTTCTTCCCATGGGCCTTGAACTTGGCATCAATGCTCACAGAGGCCTGTCGAGCTTCAACGGGTCCAGAAAGTACTGGACCAGCGAAAAGCATAACCAGAGCAGCAGCTGCCTTGATTTGAACCATATTGGGAAACATGTTAGTTTTGCAAGTCGATGAATAGAAATGATAGTAGTATATAGAAGATACCGATGGGAAGGAATGTAGATGATATTTATACAGGATTGGAGCCAACATTCCTTAGGGGAGAACTTCATAGTTGAGATGTTAGCCTTAAGGAAAATCCTTTCCCGATGGAAAACGGGGGTTGCATCACGTATCTCTTTCACTGATGGAGAACGGACGTTGTCTATTTTATCCATAGTGTTACTGGATGATAATATTCGACCATTTTTAGCCTAATATTCACATTGAAGAATTCAGCCTGGAATATATGTGGGGTAATATGCTACATTATACTTTTAATCCTACCAAGTCGCCAGGCTGCTTTCAGGTGGGCTAATTGTAATCTAGCCTCAACACGTAGTAACGAAAGGACTGACAAAGCTTGGCTTGTGTTAGAGAGTAGAACAATGTGTTTAGTGGAAATGATGAGGGTCCTCACGTGTGGGGACGACGTCGATCACCGTCATATTAGAGATCGTCGAAAGTAATTAGCTGCCAAGTAGGGGCCATATACCTCTTATTTTCAAATATACTCCGCTATTTTTTAATTTTCCCCAAATTCACGAGGAACCTCCGAGTGGGACGACCCCTGATGTTCTTCAAAGAGCTTACAGTAAGGCGCAACCTACACGCAGAAGATACTAACCACTAAGTAGAAAATCCTGGACTAGTCTGTTTAATAGTGAAACACCCGTATAAAGATAATGTATTAGAGAGAAATCAACCCCCTCCAGCGTCGTTGTCAAGAACCACGGCTACATTCATGATCTCTTTGGTGCATTTATCCAACCTCGGTCTGAAAACAAGGCTGAATGGTTAAGCTGATGCCAAGTTTATGCTTACACCTATTTCCAAGAAAGGCAATAGTCCGATGGAGTGATATTTCTGGCTAATGTAGTTTATCCTGGACCGTCTTTTCCGCTGGCAGTAGAACAAAAATGCATACCAAAGGGTGCTTAATTCTTTCCAATAGAAACATTGTGGATTTTACTACTGAAAACAAGGACTTCGTTCAGTTCATTTTCCCCGCATACTTGGAGTATTTAAACAAGGTCTGCTCCTGCGCAGATGCTCTAGCTTTCTGCTTCAACTCTTCAACCAAATAAACTGCCGCATACGAGAAGTCGAACGACAATGAGATTGTTTAACGCACAATCTGGCCTGGTGTCATCTGGCATATTGTTGCTTTCATCAGTGTCAATTGTCGTCGCCGACTGCGCACTTCCCTCGACTTATAGTTGGACATCAACTAGCGCTCTCGCGAATCCCAAGTCCGGATGGACCGCACTCAAGGACTTCACCAACGTTGTTTTCAACAATAAACATATTGTCTATGCATCAACCAGTGACGCAAGCGGGAAATATGGCTCGATGAACTTCGGTGCCTTTTCAGATTGGTCTGGCATGGCAACCACGAGTCAAGTCGGAATGAGTTTTTCAGCCGTTGCACCCACTTTGCTCTACTTCCAGCCAAAGAACATTTGGGTCTTGGCCTATCAATGGGGCTCAAGTACATTCACTTATCGAACTTCAAGTGATCCTACCAATGCCAATGGATGGTCATCTGAGCAAGCCCTTTTTTCCGGAAAGATCACCGACTCCAGTACTGGTGCCATTGACCAAACAATTATCGGTGACTCTGCAAATATGTATCTTTTCTTTGCGGGAGATAATGGCAAGATCTATCGTGCCAGCATGCCCATCAACAATTTCCCTGGAAACTTTGGAACGGTTTCACAGGTGGTACTAAGTGACACTCAGAACAACCTATTCGAGGCAGTTCAAGTCTACACTGTTAAAGGTCAAAACAAGTACCTGATGATTGTCGAGGCAATTGGGTCACAAGGGCGCTATTTCCGTTCATTTACTGCCAACAGTCTTGGTGGTTCGTGGACAGCGCAGGCAGCAAGCGAGAGCAACCCCTTCGCCGGAAAAGCCAATAGCGGTGCAAGCTGGACCAACGATATCAGTCACGGTGATTTGGTTCGAACCAATCCTGATCAGACAATGACCATTGATCCATGCAACCTGCAATTCCTCTACCAGGGACGAGACCCGAATTCCGGTGGCGACTACAATACCCTACCGTGGAAGCCCGCCGTGCTCACTCTGAAAAGCTAAAGACCTATCGGTATTTTAGAGTGAGTTGGAGGAGTGGGAAGATGGAATTTTGAAGAGAACACGAGGTGAAAGGGCTCATGCAGCGGCAAATGAATATGGAATGCTCCAGATTAGTTACAGACCTATTTGCTAGTGAATTGAAATTTGTATACAGTCTCTTCTATTTGTTTCACGGCCCAGTAAGGTAGGTTCCTGTTGAAAGACCGGATTCTCCGGTGATCGGAGTAATCACTAAAAAGGAAAGGTTCGGGATATATATTGTTCTTACAGTTCTATCACATCACGTAACAAAAGGACGTAGCAAGAGTAGAAAAAGAATCAATCGATCAATATGAGATAGGAAATCTAAATAATTTGCACTGCAAATTGCTGCTCATAGAGCCCCATCGCCTACCAATGTGCAACTACAGGCAAACTAAAACAGATCGTGGCCGTGAAAAGGTTTTGAGGCAGGCGAGGAGGAAAAACACTGCATTTGGTTCAGAAGTACGCCTGCTGCCGCCGTACGCCATAATTAATTAACCAACATCTGGAACTGGAATGACTGTTTGCTTGATATAAATATCGAGACTTTCTACGACTGCAAGTGTGTATGTAGTTCGGTTGTAAACCTATTGGGATCCTTTCAGCTTGAGACTTTAGAACCAACGGCTATCACATCAGCAAAATTGTGAGAGGATTACAGATGGAGCTTTACGGAGAAGGCAAGGTGTGAAAGTAATCATGTCCTTAATTGAGCTAATGGTTGGGTATGGGAAGAAGGAAGATCAACTAAGACTTGGCAATCTCCAAGGCGTGGGACCGTGTTTGGTTTAGAGGCAATGTTCTGTATGTAAATATAGAGATTCGGAAACTTGCTTCCACTAAAATGTACACAGAGACATGCTAAGTACGATCCAAGTCCGAACACGTTAATCGGAACGATGTGCCAGTGGTATATTCGGATTTTGTATCTACTGTTTGCATCTTCCGTCGTACTTTGGATCGTACTTTGGGTCGTACTCAGGATCTCCTGTTATTTAATTTATGTAGGGCTTCGATATTGTCGCAGTTGGTACCATAGGAATGGATAAGATTTTCTTTATGACCTCTTACCTAGAAAGCTAAAGCATGCAAATATGGAACAGTGGCTTGTTGTGCAAGAAGCGAACTGAGCTATTCAAAAGCAGTCAACTGGATCATGCTGTCAATTTGAACTCTATACACAAGTGACTTAGTTCGGATATATATAGCTCTGTAAGGTACTGTTCACTATTACCTTAGCTAAATTGGCGATACATATATGCCAGTTGTGACCCTGCTGCACACTTTAATAAATCACACATTAGCGGCCCAAAGCATTCACCAGTACAGCTAGTAGTACCTCCCCAGAATCAAACTTCACAAAACCTGACCAGGTATATCCTAGGTTAGATAAATATACCTCTCTCTACAGCTAAAAAGTCCAGGCCTCTCGGATTCCTTCGGCCCTCTGGGCGTGGAATTCAACCTCTGTTATGCCTCGCAGACTGTCTGTTCAAGACAACTGCACAAAGACAAAGACTACCGTAATTCATGTCAACCAGTTCAGACTGACTAGCACACACTTGAAAAAAAAAAAAAAAAGGATTCCATACTATGGAATACCAAGTCGCCGGGATGCTGAGCGGCGACCAAAATGGCGGGATCTAGGTCCACAAGAATGTCGAGTGCGACAAGGTAATTTCACAATTGGTAAATCGGTGAGTGCTAGTAAAGCGCTTAAAATTGAACTTCCTTTGGTCAAGTTGTGATATGGAGAGAGACCCGCTCTCGACTTTGGGTGTGTTCTATCTATTCCGAGGGTACAAACGTATTTGGAACCCTTTTGGAAGCTTTAGCGCTTTTCGAATCATTTTGGACCCACTGATAGTCCATGGATATAGGGTTAAAGTCAGCCCTGGAGTTCCCGACTGATAATGTACTGTAGTCCGTGGAGTCTCTTTCCTTCTAGGGCTATTGTGGCTGATCAGTGTGCTTGTCCCCGACTTTCTATATACGGGTACATCAGGACAGACAACCCCCTTATCTATAATCCAAGGTCGAATTGATTCTAGACTCTTCCTTGGCAGCCCTCGAGGTGGCGATATTTAATATAGCGCTTTACGAGTATAAGATTAAAGGCCGAGGAAAGCGAGAGCGACGGAATCAGTGACCACTAAGAATAAAACAATAAAACCAAGCTTCTACGGAGGGCTTAGCCAATGACTCTAGTCTCCTTCCTGGGAACCCAATGCCAAGTACGGTGAGAGTCACCAGGTGCAGTCTACTTGGGTATAGTCACCGCCACCACTCAAGTAACTGTAACCCCAGCGAACATTGCAAATCATGCCCAGCGTCAACACCCCAGACACCAGGGAGGCGACCGGAGGTCAGAGTTCCAATAATGCATGTTTCCTGCACCTCTGGTACCAGGATTTAGTCATCTGCACCCAGCTAGCAATGGCAATGGAATGTCAACGGGAGCCTCGGGAGCACCACCCGCGGAGACGCACATATTTATATATGCTAAATGACATTGTGTAAAGTAAGTATATAGCGAGCATACTAGATATTCCGTTTACCAAGCATAAAAAGATTAAAGCGAAGCGGTATCTTCAAATACACAATTCCTCGAGGTGTTGTGCAACGGTAGCAGTACATGTAGGAGCAGCTGGCGTCCACGGGCATGGTGGTGATCTGCTCATGCGCATAATGGGGCCATGATCAGGGGGAGATAGCCTCTCTACAATGTCCAGAATAAAGAGTACAATAATAGAATTCGTTGTAATATTGTATATGTATTCTTTTGTTGATCATTTCATCTGGGTGCTCCGCCCCGCAAATATACGCAAGGGACGCATGTCTTTTCCACGCCACTGACTGAGGGGGCTTTGTATTCGCTTCGTTTATGGGGATTGTGTACCCTTGGGTATTACAGAGTTTGGGGCCAATGCGGCTCAGGGGATGCTAATGTACATATGTCTGCTTTGCTGCTTGCCTGGGTGCAATGTACTCCGTACCTAGCCCCGTGTTATTGATTGCGTGGAATTAATATTGTTTCATTTTCGATTATCTTGCTTTTTTTTCTTTTCTCAATGATAATAAGGATGCCTGGCAAGAGCGTCGGACGTGCAGTATCCAGTAGATTTTAGACGTTGAGCCACAGGATATACTTTGTATACGGAGTAAGCTAAAAGCCATCAGACAGATCGGTAAAAAAAGTTTAAAAGGCCTATATTTGCTCATCTTCTCGAAGATAGTCAAGTGCTGAGTCGAAATCGAGGCCTTCGATATCTCTCTTCATTGCAATATAAAGTGCAATTTACGAGTACGGGCATGTCGCATGGACTGTACAGAGGCTCAGCGAATAGCATCAAATACAAGTGGTACGGTTACATTTTCCGTGTTTGCTGGTGGGCCTAGTCCCTAGTCTAGATGGAAATACGACTAGCCTCCCTTAAAAAAAAAAAGCAAATTGAAACGAGAGCAAAGAGACGGTGGAGGAAAATAATAATAATACACAACACCCATAACTTTGGGCCTTGCTACAGATGCAGTCCGCTGCCGTCGTAGACCGGGATCCTAGTGGCGCTAGCTAATCATAGCCATTTTTAGTTGGCTACATCGTATACCACCGGATCCGGAAAAAGAAACAACGCCTAAAAACTGTAGAGAATAATAGGGCGGTTGACCAAATTCCTCAAACTCCCAATGGTTGGCTTCTTAGTCTATGATCCGCGGCCCCCGCTCCCAGGAAACACCGTCGATCCGGGAGCAGGGAACCGATCCCAGTGGTACATAGTTCAAAATCCAATTAACCTCAGAGCTCTTGTTTTTTTTTTTTTTATGGATACAGACGATTACTGTCCTTTTGCTTTTCAAAAATGCTTCGACTCTACCTAGCTCCGGGTTGCCACGTCCACTTATGCACGATGCCGCAGGACAGCAAAATTTGGAATCGCCGACTGAAGAATCCATGCTAGTGGCGCTTCGATAAATACCTCGGACGGGTATGTATTTTGACAAAAAAAAAAACAAATAAAGCATCTCGAAAGCAAAAGGTAAAAAGGGAAAAAAAAAAAAGAAACAATGAAGATTGAACAGGATGCATTTTGTATCTTTGTATATATTCTCGGGTGTGGTATCCGCACACCCGGAACCAAAACTCCCGACTTGAAAACAAGCTCAAGTTTCGATGGTCGGCGTCTACAACTTTGGTCCCCAGGGGAATCTTTTCCAGGTCTCTTTATCCCTGACCCCGTTGTATGTTGTAGATTAGGTTAGAGAAGGTCTGCACGGACAATGGACCAAGCGCCCGGTGGAGATAAACATTATAGTACTCCGTACGGGAAGCCTTGACTGTCTTACACAAATTCCCGAAGAAAAAGAAAACAAAAGGGAAAAAAAACAAAACCATTGAGCTGTGCAGCTGCGTGTGCGATGTAATTGAAAAAGCCCACTAGGCTGACGCTGACTAGCAACGCAAGTAAAGTATCCATACGGAGTAGATCCATAGAAGTTAGAGAGATTCACCTACGCTATGTATTAGTCAGTGATCCATTAGCCTCTCTTGGCTTGCATTAGATGGTCTCAGAGGCGTCGAGAATGACCGCTCTTCTTTATTACCTGTCGTGGCTAATGTGGCCAAGGGATCGCCGATCGGTTAATTCGGTTGGGTAGATGATTGCTTCCACCTTGGGGTTTATTGGACCGTTTCTTGATTAGGTACTATTTTTGCTCCTGCTGCCATATCTACGGAGTACTGCGTACTTCGACCATTCCTTGATAAAACCGGAAGGATAGAGAGGGTAAACTTGGTAAACTTGGCTTATTGGAGCGGGCAAAATAATTATGGATACAACGGCCTGCTGCAGATAGCCTACGAAATCGTTTTAACGGAGACACCATGAGAAATTGGGATCTATTTAGACCATTTGATTTGTCGAACACTTGACGATCTTTGTGGCTTTTCTCTCTAAATCCCACAAGGAAGTTGAGACGTTCCAAGATGTTTTTGGGCTAACCTCGGATCCGCCGACAGAACCATGGATCGAACAAGGTTATGTGACACTCAACCATGGATCATAGCCCTAACAAAGTGTCAATGCGCAGAATGGACTCGACCCATCGACTAACACACTTGCAAAGGGGCAGAAAATGGATGATCCAATCATGAGATGCAGAAAGAAGTGACACGGAAGCTTTCGTATTGCCACACGCTCGGCTTTGCAGCTATTCATTTTCCTTGCATTGGCACTAAGCCGATTTGTACTTTCAGGGGACATCGATGTCAAATGGAGATCTGCCAATACTCGGGGTTTGGCGTCGGAATTGGGAGATCATGGATATGTCCCCGTATTATTACTTGTATATTTATCTAGACTGGACCCTGCCCCTGATCAAGAGGCGCGGATCTCTTATCCATCGGTAACCTGCGTTTACCCTTGTTAAAGAGCGTATCTCTTATTTCTATTCATTAACCCCGTGGGACGATTGTTGAAGGAACCAGGTCCATTGTGTTTTTTTTTTTTTTCTTTCTTTCTTCTTTCTTTGTCTTCTATATTTGCGACGTACTACGCTGGACAAGCGCAGTGAGCCCGGATCTTGTGGATCTTAACTTTCATACCCTGTACTGTCCCATAATATGGACATGAATCGTGGATATCCATTTCCTGGAGAGGCGATGGAGCGAAGACACTCTGATACGTGCATCCCACCGCAACCACCGATGAACATGGTAATACAACTTCCCCAATTGCGAAACGGAAGACAAATGCAAGGGTCAAGTTTGGCTAATCATAAAAATAGTCGATCATTCCTAAACAACCACATAACGCCGAATACACACACCCACACTTCGCTATGATATACCTTGACCACAACGGTCAATGGCAACTACAAGCGTCGCCCTCGATTGCAGGCTGTGAAGGCGCTATCTTTACACCAGATGTTACAGACCGATTCATAGAAATGACGGGCCAGACCCCACAGGCCAGCCCGCAGTTCACAAGTGAGCCAAATTTCTAGAATCAAAGTTCCAGAGCCGGCAAAACTGACTTTGTCTCCTTGCAGACCAAACCCATGCACCCCACTCCCCTTGGGACGAGCAACCATCGTCGGGATGGGGGCCAACTGGTCAGGCAAGACAGGCCGAGATGATTCCATTCCAATGGTCGTCACAACAAAGTCGAAAGAAATCGAAGCGTGCCGGCGGTATGCTCAAGTCTCGACCTAAATCCAGCTCGCCACCACCTACCACACCTCCACCCGGACGGACTGTTCTTCGTGTCGGTAACCGGGCGCTACTACGACGCTACTACGAGAAAGCATTTGAGGATTTCCAGCAGCTTAATTGCCGCGCTATTGCAAAATCCTATATCAAGCTTGTTGAGCCGAGGAAGCAGGTCCATTATCCGTACAATGGACGTAGAGTCATTGCCGGTGTCTCTCAGCGTGTGGATCCGGAGTTCACTAAGCCAGCATGGTGGCCTGCTAATGTCTTGCACAAGGAGCCTGATCATCTCCTCAAGCCTGGTGAGCATATCCTTTCCGTGTGACTAATATGAGATCAGATCATGATCAAATACTAACTGAAACGATAGACCGACTGCGACTTCTTGTCCATATCCTCTGTGAGCTAAAGGATAGCCATGGAGTCACAACCGACAAACTACGAGACGCTGGCCAAGACGTGAGACGCCAGATTACACCCGCCCACCGGCTGCAGGTTCTAGACGAGATCTACTTTGTGCGACAGATGGAAGAACAATTTCTGGATGGTGAAATCGGTATGTTATCGCTTTATCCCAACACAGGACCCAATCAGCGGTTTTCACTAACCTATGTCTTTGTTTCTGTCACTATAGACGCTAGTACCTTGATCCAGGTGACACAAACGCATCTACCGGAGGCAATCTTCCAAGACAACGATCAACTATCATCCCGTGCACACGCAGCACCTGTAACAGCGTCTATGGTCGAGTCTGAACATGACAAGCATGATGCAGGTGATCGACCTAGCAGTTCGACGTTGGAAGAAGATGACTCAAAGCTACACCACTCGCATAGCTTGCCCCTCTCACCTACCACTAGCGAGTCAAGTGGTCCACATAGCCCGGCAGGCAGTTTCGGCTATCCAATGAGCATGGCACCATCAGTGCATGTAATCCCCCCGGTGGAGACCCCGAATGTCACAAAACCTATGCATCCAGATCCGAGTTATCTGTCTGGGTACTACCCGCAACAATTTGTGGCTGATAAAGGGCCCGGGTTCTGGTCACAGACCAATTCGACATCACAATTTGGATATTGATGTTAGATTTTTTTTTTTTTTTTTTTTTTTTTTGGTTTCCCTCTCTTGTTTTCACCAGTACAGACTTGGAGTTTGTGAGCGTTTGGACACGGATCTGGGGGTTGGGGAGTTTTCTATATATATATTTTTTTCTTGGGACAAGTTTGTCACCTCGCTTTACGAGAAGTCAGGGAGAATGTGCAACAAATTAATGGAGCAAGTCATGACAAACACAAAGTACAAACGTTGGAAGTACATAAGCAATTTTGTAAGAACAAAAATATTCCTTATATTTATCTGCCTCAGGCAACAACATCACACCTGGGCCGAGACCGCTCATTGATTGGATGCGCATGACGATGCCCCCGAGGCCCAGCGTAGCTTCTCCGTCCAACCATCATCAATATCTCAAGCACACGTCAACTTCTCACCTTCTCGCTGGTTCTGGGTATCTCAACCTTTTCGTGAGAGTCTCAGCGTCTCTATATCGCCGCCTTTGTGTCGTGCGCCAGTGAGTGCGGTGTTGTTCACCCTGTGGATCGCCAACCACAGTTCGCCCTGAGTCCAAGGCGTGATCTACCAATAAGGTAAGATAGCCCATTATCTTTTTTAATTGCCCCTCATATATCTATATAGTCGTTGTGTGTTCCCGCGGTCTTGGGTACTTCTGTTTGGCACGTATCTAATAAGCTGTGCTCTTTTGGGCTTGCAACTATGGGGATGCTAACATTCAATCGTTTCCTCAGTCGACCATATCCCAATAACAGGGACGGACCAACAATACTCTCCTTTCAGCAACAGTTTTTGATGCAAAGTACGAGCTCGAGAAGAAAGTCCGATCCCACCATGTCAGCTGAGCCGCTGGCCTCCACGCCAGGCCTGGACGAGATCGATGTGCCATTCCCTGCAGACGACTTCGCCGACAACGATGAATTTGGCTCTGTTCCCACATCCCCACGCAATCTGTCCCGCAACGGCTCGTTCTCAAACAGCAGCTCGTATCAGGAGGACTGGGAGTCATTCCCACCGCTGGACAAGCTGACGGTTTTCGATCTCCTCGACAACATCCAGCTCTCGCAGCGCTTGGAGAAATGGCAGCAGACCATCGCCATGCAGAAGGAAAAAGTGCGCAAGCAGCGGGAGAAGCTGAAGTCCTCTTCCTTGAACGCCAAGGATCGTGTTGTCGGTGAATGGAAGCGCCGGGCACCGACTGCCGATGAGAAGCTGGAAAAATATCGAGCTCGGATGATGCAAGGTGTAGAGCGTCTGGGCAAGCAGTGGAGCAAAACGGCAACTGTCACCCTCCGGGAGAAGACGTCTTTTATTGCTGGTGTGCTCAATATCTTCATCAGTGGCTACCTAATCGGTGCTTGCCCGGAGTACTTTTATATCTGGTTCAGCGCCCAGCTGGCATATTTCATGCCCATCCGCTACTATACGTACCATGCCAAGGGCTACCACTACTTCTTGGCCGATCTCTGCTATTTTGTCAATATGCTCTGCATGCTGAGTATCTGGGTCTTCCCTAACTCGAAACGACTTTTTATAAGCACGTTCTGCTTGACCTTCGGAAACAATGCGGCTGCAATCGCCATGTGGCGCAACTCTATGGTCTTCCACAGTATGGACAAGGTTGTCAGGTATGTTAGATATCGAAAGGAAAAAAGTTCATTTGCTTATCTTGTCTCTGCAGTCTCTTCATCCATATTATGCCACCCGTAACTTTGCACTGCATCGTACACCTGACTCCCCTTGAGAGACTCAAGGAGCGCTTTCCTGCTGTGTACAGCATCAAGTTCAGTCAGCCCGGGGACCCAGAGCATTATGGTCTTGGTGCTATGATACTCTGGTCCACAGCCCCCTATCTGGTGTGGCAGCTCATGTACCATTTCCTGATCACTGTGCGCCGCCGCGAACAAATCGCAGCGGGTCGCCCGACTAGCTTCACCTGGCTGCGCAAGTCATACTCTAAGGCGCCGATTGGGCGATTTGTGCTGAGTCTACCGGAGGCGCTGCAAGAGCCATGCTTCATGTTCATCCAGTACTGTTTTGCTTTGTCCACAATGATCCCCTGCCCGATTTGGTTCTGGTCCAAATGGGCGAGCGCTATGTTCATGTCTTCCCTGTTTATCTGGAGCATCTACAACGGAGCAACATACTACATCGACGTGTTTGGAAAGCGCTTCCAAAACGAGCTGGAGCAGCTCAAGGCAGATGTTGCACGTTGGCAGAGCTCCCCCGAAGGAGCAACGAGTCCTTCCCTTGTCCCCGAATCCAGTCCTCTCAGTGACGCTATCAATGCACACACCGAGGAGAAGCGATCTAGTGTTGATCGAATCCCCTTGTTGGATACTGCCGAGGCCTCTTCTACTGATATTCTGGATGGAAATTCGAACAAGGACTCCGTTGTTCGAGAGAGAATCTGAATCCTAGGGACGTACTATCTCATTGCCATCGTTTATGCTAGTATTTATATACCCTAATTGTTGGTCTGTTTTTTTTTGTCAAGATTCAACAATCTTGACGGTGCTGAGCGAGTTTTCATGTATAAGATTGCTATTCAAGTTAATATGAATATATTGATAGTATTTGCCACAATAATGAAATACGTATGTAGCATTAGCTCTACCTATTAGTAGAAATGTCCGGGTATCTATTTAAGTCCGAGTAAAACCCGAGGCGGTAACTCTCTGTCACGTGAAAGATGACTGCGGTAGTACATCACAACTTTAGAACATCTCATCGGAACCGGTTCCAGGACATTCCAAACTTTTTGTGACTATCATTTTACTACTGTGATTATTTTTTTTTGGGGCTCATCTCGTGGACATTAGAATTGCTCATTTATTTCATTGTTGTTGCGCCTGCAAACTCCTTGCTCATTGTTTCGAGCACTTACTTTTTCGCTCAACATTTCCGCAAATGTCCGCTACGATGAGGTCGACCGGATTAGTCCGCGGAACACCTGCCTTCCGGTCTGCGCTGATCAGTAAGTGTTGAAGAATCTCTATTAATTAGATGGTAATGCCAGTTGCTTACATTTTTCTCCCGGGCAGGCCGTAGTCGTTCCAGTGCACTGAGCCCGGCCTCCGTTGCAGCCCGCGGCCTTCTACGGAATGGCCGTGATCTGCCATCCCAAGTGTCGGCGCTTGCTATCCTGATCCCACAGCGTGGATATGCGACCGAGAAATTCACATCGAGCAACTCTTCACAGAATTATCCTCCCCCCGGGTTCAATGCAGAGCAAGCCAAGAAGCCGCTCTCCCAAGAAGAGACCACGCAGTCACAATCTACAGTTACTAAGACTCAACCCACCGAGACACAGTCAGCTGTTAGCAAGCCAGCGCCCGCTGGGGTTGTCACAAAGACAACTCCAGAGGACCAGAAGTTGGCCGAGAAGAAGAGTGCGAAAAAGTTGACACTTGGACAAAAGGTCAAGAAAGAGTTGCAGCACTACTGGGATGGCACAAAGTTGCTTGCCACTGAGGTCAAGATTAGTTCGAGACTGGCGTTGAAGATGGCCGGTGGCTACGAGCTCAGTCGCCGAGAGAACCGCCAGGTATGTTTTGCGCCAGCCAAAATATTTCAATATTTTTTACTGTTTGGCTAACCCAGTTTTGACTATAGCTCCAACGTACTACGAAGGATCTGGGACGTCTGGTTCCATTCTCGATGTTCCTCATCGTTCCCTTTGCCGAACTCCTTCTCCCCGTTGCCCTGAAGATCTTCCCCAACTTGCTCCCCAGCACTTACGAGGGGCAGAAGGCCCGCGAGACCAAGGCGTTGAACCTGAGCTCGACCCGCAAGGAAGTTTCCGGATTTTTACGCAACACTCTGCGGGAGACCGGTCTACCTTTCACCGCAAGCACTGTCAAGAACGATGAATTTACAGACTTTTTCCGCAAGATCCGCACCACCGGCGAATCGCCCTCAACAGAGGATATCATCAAGGTTTGCAAGATCTTCAAGGATGATCTTACCCTCGACAACCTTTCTCGGCCCCAGCTGGTTGGAATTTGTCGCTACATGAACCTGAACTCCTTTGGTACCGACGCCATGCTCCGATACACCATCCGACACCGCATGCGCCAGATCAAGCGTGATGACCGTGCGATCTTTTACGAGGGTGTTGATTCACTCTCTGTTCCAGAACTGCAGATGGCCAGCGCCTCGCGCGGAATCCGCACACACGGCGTCTCCCCCGCGCGCCTGCGCGAGGATCTCGGCATGTGGCTTGAGCTGCGTCTCAAGCAGGGTGTTCCCTCCACTCTGTTAGTTTTGAGTAACGCCTACCTATACACCCAGGGCGGCAAGGAGTCCGAGATGGCATCGCAAATCGATGCGCTCAAGTCTGTGCTCTCCAGCATTCCCGAGGAGTTGTTCCACGAGATCGAGCTCGAGGTCCACAATGCCGAGGGAGCTGCTACCAACAAGCAGCGTCTTGAGGTTATCAAGGAGCAGGAGGAGCTGATCCAGGAGGAGAGCAAGCAGAACAGCGAGAACGAAGGCAAGGGTGTTGCCGCGCCTAAGGATATCGAGGATATTGACGAGAAGGAGGAGGCCAGGATTGAGGCTGCAGCTGACGGTGTTGAGAAGCAGACTACTGAGGCTAATGAGGCCATGGTAGAAGGTGAGCGCGCCGAGAAGACCACCGAGAAGACCACCGAGTCCAAGGAGGCGAAGAAGAGCGAAAGCTTGTAGTTGATATGAATATGGCCGATGTATTTGTGTTTTGATTTTAGGCATGTTTTGGTTTGGGTAGCACTTGTTATATAGATGGTTGTTTTGTTTCTGTTGGCTCTCACTTGGTGTCTCCCCCTTGAGTTCTCATCCTGTCTTATTTATTCTCGCTATGTTGATAGACCATTTGATCCCCGCCTCTCTACCTGATTTTATTGCTCTATGTGATCTAGCTGTCTGGCTGGTATATTCTATTGATTCCCTTTGGTTATTTTGATTTGACTACGGCATCAGGTGGATAACTATAAAGTGAATGGTATCCAGTAACTCCAGTTCATTTCCTCCCATTCATCAATAAGTCCCTGTAACACTATGGGATAACAAAGGATTCTCCGACGCCGGTTATATCATTAGTCACCAATATTACCTCGGCTACTACACAAGCCAAACCCCATCTTTCCCCAGTATAGTCAAACTGCCCAGGAGGACTAAGTACATAGTTCCGTATAACGAACCTTTGTTTTTTTTTGCAATGCGGAGATCACAGTTCAGCCTCCTCCAGACACTTCGCTTCAGTACAACCTGCCAGAACAAAAATCAACCCAAATTATTCCTCAATTCCAACCCCAGCATTCCCAAGCCAGAACCCCGAACTTCTAAAATAATGTCACCCTTAAATCCCGCCTCTCAGGTATGTGTAACTCGTTCTCTGCAGCTACCCGAAATGACCGCGTGTCCCTGTGTGATATGAATCTGTTGTGTCCATTCTGCCATGCATATCATCCCTACCGTTTTAACCCCTTGTTTCCCCCCCTTTAACCATGGGATGTCTTCAATTGCCATGATTCTTTTCTTTTATTTTTTTATTTTTCTATTTTTGAGGTCGATCATACCCGGATGTGTCTCCAAGGAGGTCGGGGGAAGAGAGAGAGCCGTTTGAGTTTCGGCTTCAAGTCTTACATCCTACCCCGTTCATTGGACTTGAACCCTTTTGATCTGAGGAGTCACATATGGAACATTCTTTTCTTTGAAGACTATTCTAAGACAGGATCTTCACGGTCAAGGTTCTGCTCTAACTGAGACCTTGCCATTCTCTTGTTCATTTCCCCGTGGATGTCCATCCCGATGTTGAAACCCAACCCCAGGGATTAGCATAACCCTGACAATTATGATGTATCAATAGGAAGCAATCACAAGACTCCGAAACTATGTTTCCCCCGCCAACAACGTACAACTTGGTCCCGCTAAGCAGACGGGCGGCAGTGCTGATACTGCTCTTCGCCGATGCCAAGGGCGACCTTAGGGTCGTCGTTACGATCCGGGCTAAGACACTGAGTTCCTGTAAGTTAAGGAGAATACCGATAAGTGGATCAGCCCTGCTTTCAGGTGCATGACATGGGTTGGTTGTTCGGGATTGAGCTAATCTTGTTCTGGTGTAGATGCAGGAGATGCTGCTTTACCTGGTGGTAGGTTGAGATGACAGCTTCCCCGGCAAAATCAAAAAAAAAAAAAAAAAAAAAAAAAAGAAAAAAAACCAGAAGAACATGAAAATATGAAAACATGAAAAGAGAAAAGAAAGAGCCCAAAGCTGAGTCGAGATGGATGCCTAATATGAGTCGGGCAAACCAAAATAAACACCCCTACATAAACTAATTCCTTCTAGGCCGAGCAGACAACACAGAAACAGCCTTCCAAACGGCGCGCCGCGAGGCAAGCGAGGAGATCGGCCTCCCCGACATTAACCAAGAGCTTCCATCCCCGTTTAGCGTGGAGCATCTCTGCGAGCTTCCGGCAAATCTTGCCAAAACGGAGGTGATCGTACGTCCCTGCGTGGCCCTCCTCCACAGCTATGATCCGTGCTCGGGGCTGAATGCTGACCCTGAGGTGTCACTTATTCCTATTTTGGATGCAAGAGAGGTTGAGGCTGTTTTTACTGCGCCATTGAAGGACTTTTTGAGTGCAAATGTACATGATGAATGGTATCGTGGGGCTTGGGGGATGTGGCATAATTCCCAGTGGAGGAGTAAGTTTTCCCTTTTTTCCTTCTTTTCTTTGTTCTATTTCGTTTCTAGACTGTGTTATATCCATATGGGAAATTCCCTAGGTTGTACTATGCCGAGGGTGGATCGGATGTTTATTTTATTTCGCTTTCATTTCTTATATATTTTATTTCCTATTCTTTGTTCCAAAATAGGAAATAGGGGGCCACTTGGGCAATCCTCAGATGGAGAAAAGGAGGGAGAAGAAAAAAAAGCAACGAATCAAGGTGGATACTGACGACGCCACTAGTGCATCAGTTCTTTGTCCGCACCGAAATTGAAGTCTATCGCATCTTTGGAATGACGGCACGAATTATTGTCGACGCAGCGCGTGTCGCATACGCGCAGGAACCGGAATTCGAACATAACAGCCACTTTGGAGACGAGGAGATGATTTCTAAACTTTGTCGGTTAGGCCGATTGAGTCAAGAAAAGGCAGCCAAACTTAGTTAGAGAGGACTGTGCTTAAGAGAAAAGGGCAAAGGGTCAGGCATAATATAAGCCCAAAAGTCCGGAGTACTCCATATATCCAGTCTCTAATCCAATCATAGTATCTCATTAAGCGGAGCAAGGGCGATCCGAGTTGTCCTTGCGTCAGGGATGGTTCGTTTGATGATGTTTACTGTCAAATGATATTGTGTATTATTATAAGTTGAGAGAGCTAAAAAGTATACACACTCCTACTCTCCTTACATCTCTATTCTTACATGAATATATATCTTCTCTCTCTCCTCCCTGGGGCTTTGTCTTTGTCTTTAGACCTTCACATTCATTGGCGTTCATTTATTGATGTATTATTTTTATTCCTGATTGTTCGAATCCCGTGCCTCGAAAATGCCTTCCCCGACCTTTTCGTATCACAGCCGAATGGCACCCCCCGTCCGACCATCTCGCTCACTCGAGGGACTTGAACGAGTAATCCCACCACTTTCACCACACATTTCACCAAATATTCCCTTCGCTACTCGCTCCGATCTCTTTCTCAATAAACCTCTCCCCGCAAAACCCCCTCCCGAACAGCCAGAATGTTCGGTTATGTGGAGTGACTCCAGCGACAGTGAAAGTACACTCGATAGTATCACACCAAGTGAACCCCGCCACTCAGCAGACAGTTATCCTATCTTTGTCAGTTCTGGTTCCGACTTGGACTTCGATCATCCGTCTCCATCGGCCGATCAACTTCCACTATCCCCACCTCAAAAACGCACGGACTCTATCGTTATCAATATACAACCCATTGCCGAACCCTCAGTATCAGTTTCATCTTCGTCTTCATTTTCCGACACACAATACGGACATCCATCGCTTTGGACCCAGAATCGCCCAGGCACAAATCATTATTTCCGCGAGAAGAAGTGGGATTATTTCCCCGAATTAGCACCTTCCTCTCTACACTCCACCGGCCGCATCAGCCCCAATACAGTTGCACAAAACCATAAAGTCTGCAAAATGGGCAGCCCACTGAAATTTGCTAAGGAAAAGTGTCGCTGGCATTCGCTCGATCACGGCAGTCTTGGTGGAGTTCGCGACTCAATCAAGACTTATGTCCACCGCACTCTCTCGCGCGAATCAACAGGAGAAAATAAGTCGAAGGAAACTCCCCGCCCGGCGACAGCGCCCATGGACTACCACCTCAATGATGTAGGAGGTACGCTCAACAGCACAGCTCCGACGCCACAGCAATCTGCCTTGGCCTTGGATACACAGGTTGCCGAACGAGCTATATCCGTAGCTACATCCTCGAGCAGTGAGTATGACTATACCAACCACAAATTTCATCTTGAAACACCAATCTCGCCAACATCGCCTATTTCCATCGCAACTCCCATAACACCCCGGCCGAAACAATTAGCAGTTCCGCTATCTGAGTATCAGAAACATGGCCCCGTGATCTGGGAATCGTCCAATAAATCCAAGCGGAACGTTCAATTCTCGAGATTTAATTCCTCGTCCTTGGCTGCAGAGGCATCTTCATCATCGGCTCCCAATATATCTTATGCAAATACCACCCTTGCTTCATCCCCGTCGCGGAAGCAGTCTCATCACAGTACCCGAGGGGTGTTTTTAGGTGCGAAGAAAAAGATTGCAGAGTCAAAGGATAATCGCAGAAGGGAGCAGTTGAAGGCTCAGATCAAGTTTGTTGGGCCTGTCAACCCACACACTTATACACAGGCCGATCCATGGGTTTGAGGTTTGACCTTTTTTTCTTCCTTGCTGAAACTCGGTGTTTCTTGTTTTGTTTTTATTGTTTTCCAGCACACATCACACATCTCACGACATCTCACGACAACATACCATATATATACCTATACCCTCAAGCCCAGGAGGTTTGTTTTCAACTTCCACTACATCATCTTTTTCACTTGCGTATCGAACTTCATTGTCCCTTTATCCCTTTACTCCCCAGTTAATTTTCCTTCTACGCTGTTCATGTTCTACTAGACTATCATTACATGCCATTTTTTTTATTTTATTTATTTTATTTTCCTTTTTCTGTTGGCTTGGACTTTTGTGAACATTATAGACTTTCGTAGGCGTTTTCTAAGCGAGGGTTTCTGGCTTAACATGGCTTGAGCAGCTGACTGACTAAAACCCAGTGTTCATTAATATGAATTATCAACAACTTTCAATTAATCACCTTGGGTTTCAATATTCAGTTTTAGTATCATTAAACCGAAGCAATCTAATTAAAGATATCCAACACCTATATCTTATATCTTATACAGACGTGCATAGCTTGGTTTCTTACATGCACGTACATACGCACAGACACAGATGCAGATGCAAGAATAAGATCGCCACTGTCAGACAATCATTCCGGTAATACACTGCAGAGGCAAATGTTAAGTCCACTCTGGTTTAATTACATTTCACTATTAGATTTGTATACTCCAATTGGTTTATGTTGTAGGTAAGGGTCTTTATATTGCACGGGACGAGACTAAATTATAAGTGAGGGGTAAACATGGGATATGAACTATTCTCACTTTCCAGTCGAACAATATGAAAATATTTTCCGAGTGTAACCATACCCTCGTGTCAAAAAAACAGCTCTCTTTAGAACTAGCGGTGTCTGATGTAGATGTGTTGTTCGTCGACAATAGTCCCTCAAATACTTTTGTACAGCACATAGAAATCGGGTTTGGGGGACTTCAGCCCCTCATTTGGAGGAGAGTTGTCACCGACATTTCGGGGCTGATGTACCTCCATGTGGATGAAGTACCTGGTAGGTTACGCTAATGCGATGTGTTCTGCATTACACTAGTGAGCTAGCTCTCGGTGATGGGTCATAATTCTACGGTCTAGATTTTGGGGACGGGATGTGTTTGCTTTATATTGTGGCTTAGACAGAGAGTATTGAACTTTAGATTGGCATTTTGTACTCAGTACGTACATATACGGGGATTAGTTTGAACTTTGAAATTGTTCTGCTCTAATTTAATGCACATAGAATTATCTAGCCACTCTCGGGTAAAATGTAGAAGATATGTCTTGCTGTACTGTATACGATCAGTGGGCTGCATAAGCGGCCCTGTCATGTCCTTTTGGTGGTCTTTTTGCAAGTCTTTTTGAATTTTCTTTTTCTTTTTTTCGTTTCTTTTTCTATATTTTCTTCCTCTCCGGGGTTTTATAGTTAAAAGGATAAAAATACGGGAAATTGTGAAGATGTGCAGACGATGTTTCTATAACCTTTCATGTAATTGTACGGAGTACAAGGAAGAAGGATATTGCAGCATGATCTAAACTATGATACCTGACCTCAGGCTATTCAAATGATTTGAGTCCTTATCAAGGAAGAGGTCATCTTCGGATCGATATATGTTCTGATCCTGATATGTTTTGAAGTGTAGTAGCTGCCTGAGGCCTCTACCCGGCACCAAAACGCCCAACTCTACACAGCTGAGTTAACTACATCCTTGATTGTACACATTCTACATGAACAATATGTAAAAAGAATATCCAAAACAACAACAAATCTGCATGACGCCAGATGACGCCATGAGCTACAAGTGTATATCACGTGACAATGTCGCCAACCGATGACCAGTTTCAGCCTGACCCCGCGCTCTTCTGGTTGAGTTCCATGGGGTGATTGTTTAATATTTACCTTTGAAAAGATTTAATTGAATTCACCTGTTGTCATGGGTATCCTAGGTCATCACAATCTCGACCCTGTCGCTGAGCCTATCGCCTTATTCGAACAATTTGTCGCGAAGGAGCCGCAGACAATAGTCCTGAGAGAGAAGGTGCTCTCTGTCTCTGGTGATAGCTTTGAAATCAAATTGGCCAATGGCGAGCCGTTTTTGAAAGTTCACGGAGCCTGGGTATCGCTTTCTGGTCGCAAGAAGGTAGAGGACGCCCATGGCAACCACCTGTTTGATATTGTCAAGGAGCTTCTGCATATCCATGCGACCTATGCAATCGAAGACACCCATCACAAGAAGATTTGCGAGGTGAAGAGTAATCTCACATGTACGTACCATCTTTCAAGATCTAAGACTATTCAGCAAAGTAGACTATGTTATACACATTACTAACTGCACTAGTGGTCGGCTCCAAAGCCACTGCCAGTTTCACTGATCGTTACGGCAAGGCTGTGACTCTCAATATGAAAGGAGGCTGGTTCGATTACACTGCTGATATTGTTGACCATAAAAGCGGCCAAACGGTGGCTCGCATTGATCGGAAACTGCTTAGCGGCCGCGATCTTGCGTTTGGCCAACAGACCTATGCCGTTGTTGTCGCACCTGGTGTGGACGCAGCACTGATCGCTGCATTATGTATTTGCTTTGATGAGAAGAATAATGATGAGCGCGGCGAATAGTAACACTGGCAGCACCGAAGTGTGAAAATGAAATGTGTTTCCTACTAGTTCGAAAGTTGGATCTGCGCTGTGTCGTTGCGGAATTTGATGATGGCTACTTCAAGTGTGTGTACTGCGATTGGGATCTTGTTGAATGTCCAACAACTTCAACATCCTTATGTTTGAGAAGGATTGAAATTCAGTATAAACTAATTAAACATACTTCTGCTTCATAATCCATTTCTGGTTCCCTCCCCCATGCTCAGGCCAGGCCGAAATCCTTACACCACATCCTACCATTCCCCCAGCAAGATCCAGAATGCAATCGATGTCTCGAACATTACGGAATCTGTCCATATCAATTAACAAGGGCAATCATTTACACGGCGATGAGAAAATCGAATGGCGTACCGGTACTGATTGCCGCCCAGCCGCTCCATTCTCCAGCGGGCTTCAGGGATGTAGGCATCGTTAGTAAGGCTTACTGGATTACTATGACCTAGGATTCGCGGCTTAATCAGTGACAACATGAAAAGTTGGTTCACGGTTATCAATTTGCCTACCATTCGGCTTGATCCAGGTATGGCTTGCATCATTAATGAGTAGCACTTCATCATCGCTATTACCTATGGCGCATATATGCCATATTTGCCAACCATTGGTGAAATTTTCGGCACCGTCCTCATTCCTGGCTGGTTTAAGCATGATACTCAATTTGTAGAATGAATACTGCAACATGAAGGTCCCCGTACCAGCCACAGACATTGTCTTTGTCCAGATTGAGCATGCTCTTGGACTCCACGTTTTGCAGACAACAAATGTGTAGGAGCGGAAACATAGATTGTATTCTGTTGCTAGGCATAATGTTGGTTGTATAGTAGGATACACAACAGAGTCAAGCATGGAATGGGCTATGATAAACACGAGGAGAGCTGATGAAGCATTCTTCTTTTAATATATGCTCTAGATTTAGTAAAATATCAAGTGACTCTCTTATGTACATCTGTAGCTGAATATCGAGGTTATTATTGCGGAATTCTATCGGCAACTCTGTCCAGTTGGTGTGGATTTCCCAAAAGCAGTCTCCAGCTGAACCCCGTGTGTCAAAATGTTCAAAATTAATAAAGGCTCCCTAATGTAGTCTAAGCAGGGAGCTGTCCCATTATTGCTCCTTACAATGGATCAAAGCACAAAGGTTAGGCCCAAGCCCTTCATCTTTCAACCTCGATACACTGCGATTACTTACGCATGTACAAGAATGAGGCAAAACATTGCCAATCTGTATTGGTAATTAAAGACCCCTCTGTCCTCCCGTTCTCCCGAGGTCGCCAGTTTTGTCCATTTGTTTTGTTTCTCTTCTTTCCTCGGAGTCTACACGAGGCCAATCATAACCGTTCGTGTTTCGGTTATAATGACTTTAACGTCTATTCATAATGATAAAGTTCTGTCCTCTTCCTCAGTGGTCGACTGAGGTAAGCTCAAATGGCCCAGCATCAGCTGAAATGCATTTCTTGCAAATACGGACCAAATCATCCAAATATATGGCGTTGCTGTCTTTCCAAGCAAGGAAAGAGAGAACGAGAAAAATAATATCGACGAATAGTAACCTGAGGATGCATATCCTAAGGTTAGAATCCTGTCGGAAATACCAATCCCACGCTTATCCAGACGAATGTAACACCGAACGATCCGGACACTGAAAATCGGCGAAATCACCTTCATTTATTTCGACAAACCGATACCATGGAGTGCAGCGCCTGCCAATCTGTCGGGGGCCCGACTACCTACCTAGTTGATTTGACAAAGACCCTGGACAATGTGTGCGTCAATTCAACTGGGAAACCGCTGCGGAAGACATTGTTGGACCGCGGCCCCGACTTGGAACACATCGGGTCAACGTGTGCCACTACAGACAGAACAATTCTGTACATCGACCTTGTCAATGAAGTCCTGAAATCCTATATTTCATATAATTTTCCCTCACGAATGCTGCAAGAACAGTTCAATATAGAAGAACATGCGACGAAAGACGTTCTAGCTCACGCCCCGCGACACTTTATCACGCGGTCTATGAATACATCCTACAGAATCAGGTCTACCCAATGGAAGTATTCCCATACAACCACGCTGTTGATTGCTTGCGGAGCTTCGCCATCAGTCAGGGTACGACCCTAGCAGAGATACAACTCAATTTGATCTCCCCACAGAAAGTTCTATCATGTCATACCCAGCAGTGAGCAGAGCAAACTAGCCGAGCCCTTTTTGCGACGTACGGTGGCGGCCGAGAACAAGACTGACCAAACTCTACTTGACAATGAGAGTTAAGTTGTTGTCGGTCTCATCTCAGCACAGACTCCGTTCGGCGTAGTTCGTCACAGACATCGTCTACACTGCCAATAGCCAGCGCATGCACGTCGAATGCGGTAGCTGTGTGCAGCCTGAGATGCGATGTGTCTCTCTTGACTACTCACTACAGAAAACGCCATCTCGCTGAGCAGCAGGCCTAGTTATAAATAAAATTTTGCCATACTCGATCCCAACTTTAGAAAGTTGCCCATGCAGGTATTGTAAAACCTAAAAGAAGTTCTTGAGCTTTTTGATGAATCTCCGTTGAACTGATATTAAAAGTACACTAGTTGATCCTAGACCTCCATAACCTTCTCCCCCAAGTAAATAGAAGTACACACCTTCCTACTATGTGGCCAAAAGCCAGCGGGAGTCCAAATTTGAACCATGTGGAAGGCTGCGAGATTGTGGCCCTCGGTACTACTATCGTATCGTCGTAGCCATTCGTCCTAGACTTGTTTTCCCCGAGCTGCCCTGTAAACCGCTCAACAGCCTCTATAATAATCCTAACCGTCATTTCTGGTTGACTCAGAAAGGGCGAATGGCTCGTTTGCAGCTCCCTATGCTCCACGCTAGCACCCATTTCCTTTGCCATGCCCACCTGCATGCGTTGTACCATAACCGGCAGACCACGATCCTCGGTGGTGCCAATGTACCAAACAGGCACATCTGTCCAACCGGCGTATGTGTATTCTCCCCCCTCAAACAATGCTTTGAGGCTCTGGGTAGTAAGTTCCGAAACCCAGAATTCTGCTTCATCTGCTGGCAAGTCGTGATAGAAGAGCTCACGTGGAGAAGCAACAAGTTCAGCATATCCTGTCTCGTTATTGACCCGCCAGGAAGGAGGGGGTTGGCCGAAAAAAGGATCCATAAAGGAAAGCCCACCCAGGGTGAATCCAGATGCTATGAGGATCAGGCCAACAACATAGCCCGTTGTTGAGGTTTGATTTCGGCTTTCGGTGAAATCTCGTGGTTGCGTGAGACCCTTGATAGCACTATTGCCAACCATGCCGCCATAGGAGTGCGCAATGACTACAACATTTCGCCCGTGGGTTGTCTCGCTCGAAATAGCTTCGCGTGCAGCATCGAGATCGTCTTTGAAGGTTGCGGCCGGGTTTCCCGTCGTCGAAGGCAGAGTTATTGAGATGCATTTCAACCTATGCTGGCCTTGGAGGAGCTTGATGACCTCATTGTAGCATGTAGGTTTATGCCAGGAGCCTGGGATGAAGACTAAAGTCGGTAGAGCGGACATCTCGGAGTATAGGTGGTGGTCCCAGAAATAGCATATGATGAATTATTTCCGTAGGATATATCCAGGGCTTGGATGAGAAAGAAGCCAGACACAAGCTGTTGGAGCTACGTGTTTTGGGAGTTGGACAATGTTTTAGGAAGTTGGCGTCTTCTGCTTTTATAATATTTCGTGTACAACATATAAATTAGCAGAACCTGGTTGCAACTTGAATTGGGGGACTCAAGTCATACTCAGTTCCCATTGGCCGATGCGGCTCCTGTTTGCTCCGATCATCGGACCCGATGCCAGCGGCTCCGTTGTGGAGCTCCACGAAATAAGCATTCTACTACTTCGTACTTCGTACTATGTATGTTGTAGTATGTTATAGTATGTAGTGCGTAGTATATTATACTATTTTATTAAATACTAGAATTAGCGGAACCGAGATGGCACCAAGTTAAATCAATTGAAAACATGGCCCTGTGAATTCATATATCTTTATACATCCTGGATTTCGCACCTTGAGACCAACATACTGCTTTTCTTTTGAGACAGTAACGAGTGACGTTCAATATTTGGTATTTTGTTGCTATTGTAGATAATATACTTGAAGATCGAAGGGGAAGAAAAACAGTCTGAATGATGTTGTTATTACTTGTCCTGCTTGCTGTGCTCCTTTCCCTTTTCTCCTTGAAATTATTTGGACCATCTACTTCGATCCACTTCGCAACATCCCCGGTCCTAAAATGTGGATTGCATTTCCTATCAGTCGTTTTATCGCCCTTTCCCGGGGTGAATTGGAGGCTAAAATGCGATATTTCCACGAAACATACGGTGAAGTCGTTCGCTTTGGCCTAAACGAAGTCTCTTTCATCACTGCCCAGGCATGGAAAGACATATATGGACATGGCCACCGGCAATTACTGAAGGTGCTTCATTCAACGAGCAACCCGGCTGACATTGTTAGCGCCAATGATACAGATCATAGCCGTCTCCGCAAGTCCTTAGCACCTGCCTTTTCTGCGAAAGGTCTGCAATCCCAGGAACCATAATCACCAAGTATGTGGATCTCTTGCTAGAGAAACTGAAAGTCTTTGCCGCCTCATCCGCCCCGGAAGTCGATATGGTAAAATGGTACAACCTGACCACGTTTGACATACTTGGAGATCTTGCTTTCGGTGAGCCATTTGGAGGATTAGAATCTTCAGAATATCATTATTGGGTATCGACCATCTTTCAGGCAATCCAAGGCATGTCCCTTGTGCAATTTAAAGATGCCTATCCGCTTCCGTTTAGAATATTGTCCTTTTTCGTCGGTTCAAACCGTCTGATGAATGCACGGCAAAGGCAAATCGAATTCAGCCGGGCCACTGTTCAGAAACGTCTCCAGATCAAAGGTCACAGAGAATGCACAGACTTCATTGGCAGTATGTTGCGGCAACGAGGAGAATCAGATAAAGCGATCACTGAGGAGGAGTTAGAAGCAAACTCCAACGTTTTGGTTATTGCTGGCAGTGAGACGACAGCTACTTTACTTTCTGGGGTTACTTATTGGCTGCTGCGAACGCCGCACGCCATGGAGAAAATCACTCGAGAAATAAGATCTGTTATTAAAACCGAGCATGACCTCACAATATCAAGCACCGCAAATCTGCCATACCTACTCGCATGTCTCAAGGAGGCATTGCGTATGTATCCGCCGGCGCCCTCTGGACAGCAGCGGATAACGCTTGGGCCCGAGCCAACTCGAATTTCGGGCTACATAATGCCCCCAAATGTAAGCAGCGACTTCTCAATGATTTCTTTTTTCAATCAATGGCTAATCATTACCAGACGAAAGTCTCAGTCCATCAATATGCTGCATATCGCTCACCCATGAACTTTCATGCTCCAAACCAGTTCATACCTGAGCGTTGGCTAGAGATTATTAGTGACAATCGTTCCTCACCTTTCTATAACGATACTCGGGATGTCCTCCAGCCATTCTCTGTGAGACCAAGGAACTGTATCGGGAGAGAATTAGCATATAGTGAGTTACGAGTGATTCTTGCACGGGTAATTTGGAGTTTTGACTTGGAACTTCATGAGAAGAGCGGGAAATGGGATATACAGCGCTCTTATTTGTTATGGGAGAAACCTCCGTTGATATGCAAGCTAAAAATGAGTGATAAAGAAATCTGGTGAACAGTCCATGAGAACTAGCTTGTTTTCTGCTAAGCAAAACCAATTCAGCATGAATTGGGTGCCAACCTTCTTGATACAATGAATGAATTTCAAGGTTTATTCAAATCCATCAACTTGCTATTTCCTAGGTACTAGCCGTCTTTAGGCTTTCTAGATCCTATTTTTGTGCGATATTAACAAGACTGTCTACAGACGCGCCTCGGCATCTGGTACATAATCCCTCTCAAAATTAAACCCAAGCTCTTCCAAGGTCTTTATCTCACCTCTCCGAGTACCAAGCGCCTGGGACGCCTTTTTAATCAATGGAACTCTGGCACGCGTCCACTTCTCCTTCTCACCCCAGAACGGTGGTCTTTTACCATGCCCATCATTATCCAATCCATCCACCCGAGCTGCATACGAGCTTAACTCGTAAAGTGAATTAATGTAATCCGCATCGAGCGGAAAGCCAAAGGTGTTAAAACTGCGTCCCTCGCCGCGAGTTACTGTCCAGGCGCCAATCCATCGCTCCATTTCAACCTGAGAAGGCAATGACAATCGACCGGACAGCACGCGTGCCACCCATGCGCCTTGAGCTTGACTAAAAGGGAATGGAACAATTCGCTGGGGAAAGCCTATTAAGGCGAGGGTTGGTTCTTTGCTGTAGAACACGTGCTGGTACAAATGGTGAGGGCGCACGCCATCTGTCACAATATGCGGTTGGACACCTGACAAGAAAGGAATGGAGAAGTGGTACCCCGTGCAAAAGACAATGTGATCAACATCTCTCTCTTCATGGCCATCGGCAAATTGGACACATCTCTCTCCTATGCTGAGAAGACTGATTTCTGGAAGGCTTTTGGAGATGGTAACCTGCTCTGGAGAGAGGGTTGTTGCTGTACGTTCAGAGATCAGAAGTGGATGTTTCGATACACGCCCGATTTGATTCGCGATATCGATTCCAGAGGCAGAGTGCCCAACCACAATGACTTTCTTTTTCTGTGTTAGTTGTGGCTTCTAAGTGAGCGAACGGGTACATACCTTGTTTGAAAACGATCCAGCACGCCTGTAAGAGGATGAATGTATGATAGAGCCAGGGTAAGCTCGACCCCACTCAGCTAGGCCAGTTATATTGGGGATATATGGGTCATTATGGTGCCCATTAGCCACCAACACTGCATCGAATTGCTTAACCAAGATCTCATTGGTCTTCAAATCGCGCCACGTTATGGTCCATTCTGGCTTCGGGTTCTTTTTTGAGAGCGAGACATCCAAAACTAAGGATTGGAGTCTTATATACGGCAGTAATTCCTCTGCATACCGATGAAGATAATTCTTCACAACGGCATGAGTCGGGAAAAGCGCAGTGTCCGCGGAGAACGAATAATCAGCGAACTGCATCATTGATTTGGGAATGTTCGTTTCAAGTGAGTCATATACAGGAGAAGCAAAAGTCCCACCCACGGGCTGTTGAGGCTCCTGGCTTGGTTTGGGACGGGCAAGTGCCGATGTAGATGTACTGTTGATGCCTTCATCGCCGGTATAGTTCCAAACACCGCCAGGTTGATCGCGCTGTTCAAATATTGCGATAGACTTGAATTTTTGTTCGGCAAGAAGATACCTGGGCATATTTGATCAATTATTCGCTCTCATGACTCACTACTCAATAGGCAAACACATACTTTGCGACTCCTAGGCCGCAAGGGCCAGCGCCGATGACAGCCACCCGTTCGACTTCCATAGTAATTCGTAATTCAGACCTCGGATTTGAATCAGGAACTATATACGTTGGTACCCGATCGATATGAACCCCCCTTGCGCCATAAGTTCAGATAACGTGCAACGGCCTAATTAGGTAATAATCGGAGGTATGCCGATAGGGTGCTACGGAGTATACAAACCAACCAACCCGATCAGCCGCTATGGGTATATCTGTGCTGACTGAGGATGATACTAGTCATGGAATATTTAAATGGAATATTTAAATGGACTCCTTCCACCGATAGTGTGCTGATGCCAAGAAACATAGCCTGTCGAGTGATGTGTCGAAGTCGGCTGAAGGCAAAAGTATTCTTCTTTTCACAAGGGAGGTTATAAAGGTCGGCCGCTGAAGAGGGAAAGAACGAGGCTATACCGTAGTTATATAGAAAAAAGAATCCAATATTTTAGCAAATGATCCTCAAGTAAAGTAGAGCAGGACATTCTCATGAGTTTTTCTCATCAGTAGGAAACTCGTCCTAAAATTTGCCGCCACTGGAACTTCGGTTTTGGAAGCGCCTCCGGCTTTAGTGGGCAAAAGAAACAATTTGCTAGACATATAGCATAGGCCGAACTGCGAGCGTTGAGCCTATTTTCTAGATCTTCGCTGACCTCCTTTTTTGCTTCCTCCGAAAGCTCGAAGCCTCGAAAACCGATACAACATCGGCACTCTATAGTGCAATGACCTCTACCTTTCTTCCTTCTAGATAGACACCTCTGTTCACAGCATCCACAATCGCGGCTACAACATCCGCCTCGATCCGAACAATCCTGAACCATTTCTTCGCGCATAAACCATTTAATATCACGCCTTAGGCTGTCATAAAGGTCTTTGAATCGTGGTTTGAGCATAGACTCCGCTTTGTAAAGGTCGTACTCATTTCTTGCATATTGTGTTTGAATCTCTTCGAGCTCTTTATGTGCCTCTCCACGCTCAGCCCCATCAGACTCGATAGCTGTGGCCTTTTCAAAGGCTAAAGCCTTGTAGTGTAGCGCCTCCTCACGCTGCATTAGTTCACGTAGAGTTTGCTCAGCAAGAAACAAATTGGTGATTCTGAACCGGGCAATAGAGTATGACCCGTATCTCATACATCTATTATCACCGCCCGAGAAATAAAAAGTTGTACTCGAGGGCCTATCGGAAAATCCCATGATCCTATCGTGAGTAAAATTCTAGCTTCTAATGTTAATATGAGAATAAGACAAGAAAGATTCAGCGGTAAGTACCTGATGGGAGAGACTAGGTATAAAATATGAATATTAAACGGAGTATGTAAAAAGAAATTAAAAGCAGAAAGAATTTGATATGAGCGAGAAATGATTCTTCCATGTCAAACTACCTAAGTAGGCCGCCGCCCAAAATAGAATGTATCGAAGCGTGACGCAACTAGACGTAAGAGTTCGAGTACTACTTGAATCTCAACATGGAATTTTCCCCTTATGGGATTTGTTGTGGATACTCTTTGTAGTCAGATAGTCAGATACGAGGAGCGAGTAATTTCTTAATTTTTTTTAATTTCGTTCATCAAGAATATATGAACTGACGAGCAACGCCTAGAAATTTATAGTACCTCAATTCGTGCTCTCGTAGAAGTCAAGACTTTTACTTGACCTTTCTCGGGGATTAGGTGGGAATGCTACTCAAACCACAGTTCTTACTGTCGTGGATCAGATCGGCGAATACATAATAGTAAATCGGTACCTAGTTTAGTAGATATGTGACCATATTTGTATATTGCATGTTGAGAGGTGTCATTAAGCCTACATTCTGCTGCGAAACATGCCGCATGCAGCTTGCGCATTTTTTGAGCAGTTTTCGATTGCTGGTGTCTAGAGCCAGAAGAGCCAGATACCAATCCTCCTCGAGCTTCCCCCAATCGCACTCCGCTCCGTCACAGTTGAATTGACATACCAGCTTGGAATCCTCTAATCTTCCGCCTTGCTCATGATCAAATCCATCCCTGGCGACCGATTGCAATTACCAACTAGGGTCGATGCAAAAGCACGGTTCAATTATGGTAAGATCATCGACATATTCATGTGCGCAGTCTGGGCTTTTATTCTAATTCTTCCTCGTCTGGGGACTTGAGATGGAGAAACCCGGGAGCACTGTATTTGGATAGACTAAACAAAGTGTGAATTTGGCGAAAATTGGACAGCATCAATTTCGGAAACCGCGTGAAATAAATGACGGACATTGCACAAGAGGGAAGAAATTTCAGGTCAAGCAAGTTTCCTAGAAAATAAGTAGACAGCATGTACTCCGTATATGTTGTACTCCATACATTGACGATTGGATGCCAAGAAAGATAAAACCCCCGCGATTCACCGGAGATTCGCTTCGGGTGTTACAGAGTCATTGCTTCGATCTGCTTCAAAGTCTGACTTGACTTCCTCTCTTCCCTTTGTGATCTTTGCTACTGTACTCTATCTGTGCATTCCCAATCCTCTCCATACCATGGCGCAAGAATCTTCGCAAGTCGCGCCCCGCTACCTGACCGGCGATAAGGCCGGCCTCCGGGAGTTCCTGGACAAGTTTGATGTCAGTACACGTTATAGATCGGATTGATGTACTAGAGAGGTTCTATTTACTGACTGGAATATATACAGGTATTCCTCTTCGATTGTGATGGTCTGTCCCCCGTTCTCGCTCTATCGGCTTTCCCTCCGCGTGGTCCCCCGCAGCGACATTCACCGCGTCGCAAACAACCGCTGAGACAATGATAATTTAGGCGTTTTATGGTCTGGTGACCTCCTCTTCCCCGGAACAGTAGAAACACTGGAACTTCTCCGAAATAATGGTGCGCATTAAATATCGAGTCGGTTAAAGCGGAAGTTGACAACCCCGCAGGAAAGCAAGTGGTCTTCGTGACGAATAACAGCACCAAGTCGCGCGCAGACTACCGTAAGAAACTCGAAGGCTTGGGAATCCCAAGTACGGTGGTCAGTGATACCACCGATTACCATATCCAATCACCCATTGTCTAGTGACTCACAACCAAATAGGAAGAGATCTTCTCCTCCTCATACAGCTCCTCTATATACATCTCTCGCATTCTCCAGCTCCCCGAAAACAAGCGCAAAGTCTACGTGATTGGTGAGACAGGAATTGAGCAAGAGCTCCGCTCCGAGAACGTCCCCTTTATTGGTGGTACAGACCCTGCATACCGCCGCGACGTCACGCCAGAGGACTACAAGAAGATTGCGGCGGGCGATGAATCCCTTCTAGATCCCGAAGTTGGTGTCGTGCTCGTTGGTCTCGACTTCCATATGAACTATCTCAAGATCGCATTGGCATACCACTACATCAAGCGTGGTGCGGTCTTCCTCGCTACGAACATCGACTCCACCCTGCCTAACTCAGGGACTCTGTTCCCTGGCGCTGGCTCTATGAGCGCGCCGCTGATAATGATGCTGAATAAGGAGCCTGTCGCACTTGGTAAGCCCAGCCAAGCTATGATGGATTCTATTGAGGGCAAGTTCAAGTTCGATCGTAGTCGGGCTTGCATGGTTGGTGATCGCGCCAATACGGATATTCGGTTCGGACTTGAGGGGAAGCTTGGTGGTACACTGGGTGTGTTGACTGGTGTCGCTTCAAAGGAAGAATTCGTTTCTGGCGACTATAGGCCTCATGCGTACTTGGATAAGCTTTCTGATCTGCTCGACTCGGAGTAGATCGAGCTGAAAGATATGTATTAGATGTATTAGATGTTGGATTTAGAGATAAACGCATACAAATCAATTGATTCACAGTCTACGTCTGGTGTTGGTTACAGAGTACAGTCATTTTCTAGTAGATATAAAAGATGGTTAGTTTCAACGAAGGTTCAAATATATATTTCTTAGTTTAACCTGCCTCGGTCGAGCGACAGCAAGTTCAATTTATCTCAGCTGGAAATCCGTAGTCCTTTTGCGCAAATAATGTCAAGCAGTTGGAATTCTCTGTCAACTAGTGGATTCTAGTCAGTTGGTGGTGTCAGACAACTGGTGGGATTTTGTTAACTGGTGAATTTTCAACAATCTCTGTGAGAAATACGAATGGCGCTTCCTTTTGCTATACCTGCCTCACTTTGTTTTAGTTTACGCAGAACCTCGCTGTTCAACTATCTGATGCATGTCGACTTTTCTTTGCAAATGGTATTTTTTTCGGGATTAATTTATTCACATATTCAGGAAACGGCTTCGTCAACATCATATGTACCCAGTGATGAACCCAACGATGAAGGACTTTCGAGGTCAAAGTCGTTCGATTCCAACCAAATATTGAAATTTGATCCAGCCATGTATTCGAGAGACTCAGGAGTCAAATTTGAACTGTCTTCCAATGCCTTCTCGATATCCCATAAATTCTCCCCAGCCTGATGGCCCATAGATGAAGAGCATTCTGTGTGTTCTTTCTTTTTTGCATCTTTTAATTGATTTTGGGAAGCGCAGTTGATATCAACTGCATGGATGGCGGGGATGGATGACCCAAGATGTGCTGAAAGTGAATTGTGCATGATAATGACTTCAGTCAAGATGTCTACAGCCTGGAGCAACTTTTCAGAGCATTTGTGGTGAAACTCTTCCACATCTAGTCCATCAATGGTGTCTCGATGGGGCCTTGACATGCCTTTGATAGAATGTAGCTCGAGCTGCTCTAGAACGTTTGGCGGTAACATCTCCATCCACTGCGCGACTTCATTGCCCACGTTTTGCGATGGGCCTTCACTAAGGCGTGTTTTTTTTGGACTAGTACTTGGGGAATCCAAACTTCGAGGACGGCGTTTCCGTTTCTGTGATGATACATCGGTGCTGTTTGACTTGGCATCGTTGCACTTAGGGTCTATTATTGTAGAATGTTGCGATGTATGTGGTGATAGTGGCTTTCCATCTGCCCGAGCTTCACGACAAATAGATCGGCTTGGAGCTGCTGCCTTTCTTCTCCTTCGCAGCGGGGCAACACATTCCTTCATATCAAGTTTGCAATTGGTGCATTTTGTACCTTGATTTAGTGCGTCACAACGCACTTTTCGTAAATGGCAGGCATGGCAAGCCCATTTTGCTCGCCTGGGCCTGAATACCTTTTCGCTTTTTTGGCATTGGATTGTGTTGTTCCCAACGGCGGGTTGTTGTATAGGTTGAGAAGGGTATTCGATATCCGTCATGTTTCTTGACATATGTCACAGGTCGTCCTCGTAACTCTTTGAAAACGCATGGCTTTTATGCATTATTTATCTAGACATCCTGTAATGGATGCTGGTCCTTGTTCTTCGGTACTCGGTAGTCGGGGGGCCGACTACCGAATTGATTTTTGATCCTTTAGAATCGCCGAAAGCTGCCGAGGTCTCCTCATCAAAGAGACAAGATTGGCAGTGAGGTTTCTCTTTTGATTATACACTCTGGGGTGCTGAAAGTATACCAGCATTACGTAGGGGATATGACACCCAGCCCGGGGGGGGGGGGGGGGGGGCCCAGGGCCCTAAGAACGACGAAACCAGGCATCTTTGATAGTCATACCTGCTTGTTAACAAACAAGAAGCCCCCCCCCCCAAATCCCAAGGTATTCAATTGAGTCAAATTTCATTCTATGGCTCGATAAAGTTGAAGTTACTGTTCATGTACCTTTTAGAGCTTAACTGTGGCTTCCTTCTCGCATCCTAAAACCCGAGTCTTTGACTAGAAAAAGAACCCCTTATAGAATAACTTACCGCATAGGGATGTCGCCATCCCCATCGGGAAGAGCGCTAGTTAGAGCAATAACAAGGATCCCCTATATCGATAGGTTAGTTGTGGTGCAAGATACTCATACAAAATACCTACGAGGTCGATTTGTTCAAAAAGGTTCATTGGATCGATATTGCGGTCCTTGGGGATATCATGTCAGCAATAAACCAACCAACTCCAGCTAGGATGTATTTTGTACGCAGCAAAGTCTCTCGATGGCAGATCTCCAAAGGGCGAGTAATGGACAACTCCGCTGAAGATGTCTGGGATCGTGGCAGAGGTAACAAGTCAAGTTGGTACTGCTCTATAAAATAACATTTTCTTTGTCAGTCATTGGTTCAAAGCGTTCATTCTCAGACGGCCATATACAATATGAAAGTGGCATGTTAAATACCAAGATGGGAAGGCAGAAAGCTTCAAATGCAGTAGAAATATCGCCAAATACATTCTTCAAGACAATATCATGGTGTAGGCAACATTACACAGCAGTGGAGAGCAGGTATTATTTCAGTAGAACATGGCTTACCTGCTGGTGATGGTGTTGGTTTGGATGATGGCATGGTTGCGTTCGGTAGTGAAGCTGGTGTTGTCTATCATCGTGACCAGCTCCTTGGTTAGCTCTACCAGCACGACGGGGGTCACGGCTAGCTCCATGGCGTTGTCTGGCATATGTAGAATCCATATCAAGATGAGCAAGAATATGAGTCCTGATGTAGAATCAGCAAAATATGATGACCTGAAAATCTCGGGCTTTTATTGAGAGACGAGAGTTTGTAAAGTGAGAAATAAAATGCAAACTTTTAAAGAATACCTATCAGTAGTCATGATTGATTTCAAAGATTCAACAGAAATTGTAAAGTAGAGAGACAGGGTCCTCTAGCCTCCTACGGTTCTCCCTACCTAGCCTTGTGTTTAATCCCAAGGAAGATCAGAAATATATATTCAGGGAGACCTTGACCACAATGGCTATCTGTTGCTTCACGCCATTTGCCAGGTCTGCATTGTTATTGGCGCCACCTCAAACCCAATGTCCCAGGTCTCAAGTCAAAATCACCGAATCACAATAGCTTGTCTGCCAGCTAATCGAGGAGCCAACCTCTAGGTGTGGTCATGTAATTTCTAGCTATATGGGTGCATAGATCACTCGTCAACCCGTTCAGACTCATCGCCTGGCTATGTACCTAGTTTGCCGGGGAAACGAACAACGTGGAAGGGTATCATGATCATTCCATTCGAAGAAGACCTGTGTGCTAGAAAAATCCGAATATAACGCCTCAAACACATAGGCCGTCTTTGTCCCAAACGCCATCTTTCTTTTCAATCGAGTATTCTGAGAGTTTCACTACTGACCATGAGGGTCTAAGCTCGAAGCGAGATTTGATATAAAAAAAAAGCCTCTCAATTTCCTCGCAGAACTCCAGCAATGCGTAATGACAAGTCCAACATGGAGAGATGCTCATCGGACCCGTCAACCAGCCGCTTGTCCATTTCCGAGAAGAGCATGACAATCTTGTTTTTCTGGATATCGGGGATTGCCTCGCTGAACACTACGCGTCGGTATAACTAAAACAGGTCAGCAAGACGTATTAATAGAATAAAGAGAAGTACAAACCTGTCCAACAAGCTGCGTAGCACTCCAGCCATCGGCCACAAGATCCGTAATCACCCCCGAGACAGCCTCGTAGACCGACCCACTACTCTTGGGCTGCATAGCCTCCACAAGAGAATCCAAAATGTCCTCCGGCAACACACCGGCAATTTCCTCGATGCTGGAAACCGTAATAACACTAGAGTTGCTACCAACGTCCGTCATCTCCGCATCATCATCAGCATCCTTCGCGATAGGCGGCTTCGTAGCACCGACCAAGCGCGCCGCACTTTGAAGATACGTGATAGCACGACGCAAATCACCCTCACCACATCGGATAAGCGTATCGACAACCCCATCCTCAAGCTGCAAGCCCTCCTGTTCCGCAATACTCGCGATCCGCTCACCAGCAGCGCTATTATCCAGCATCTTGAATCGGAACTTGCTGCATCGACTAGCGAGCGGCTCAATGATGCGCGTGACATAGTTGCAAACAAGACAGAACCGTGTAATCCGACTGTATGTCTCCATCGTGCGGCGTAGAGCGGACTGTGCGTCTTGCGTCATGCTGTCTGCCTCGTCGAGGATAATGATCTTGAATGGTGGGCATGGGTACTGTGCGCGGTAGGCGGCATCGAGGCCTGTTGGTTGGGAGAGCTGGGCTCGGGCAAAATTCTTCACTTTGTCGCGGACGATTCCGATACCGCGCTCGTCGGAGGCGTTCAGTTCTAGGATTCGAGAGCGGTAAAGAGCAGGCCCGAAGAGGGATTTGGCGAGGGCGAGGATTGTGGATGTTTTTCCTGTGCCGGGAGGTCCGTAGAAGAGCATGTGGGGTAACTGGTTGGGGTTATTTCATTGTTTCAATTGTTCGGAGCTGGGTGGTTTACGTTTGAAGCTTGCAGAGTGCGCCGCAAGACTTTTGTGGTGTGGTCTTGCGCAGCCACATCATCCAGTGTTTTAGGGCGACTAATTAACATTAGTCGAATCCTGGGTGAGCTCAAAGTAAAGCATTGACTTACTATTTCTCAACCCACGGCTGGAGTCGAGTCGAATCTTCCTTGTTGTCGCCAGCCTTGAGTTTAGAGCTGCCAGATGCTGCAGCCGCAGCGGCACGAGCCTTATTATTGAAAAAAGAAGAAGCCATTATAGCTTAATAGCACAAAATCAGCAAAGTGAGGGTTCACTTGACAGCTGTTCCGCGATGTGTTGAAGATCTCTCTCCCTGACGCCCTCCACAATCAAGACGCGTCTCCACGTGACACGCGCAGCACTTAAACATACTGACCAATGAGAGCAGCTCACTACCCAGTTATACTTCAACCCCATCAGCTCCGTTATACTGGTCTTAGAAACTACAAAGAGCAAGGTTGCAGGGGTCATCATTGCATGGTATCTCATTAATGCTTGGGATCAATATCTATAGCTCGTCTCGCACTGGTTCCTCCATCCCAGCCTCGAACATCCTCTTTTTTGTATTCCGAGGAAGCGCTGCTTGTCTTGCCCTCTCCTCCGGGGTGATATTGTCGATGTCTACACTTTTTTGTTTCTCTTGTTCAACCATATCACCAATTTTGTCAATTACACGATCGCTTTCGATCGGTGCTGACGGTTCTTGCTCCCAGGCAGCGCTATTGGCTGTCACAGTTCCTGTTTCAGCCGCCGTGGCCATTTGATGGATAGCAGTAGAGACATCTCCTGAGAGAGATTGAGAAGCAGATTGCACAGCTGTGGTAGACAGCCCAGCTACACCTAGTGTTGCAAATGCAACCCGGGCGATGAACTTCAAAGGTAGCCATACAAGCCACCAAAGAGGCCCATAGAAGACGCGTCGGAATAGAAGCCAGCCAATTGTCCCCAGAAGAACATAGAAGGCAGTCTCAAGATACCATGTGTCGGACTTTTGGGAGCGCAGAAGAGAATTAGCGAGACTGCGAGATGACGCGAGAAGTGTATCGAGGCCGCTATAGGACTCGGACAAAGATGAGATCGCGGCTGTGGATTGTTCTAAATGAAAATATATTAGCGTTTGTTAGATCAGAGAAACGGAAAGAGGTACTCACCAAGAGTCGACTGGGCAAATTGACTACGGGAAAGCTCAGCCTGCATGAGTTGATGGGTTCTGCGTAGCGCAGATGTCACGTCGTTGGAGGCATTCAAAACAAGATCGTCTTGAGTGAACTTCTCTGTCGGTCGCTTCTTCTCGGAAGAATGCGATCTTGACAGCAGCAACTCTCTCTCTTTCCGCTTGGCGAGCTCGGCATTCCGCTTCGCTTGTAATTGGGCAGTTCGGAAATCACCTCGTGTTCTAGAGGCCCCATTAGCAAATGCTGCATATTTAAAGGCTAAACAATTGACCATGACAAGGAAATCACCCCAGCCTGCGCAAGTCATCTAAGGATATCTTACCTCTTGAGATCCTCAGCCAATCGACCTGCCATAGAAATGACCCGCTCTCTCTCGGCCTCTTTCTGTCCATGGACAGTTAATGACTTGCGTCTACTATCTGAGCCAGTTTCCAACGCTTCGATCTCCACACGTAGCAGCTCTAACTCATGCTCGGCTTCCTTCAGACGGGAATGTATTTCACTCCCAAGCTCCAGGCGGGCTTCATCGCCCTGTCCAATAGAAGCAGTAAAATCGCGCAATCGATCCACCAGGGGCTGGATTTGTCCTAGGGAATCTGAGAGCTCTTTCACGCGGCTCTGGAGAGTTGCTGTGGGGGACATCTTGCGATAAGAGTATTGCTTATTCGTTGTGTCACATTCAAGTGCTGTCTGTTCCGGGACTTGAAGGAATGTTTTGGAAAATAAACACTAGCGGAGAATAACTTGAGAGATTTGAGCAATAAGTTGCTTCATAAGTGTCGAGTTGTTCAACTCAACATGTTGATGGGCGTCATTCGGCTTTGTGTTTGCATCCGAGACAAACATGCCCCATTTCCTTCAACCGCAATTCGCAACGGAGACTCTGATGTAGATAGAACTTGCAATTGAACTTGCGCCATTACTTGTCAGAGCTGTCGCAGACCGACTGAGATCCACGCAATTTACTTCCTTGGTGCAATCTTCCACTGAGGGTCATCTATCCAACCATCGCAGAACCAACCTCAGACAACACCACATTCAAAAAACTTCCTATCAGCCCTCATCGACTCAGGTACGCAACAACGGAGCCGATACAGAGCTACAGGGTGTTGTTCAAAAGATCAATTTACTGATCAATTTCCTAGTCCACAAACCCTTCCCCACCCTGCTCACCACCAAACCAAAACCGCAAGAATGACCATCCCCATCGCCACGATAACCACCTTCCGGACCGCCTACAACCCCTTCTCCCGCGCCTCCCGGCCATGCCGACTTTTCCTGGGTATGCTGCGCACACCAGACACTATCCCAACAAGCAGCCCGACCCACATCGATATCAAGGTCAAGCAATTGCCGCGCAACTCCACCGAGTCACCGACCATGACTATCGGGTTTAAGGGCGGCAAGGAGCTTACACTGGATGTTGGAAAGCGCGGCCTGAAGATTGGCGATGTTATCGAGGAGGTGTCCCGTGTTGGCAGAGCTCTGCAGCGGGAGGCCAGCTTGAAGAATTAGTGAAAAGTTTTATTGTTCGAATTGTGCATTCGTGTATTATATTACCTATCATTTTGTTTCATCTGACGATTTTTGGCGCTGTTGGGCATACTGGAATACTTGAATTATCCTTACTTTGCTAGAAAACATAAACTGTTGATGCTTGATAACTGATATTGAGCATAGTGGAATAGACTTGAGGATCTCATACACACGCTGGTGTTGAAAGTGGTGATTGTTTCATTGATATCTGGTTGTTCAAATTGCATCTGTCCATCGGACACTACTCTTCTCTACGTTGTGGTGGTAAAGAGCAAGTATTAGGAGCAATTCATTCACAATTCAAAAATGGGTTCTTTCTTCGGGAAATCGAAGAACGTAGTTCCCGCCAGGCAGACGATCATAGGCTTGAAAGTTTTGGTTAGTTTTATATTTTTTTTGCAAAAAATATCATTTATACTGCGGCACCTGAGATGAAGAACCACTTATCAATGCTGCCATCAATGGGAGCAGGGGGAAGGGTCTCATTGCGGGGGATGGCAGCAAGCTGAGCCTTGTCAGCGCGGTCGGCGGAGTTCTCAACAGTGGAGTTGGCACTGGTACTGGTTAGCTTGAATACCCTCAAAGGCAAGGATATATGTATATGGATAGAACTCACAGGCTGATCTCGCCACGGGCGGTCTTGCCGGAGACAAGCTTCTCCCAGGCATCGGAGCACTCGCGGATGACATCCTCGGCGTACTTCTTGTTCTTGCACTCGCCGGAGAAGGCGAACTGGTTCTCGGGCTTTCCGTCGGGGATCTTGTAGATGCGGAACCACTCGTTGGTGGCGCGCATGAGGCCGGGAAGCTGGCGCTCGACATCCTCAATGTCGTTGAGCTTAGGAGCAAGGGGATCGTTGATGTCGATGACAATGATCTTCCAGTCGGTCTCCTCCTCGTCAATCAGGGCCATGACGCCGAGGACCTTGACCTGCTTGACCTGGCCAGTGTAGCCGACAAGCTCGCCAATCTCGCAAACGTCAAGAGGATCGTTATCACCCTTGGCCTTGGTCTCGGGGTGGATGGAGTTGGGGTCTTCCCAAGTCTAATTCATAACGTGTCAATTTTTTTTCCTCACTCCTCGTTCCTATCCACGTGTGTGGGAGGGAGGTCCAAAACTTACGCGAGGGAAGGCACCGTAGTTCCAGAGGTAACCCTTGTGGGGGAAGCAGTTGCGAACGAAGCGGAGCTTGCCCTTCTTGGTGTCCTGCTTGATGGGGTTGAGGAACTCATCCTTGGAGATCTGTTGATGCAATCAGCATGTGTCGAGGATCAATTGAGGTGTGTGTTGCCGTACTTCCTGCTTGGCGTTGGTCCAGCGGGGGATCTCAACGACCATGTTCAGGATGGTCTGCTGCTCGTTGGCATAGAGAGGAATGTCGTGGAAGGGGGAGACGGGGACGCCATCCTTCTCAATGAACACGCGGTGCTCAAGGGTGTAGGGGGAACCGATCTTGCGGATAGAGTAAGACATGTTGGACGAAGTAGACGAAAAGTGTCTAGATACTTGGGCCACACGGGATAAGGAAGAGGAAAAGGAAGAAGAAGAGAGAGGGGCAATAGAAGTGGGGGGAGCCAGCGTTGCTGATGTACGCCAAACAAGGCGGGAGGCGGTGGAGGTAGCACTTCCCAGTCGGACCAAGGGAGGACAAGTCATTGGTTGTGTTGGAAGTGCTTTTTATGCTTTTTTTGGGTTGATATTATTTAGTATTTGTGATACAGAATACATGAACCCTGCAATCACAGTATAAGTTGTGCTGCGCGGTGTTAACCCCTTGTGTCGGAGGTTTGTACGGGGAAAAGAAAATCATAAAAAATAACATGGCAGTTCCGAAAGTCGGCATGTTTACAAATGATCAACCCGAATCAGATTGATATTCGGACTGAATCAGTCAATTGCTGATGTATGGAGGATGTACATTGTATATAATTGGAGTCTCGTGCTCTCACTACATATTAAGATTATACTATACCATAGCCCTGTAGATCTACGCTATATCTTAGCTATTTGACAAGATGTACACTGCATGTATCCGAGTTCATACTGCGATATATGCCGATGTCGGCAGGATACGTGGCCTATAGATCAATTGCAAGTTGTGCTTACTTCAATTTTGGAACATTATAACCTTAGAATCATCAAGCCCTCGGAAGAATGGCAAACAATCGCGTTCAGAGCTACATATGTACAGAGTACTAGTAGACATGGATGTCGTGATCCTTGGCAGGGAATAGACGCTAATCATTGGCTCTGATTTCGGAGAAATGATCGGACCGGAAGAGCAAAAAAAATACCATGATTACTAATGTTACAGGAATACATGAAATCCTATGACCAGCTTTTGGTCCTGAAAACATTGAAGATTTGTTATCGCCACTATCTTCACGTGACTCAAACTTTCAATCGGGAGGCCATACGGGAAAAAAGACTGTTCAATACATACTCCCCTCTCCCCGCAGCATCTGGGAATGCTATGATCAGAAATCTTCGCAAGACAATGACAACCCTCGCAACAGCAACCGCAACCGTCCCCGCGCCGGCCGTGGTGCCGCGCGTGCCCATCCCCGCCAACGGTGTCGACTATCGCAACAAAATTGTCCTCGCCCCAATGGTCCGATCAGGCGAACTACCCTCGCGCCTACTAGCGCTGAAATACGGTGCCGACCTTGTCTGGGGCCCCGAGACAATCGACCGCTCGATGATCGGCGCTGAGCGTCGCGTGAACCCAAGAAACGGCACAATCGAATTCACCCGCATGCCCAGCAATGGCGGACGCCCCAATAAACCAGTCAAAGCATCAATCATCTACCGCATCGACCCAGTGCGCGAAAAGGGCCGGCTGATCTACCAAATGGGTACCGCCAATCCAGAGCTAGCAGTACAAGCGGCGCGCGTCGTGGCCGCCGACGTCTCAGGCATCGACGTCAACTCAGGCTGCCCGAAACCTTTCTCTACACACGGCGGGATGGGTGCTGCCCTCCTCCGCACCCCCCGACCTCCTCGTCTCGATCCTGGAAGCTCTTGTCAAGGAGATTGGCGAACCCTTCCAAATTGGTATCTCGGTCAAAATCCGCATCCTATCCAGCCCCGAAGAAACAGAGGCCCTAGTCACCCGCCTCGTGAAAACAGGCATCACAGGCTTGACAGTGCACTGTCGTACGACTCCTATGCGGCCGCGTGAACGTGCAATCCGCGATCAGCTTCCCATGATAGCAAAAATTTGCCACGATGCTGGCGTGGCGTGTGTGATGAACGGCGATGTTACGTCGCGCGACCAGGGACTCGCGCTGATGTCTGAGTACGGCGTTGATGGGGCTATGATCGCGACCTCTGCCGAGACCAACTCGTCTTGTTTCAGGGCTGAGGAGGATGGCGGCGTCGCGCCGTGGCGGGACGTCGTCCACGAGTACATGCGCTTCTGTATCGAGTCGGAGAATCGCCTGGGCAATACCAAGTACCTGCTCAATATGCTGATCCCCGGCAAGGACAAAGAGTTCAAAGATACGAAGCTATCCAAGACTTATCTTGATATCTGCCGCGGGTTGAAATTCGATGGTTTGCTTACTGCTGCTGCAGCTGTTGATCAACTACTTGGTTTGGATGATAAGTGGGAGACCACTGCCGGTGTGCCCGATATCCAAACCCAGTCTGGGTCTAAGCCGAAGGCTGTGCAGAATGCTATGGAGTCTGAGGCTGCTCGTGCGGCTGGTGGCGGTGCTGTTCGGACTAAGACGCCTTCGCCAGCTGTTCATGGAGGTGGTCCTATTCGGCGGTCTTCTGCTCCTCAGCCAGCTAAGGTCGCTCAAGTTGATGCTGAGCAGCCAGCTGTTGAGGCTACGATTCCTGCCGCACAGACTCAGGCTCCATCTCAGCTGACGGCGTAAATACTGCTTTGCGCCTTTAGTTCCGTCCATCATCTATCATTGCTTACTTCCGCGCTCTGTTCTCAGCCTCCATGCATAGCCCTCGGTTTTCTCTCAGTTTACTATTCCTTTGATCTTGTTTGCATCTGCATTCTGAGGTGTTTATGATTGCTTCCATCTACTCTGTCTAGATTATTCCCCACTTACATATCTCATGCTTATCTTAGATGACTACATACCTAGCCTCAATACATATCTAGGTGTCATCCTACTTCCTACAAAGCCTAGAAAGATCGTGCACTAAATAACAGTTGGATTTTTGAATCCTCTAATCTAACAAATGATATGCGATTCCCAGAATCGCCATGATATCAATCCTACCGAACGCCACGTGCTAACTGTGCTACATTCAGCACAGTATTAAATGCAGTATCAGCATCACCCTGCTGATACTCACAACAGAAACTCCAGTATTCCTTTTTTTGTTTTCTTTTTTTCTTTGTGCTCACTTCTCTGCCTTCACCTGCAGCTCGGCCATCATCATCTCCTCAACAACCTTCATCCCAGCCTCCTCGCCTTTCTTGGCGCCAGCCTCATCATCTCCAGCCACGGCCTGGTCAAGTGCCAACTTGGTCTGGCCCAGTGCGTAGATCTGCTCCTCAATGGTCGCCTTGGTCACGAGGCGATAGATTTCGACCTCGCGGGTCTGGCCGACTCTGTGGGCACGGTTCTCAGCCTGCACATCTTCTTGTGGGTTGAATGAAGAGTCGAAGATGACCACGCGGTTGGCACAGGCCAAGTTAATACCGGCACCACCAGCCTTGGTGGACAAGAGGAAGACGGGGATCTCGGTGCGCTCATGGAAGGCGTCGAGGATGGACTGACGGTCCTCGACGTTGGTGCGGCCATCTAGACGGACGAATTCAATTTTCAGAGTTTCCAGGACATGCTCAAGGATGTCCATGACCATCGTGAATTGGGAGAAGATCAGGGTGCGATCGCCATTAGCGATGAAACGGGTGAGAAGCTCTTTGAGGTGCTCCACCTTGCCGGAGTCCATCCACTCATCGTTCTTGAGCTTGAATTTGCCGAGGGAATTGGGGTTTTCCACACACATGTGGTGGCACTCGAAGTCGTTGTAAGCCGTGAGCTCCTCAAAAATGATCTTAGGGTCAGAGAGCGACCACTTGTCTTCCTTCAAACAGGCCTTAGCCATCTTCTGTAGAATTTCATCGGTGTAGTGACGGCGAGCAAGGAGGGGGTGAATAGCGGCCTGGCGCAACTTCATGAGAATGTTGGCGGACTTTGAGCCAGTCTTCTTTCCAGCAGCACGATCTGCCAAGAGCTGGCGCACTTGTTCCTTTTCATGATCGTAAATCTTGACCTGAGAAGGTTTCATTTGGCACCAACCAACATGGGAATGCTTGGCTGGAAGATCAATGACCTGGTGCTTCTTTCGTCGGAGGATAAAAGGCTTCATCATGGACTTCGCGCGCTCGATGCGCTGCTGAGATAGGAGAGTAGCGTGGGACTCGTCGGTAGTCTTTGCCTTGTTGGAAAACACTGCATGAAGGTCTTCCTTGTGCTCATGGAAGACTGAGGGAAGAATAAAGCCGAGAAGAGAGGCCAGCTCCTGCAAGTTATTCTGAAGAGGAGTGCCGGTGAGAAGTAGACGGAAACGCGCCCGAATTCGAATTAGTTTTTCATACAACTGAGACTGATGGTTCTTCAGCATGTGGCCTTCATCATAGACACAAACAGTAAAATCCATGTCGCGCAAGAACTTGGCATCAAGCTTCGCCTTAGCAATCGTGTAGGTGGTGACCACAACGTTGATCTCGTCACGTCGTTCCTCGATCTCATCCCGGATGAGAGCACGCTCGTTGAGACCAGCGTAGTAAGGCATGACACTTAGGGCTGGACAAAACTTTTGGAACTCGCGAAGCCAGTTCTCAATGGTGGAAGATGGGACAACAATCAGGTGAGGGCCCTTGATGCCCTTCTCAAACAGATGTGCGAGGAATGCAATGACCTGGCAAGTCTTGCCCAGGCCCATGTCGTCAGCCAGAATGCAGCTGAGATTTTTTTCAAACAACAATGCCAGCCAGTTGATTCCCACAACTTGGTAATCTTTCATCACCAGATCGTCGGCCATGATAGCAGGCTGTGAGATAAAACGAGATTTGCGCTTGGAAACGACCAGTTTGCCGCTTTCTTCATCACTTTCGGAGGATTGGCGTTCAGATGCGGGAGTGGCAATACCCGAATCGTTTGCTGGTTTGGAAGGTGCAAGGTTGGTAATTTCCAAGTCACCATTTTTTCCGAAGGTATCGACACCCCATTTCTTCATCTCTTCAGCAACTGGCTTGCCGAGTTCCGCAATCTCACCAACAAGGGTATCAATAGCCAGATATCCAGTCCACATATCAACACACTTGTCAACAATCTTGTCTCCAATGGGCTTGGGGGCCTTGCCTCCTCTCTTGCCCTTGGGTTTCGCAGTCTCGACAACTGGCGCAGAGACAACACGCACCTCATCGAGGGTCTCGTATGGACGGTTCGAAATAATAATTTGAGCAGTTTCTTCGGGGATAGATGCAATATCAGCGAGATCCTGAACACGACACGTGTTGAAGAATTTCAAGACCTTGGAATCTAAACCGCCAGCGGTGGATCCTTGGACCTGGGCATTGGAATCGTCCGAATCACTCATCATAGCCTCGGGGGACTCCGATCGATCAGGCGAAGGAGCTTTGCGACCCTTCTGAAGCCGTCCTAGCTTCTTTTTCGGGGGACTGACATCGTTGATTGTGATAGCACGAACAGGAGAAATAGCACGGGAAGAGCCCTCAGACTTAGGTCCACGAATAAGTCGGCGGCGAGGCTTTCCTTCGTCATCAGACTCCTGGGCCTTGGGCAGCTTCATTGCCGCCCACTTGTCCTGAATTGTGCCACGGGCTTTAATGTTCTGCTTGGCCATGGGGGCGGGGCCCGTAGCCGGGGAGCCGTCCAATTCATCATCAGAGGATTCAATCACCACGGGACCATTTTCCTTGTCGGCAGCATCCATTTTGGCAAGGATTTGAAGGGCGTCGTCGTAATTGCCCTTTGCCTTCAACATAGCGTCCATGCAAGTTCGAACAGTCATATGCGGCATAACTTTGAGAATGCGCTCAACTTTGACGCGGAGTCTGAAGTCATTGATTTCATGAAGCAGGATGTCTGGAGCTCCCACAGGTTGTGCGCGAGAGGGCGCACCTTGTCGGGCTTTTTTCATGGCAACTCCCTTGGGTGCGGGTGGGCTCATCTGATCCGCAGTGCGCTTGATTGCGGTTCCAGTATTGTTCGGATCGTACATGGCAGAGGTCGTAATTTCTCGGAACCGATCCATTGGCCCGGTGTCTGAGCGGACGGGCGACTCCATGATCTTTTCTTTTTCAGGACTCCGAATGGTTTTCGCAAACATAGACGGTTTGATATCTGTACTTTGTAGGTGGTACTCTTCGTCTGAGGAGCCACCTCGGTATGTCGGTCCGTCGTCGAGATCAAATTTTGGAGTTCGTTTTGTAGGACCAGAAGCAGGAGGTCGGAATTGCGTCCCAGAAGGAGCGATTAAGGATGAAAGTAAACCGCCTTGAGGTCGGCGAGGAGGAGAAGGGATTGGTACTATGGGAGAAGATGCAGCAACTTGAATGACAGTATTGTTATACCGCGAGTAAGGATGTTCAAGTAGTTGTGTTGGTTGGGTCAATCTTTGCGATGGGGTTACCGCTGGAAGAGTGGCGATAGTTTCGTAGTCTTCGCCAGGAGGGGTACTCGGTATGGTTTTGATATCTCGAGGGGGGGTAATATTGACAGATTCATCCATCGCTCCAGGGCTCACAATAATAACGATGTTATTCAATCATTGGTGCCCATTCTAATTGTTCTGTTCTATTCAGGAATGTTTTTTCTGCCAAAGCGGACACGCGCGACCATGGACGCGCCCAATCACGTGCGAGGTCAGTCAATTAAGCACTAAATTAGAACAAAGGAATTTAAGGTATATGAATCAGTGAATATCATTACAGTTGTTTGAATGGGACTTAGTCCTCTATATTCAATGAACAATAGACCTCAACTTTCCCTAAATAGGAAAATGAAACAATAAGAGAGTCACATGGGGCATATATACCTCAACCCACCAATCAAATGCCAGCATGTGATGGCGGGCACTAAGTTACCTCCGCACTGATAGCTTCAGATGCGTTCCTTTGTTCTCTCAACCCAGGCCTTCACTTTACACCACTTGGCCTTTGACTTTCTTGATTACTATTACTCTTAAAGAACACGAGTATGTCTGCCCGCCGTCCCCACAACCAGTCCTACGCGAATGTAGCGGCGAAGCCTGCGCCGCAAGGTAGTTCCGACGTGGCCCCGGCGGTTCCTGCGTAAGATAATAGCCTTAGAAGCTTAAATCGATCCTTGAAGACAGATTCTTATTAGCTCTGGTATCTAGCGATGTGATTTACAAGCTCCTCTACTTCACAGCTGCCATGGTCGCTGGCCCCATTGGCATGTATTTCTTGACTGTGAATACAATCTTCAGTGGTAAGCGTTTCTCTGCCTTCCAGCTTGCAATGACATATCCTAATTGAATTGATTTTATCAAGGGAGCTCTACACTCGCCGGAATCACCGCCGCCGTTACCGCCAATGTTGTCTTGTTCGCATACATCTATGTCGCCTGGACAGAAGACCAGGAGGATAGGCAAGCAGCCACCAAGTCAGACTCCAAGAAAGCCCAGTAGCCTGGATGGAACTCGATCTATTGGATTTGATAAAACGATTACTCTTTTTGGCGTTACTGCATTATTCGGGTGGTAAGGGCTTCTGTTGCATAAATGGGATGGAACTTTGACCATCCAAGGACTCAAATGTAAAACTACACATTGACCGAGCTATTCCTCTAAATGTGAACTATGTATCTTGAATGTTCCCAAGATATCAAGCTTCACACTTCAATCCCATCAGCCAAGGCCCATATTAAAGATGTGTTGTTCATGTTGAAAGAACCACATAGAGACAAAAAAAAGACCTCGACCCATGCCCTCGGTATAGATAGATGCGCCAATATGCAGTGCCAAACAGAAATCACTCCTTCACATATTCCCATTCCCATAAGCTTAGGTAGGTCTGCGCTTGACAAACTCTTCCAAGTCCGCCTTGGTAGCAACACCAAGCACAAACTTGCGTGCCACATCAGTGACAACAGCAAACTGCTGCTTCTCGCGGGGCTCGCCATTTGGCCCTGTCTCGCTCTCGAAGAACTGCTCGAGCTCCTCGAGCGGTGTCTCCATCGTGATGACATGATAGATGCCACGTTTGCGGTTGAAGCGCTGCATTGCCGCTGAGACTGGGTCGTCTTCTTTCACAGCACCGCTCTGCAGCAGCTCCCGTAGCCGTGGGATGTTGAGGTAGCCCAGCAGGGAACGCTTTGTCGGGGAGATAACGGTGAGGTGGGTGTAGTCTCGCTCGTAGGCGGCCATTACGGCTGTGGAAATTGGGTCATTGGAGGAAATTGAGAGGGCCGGGGGAGGGTCGAGGTCTTCAATTGTTGCCTGTGTTGCGTGTTAGTTTTGGGGGCCGGGAAATGATTTTATTGGGAAAGACGGACACCACGGTACTTGTCGGCCCAGGCTGCTGTAGATGATGTGTTTGTGTCGGAGGTAGTTTCCTTCTCGCGAGTGAAGGCTTCGCTGCCGGTCAGGTATGATGCCATTTTGGGTTTGATCGCGATGAGGGGTCAATGAGGGGCAGTGGATTGGTTAGGGGGTAGTCGAGAAGAGGTAGAGTTAGGTAAAAGGTGGAGAACAATTGGCCCAGATGTAAATATTGAGAAGTCAAGTAAGGTTTCTCCGTATTGTATACCTAAGTTGTGCAGGGTCAAGAGCTTGCAGCCGGTGGATGACTTTTTGATGTCAAGCTTGGCATCTTTAACTCCACTACAGAAGACGCTTGCGGCCACGGAGGTTATCAGATTCAAAATATCCATTTTCCTTTTGTTTTTTTACTTTGAATTTCAAAATAACTACTTCCCAATCACTGGGCTAAAAGGAATGTAAGAAAGCACACAATTGAGACGGCCCAATTGCTATATCTAGCCCTGTGTGAGTATCCTAAATTTCCAGACTATAGGAAACTAGTATTAATACGATGTGGTATAATAAATAGCCCCAAGTCAATGTTTTTTTTTAATCTACTTTGTGAAGCGCATGTTAAGTACGTACTACTTCTCCCCATATACAACCCGGTTTCCCTTTTGGCCCCCGGCCCCCGGGATTGTAATCCTAGCCAGTTGCATGAAGAGCGGCATATTCCAAGGTTAAGAGAACCTATAAGTAGGTCCAATCTCGATGGCATTATTTGGAGTGTAAATGTTAGCTTCTATAGAGTACTTGTGGACGTATTGATAGTAAATTCTACGCAGGTACTATAAAGTGCCTTGTCGGAGCCCGCCGGTGCTTACAAGCCCCACACGTCATTGCCTCTGTGAGAATCATCTTTATCCCCCCGTTGCATTGTATCCTGTTTCATCCCGATTCAAGTTCTCATACGGATTCAATCAAAAGGAGACACGCTCAGTATCACTCGACATCCACCCTTCGGTGGAGATCAACGGATATCCAAGCCGACTCCACTCATACCCACTACCCGAAGTGTACACCATGATTCCTGACTGGATCAACGCTTTCGCCGCCCGGCATCCTCTGGGTGCTGTGAGCAACAATCCGAGCAACAATCCAAGCCCCATTGCGAAAAATAGACCGTTCGCAGCTTGGAGTGCACTTGACGATGTGAAGTCAAAGGCCGACGACATTGCACACGAGGCGAGCCGGGAATTTAATGTCGCAAGCCAGAAGGCCCAGGAAAAGGCCGGCAAGATCGAGCCGGGCTCTCTGAAGTACTATGTAGCTTGCACATTCGGTGGAATGATGGCATGTGTCAGTACCTCCTTTTAGCTGAACTATGATCGCTGTATTAGCCATATACTCACATATATACCAGGGCCTTACCCACACTGCCGTGACACCCCTCGATCTGATCAAATGTCGCCGCCAAGTTGATTCGAAGCTCTATAAGAGCAATCTACAAGCCTTCCGAACTATCCGGGCAGCTGAAGGTATCCGTGGTGTCTTCACGGGCTGGAGCCCTACCTTCTTCGGCTATAGTGTAAGCCTGAGCTTTATGTGGATCTTGTACATCCCTAATTATGCATATACTGATTACAGTTATAACAGGCCCAAGGAGCTTTCAAGTATGGAGGATATGAGTACTTCAAGGTCTTCTATAGCGACCTGGTAGGCCAGGAAAATGCAAGCCGATTCAAGACTGCTATCTACCTGACAGCTAGTGCCTCGGCAGAGCTCATTGCAGATATTGCCCTGTGCCCATTCGAGTCTGTCAAGGTCCGCGGTCAGACTACTATCCCCCCTGAAATTACAGGTACTTTCAGCGGTATCTCGAACGTTGTTGCCAAGGAGGGCGTTGCTGGGTGAGCTCGACATCTATCGCCTACCGATATTGAGTCAACACTCTATATGCTAACCCTTGCCCCAGTCTGTACAAGGGTCTTTACCCGCTGTGGGGCCGCCAAGTTCCCTACACTATGATGAAATTTGCTTCCTTCGAGACCATTGTTGAGATGATCTACCACAATCTGCCAGGTCAGAAATCCGACTACAACAAGGGTGCCCAGACTGTCGTTGCATTCTCGGGTGGTTATCTTGCTGGTATTCTGTGTGCTGCTGTATCGCACCCTGCCGATGTCATGGTCAGTAAGTTGAACGCGAATCGACAGGCGGGTGAGGCATTTGGCGCTGCTATGAGCCGTATCTATGGCGACATTGGCTTCCGAGGATTGTGGAATGGACTGCCTGTTCGTATTGTAATGATCGGTACTTTGGTAAGTTGTTATTATGTTCAGGTTTAAGTTCAGCGCTAACAAGACTACGATGTACAGACCGGACTCCAATGGATGATGTATGGTTCCACTTTATTTTGGTCTGTGTCCTGGATATCTACTGACTCTGATCTTATAGCTACGATTCATTCAAAATTTTCATGGGACTTCCTACCACCGGTGGCGCAAGCGAAGACAAAAAGAAGACAAACTAAGGACATGTCGAGTTTAATTCGGGTAGCATGCGCAGCCTCCATTATTATATTCGCTATCTGGGCTGTAGCCACGCTGATCTTCGCTATATCTTTTAGGAATATTCCATCATTGCACAGGCTCAATAACACATATTATCTCCTATTTTGTCTTAATATCCGTATAGTAAACGCCAAGTCTCCCTATCGGCCAATTGTAGTTTGTCACCATTCTACCAATCGGAGATTGTTATCTTATCGACGTCACCAATGTAGTTCGTCTGCGAATATAAATGTTCAATGTAGTTGAATAACAACATCTAATATAGATAGAGAACGACTTAGATACCTCTTGGCTCGACATACTAGTATTATCTAGTATTATCTAGCTCCCGGGATATCAAAGGTGGGTTATACTTAAAAAGATCTAGATCCCCCAAAATCCACTTCCATATCCCCCCTGTACAACTTATAGCTTTCTGCGACCTTTTAAGAGAAAAAACAGTAAGCCTGCAGTTTGCACCCACGTGGATTTCCCCACTATCGCATCTTGTACCTGCATCTGTCGCCCCATCGATAAATCGATAAATCGATAAATACTTCCTATCTGCCCCCAGTCCCTCTTCCTTTCGCATCTACCCCCATCGTATCTCATCCGCGAACCATCTCACTTGCGAATTACCTCACTTACAATATACATCTACTTCAATATCTGACCAAAAAAAAAATCAGTCAAGATGGCCGAGAAAACCGACCAGCCCAAGAGCGAGCCAGAGGCACCAATGGTCTCTCACGGCCGAGGAGGCAAGCTAAACCCCCAAGCCCTAAATGCGCTTGCCCCTCCACATCTCATGACCGCCAGCTAACGGACTTTTACCCAATAATAGGTAAAGGAAATATTGGCCAGGACGCCACCGAGTATGTTCAAACAAGGCATACATACATGCGACAACATACTAAAAACAAATCAAAACAGATACGTCGATGGCGAGATCGTCCGTGAAGGCCCCTACGGCGACCAAGGTGATGGCGCTTACTCCGCCGGCGTGAGTACCTCTCACCCCACCAAACCCCAATCCGCAACTTCCACTGATGCACCCGATTCTACCCAGCGAGGCGGCGCAGGAAACATCGGCTCCCCAATGGTCCGACCCCAGTCCAGGGCTCCCCATGACGCCGAGATGATCCCCGAGCTTGCAGTGCGCGACTCAACCGATGAAACATACCACACCGGGGTAAGCAACATGAGCAGCAGAGAGCTCTTTCACTTGTTTACCTTCGATTTATTTTATGATTGATTCCCCATGCCTTTCCCTGTGGTTTTCGGTTTTCCGTTCCCTCCTCTGGATGTGATGTCTATTGCGGAGTTCTGCTTTGTTTTCCCCTCCCCCGCTTTTCGGAACCCCAGGCGCATTTTCCCAGGACATTATGGCTGACGTTTTTTTCGGTTCGGTAGCGTGGTGGACAGGGAAATGTTCATCTTGATGCGGCTTCGCTCAAGGAGAAGAAAGAGAAGAAGGTTGCGCATGAAGGGTTGGCCGACAAGTTGAAGTATAAGTTGCTGGGGCGGAAATAGGGTAAATTGGGGGTTTTTTCCTCAGTTGCGTCTTGTGCTTCTTTTGTGATTCCCATTTCTCGTGCGGTGGTGATGGCGGGTTAGCCTGGTATCAATTTATTCCAGATTTTATGGTGGACTTGCTCTTGCTTTGTGTTATTTTTTTTCACGTCTTTTGGATCTTAGATAGGTACCTGCAAATGTATGTATGCACCTAATGGTCTGAACAGTAAGATGTGATGGAGCTGATATCCTAGGAAGAGCCATATGGAGTAAATACAGATTGATATGAATAAGAAACAGGGAAAAAAAGACATAAAACAAACAAACTAAATAAGTCTCAATCCATGACGCATCCCATGTATCCATGTATCATAACCTCATTATAGTATGCGGAAAGAATTAGTCATGAAAAGCAGAAATAATAATAAACACGTCCCGCATATCCTTTCATACAAACGGAAAGAAAGGGACAAGAACGCCAGTTTGTAGAACCCGAAAACAAAGGATTATGCATCTTGAAATGCAGTGTGCGGATACAGTATCAAGCATTATCAATCTCACATCTCACCCGAGACATGTTGATTTAATCTTTGCTGAACCGGCGTTTGAACCAGCTCTTCCTCTTGGATTTCTCCTCACTAGGCGGAGGTTGGTTCACAGTCTTGTGTACAGGCGGTTGTGCAGGCGCAGCCCCCGTGGAAGTCGGAGTACCTCCAACAGGTCCACCCCAGTTAGGGCCACCTCCGGGCTGGGGAACCCTGGGTGAGCCGAAACCATACTCAGCTTGGGAACGGTCACCAAAACGCTGTTGCTGCAGAGCCTGCTGCTGCAATTGATCGTTGGAGCTGTTCATCGAGCTGGGGTCTGTAGACTGGCCATAAGGGTCTGTATTTCCAGAATTAGAGTTTGACATGGCAGCCATGTTGTCCCGTGACCGCTGGAAACCACTGCCTTGTTGAGGATAGCCGTATGGTGAGCCATTGGCCATGTTTGGGTATCCCTCGGCGGGCCCTGACCCGCGTGGGTGGTGAGATGGGCGTCTTCTGCTGTTTGGGCTATGTCCACTCTGGTTATATCCGTTTTGGGCGTAAGGGTAGGGATTCGGGGGGGTGGTGCTCTCGGGGGATAGAGGCGCGTTTTGGTACGCGTTCACGATGCTGTCCGGGCGCGATTGTGATTGGCCGTATTGACCACTTTGATCGTAGTTTCGGTTGGAAGGGCCGCTGTTTTGACCTATTGGTGAAAAGATTAGAAGCAATTGATGAATGGGAATCACAGAAAATATACCTCCATGGTAACTTGTTCGTCGGCTGAAGTCGCCCATCTGTGATGCAGCATCCTCTATCAAATAAATCAGCCCATGTTCCCCGTATTCTTGATTTTTCACGAGCTATTGCCAAAAAGAAAGAAAAAAAAAAAAGGGAGTACCTGTTCTGATGTATGACGCACGATTATTACTGTATGAGCCGTAGATAGCTGCCTCGAATGATCGAATGGTATCCAAGGGGCGCTCGAAGCGCGGTCGAGTGGGATTTGACAGGTCGGGATCGGCTATGACGAAGCAAGGGTTAGCCACAAAAGCCCCAGGAACCAGTGAGTGTCAATGGGTACGAACTGATGACATTCCCGTACTGATCCTTGTGTTGGATCTCGCGCAACGAGCCCAAATTCGAGGCTTCCAGCGCGACCGCCACTATTAAGTGTCAGTTGAAATGAAATAGGAAGGAAATGCGACCGGACCCAAATCAAGGCCCAATGTCTCAACTGTTGAACGTACTAGGCTGCAGTTCGTTCATGGCGACAAGAGGATCTGCTTTGGTGTGTAGATTGCGACGAGCTTTCTCTTCTGATGACTCGGAGAGTCCACGTTTATGGGGGGTTGGTCCTGATTTGTCTGACTTGTCGGATTTCACACTGAATCCACGACTCCTCTTGGAAGAGGTGGGAGATTGAGGAGTGTCCATTTTATTAGCGCAAGTTCCACCGTATTTCTTAGCGTCCGAGATTCAATCAAGGCAGGTCTGAAACGGTTGTGATCTGCTGGGGTGTAGTGGAGCGTGGTGGAGGTGGGATCTGCCAAGAGGCGCAATCAGTGCGTTTGCAATTTGAGATACGGTGAGGTTTGGTGCCCGGTTGTCTAGTTGGATCCCCGATCGATATGGTGAATGGGATATGGTGAATGGAGACTGAATATGCACTGAGGTGATTTGAGGTGGAGTTGCCCAAAGTGGTTGGGTAAATGCAAGATAATGTGAACTGTCAAAGAGAGTGGAGTAGAGATTGAGTGACAATTAGGAATCCTGAATCCTGAATTCTCCAAGTCCTGTGAATAGTGAATAGTGAAAGAGATTATTATTCTTCAGACAAAATGGGAAATGGGATAGTTTTTATCGGGGACCACGCAATCCCTAAGCCTTCTCTTTTTTTTCCCTAGGTAACTTTCAGGTACACAACGCGTGGACTAGTACTCCGTACAATGTTTTTTTTTTCTTTCTTTCTTTTATCTCCAATTCCCAATTCCGCTCTAGTCTATTTTCATTTCACTTGTATAATATTCAGATTCAGAATACAAAGAAGAATATTCACAATATCTCGGCAAATTACTATTTCCTGGTAAATGATTTGGTCCTAGGCTGCCATTGGTGATGTTCCTCCGCTTAGTCCACAAGGTGGCAAGAGATCCGAGGTAGTATATTCCAGATATTATATATTTAATATTGTTCATCAGGAATTAATGTGAGAATCAATGTTATGTATTTAAATCCTTTGACTGGGATTCTGTGGAACTGTTCCTGATCCTATAAACACAACCTGCGACCTTGACCTCGTATAAGTACTCTCTGTACGGAGTACATGGAGTTAAGAACTTTCATCAAAAAAAAGTCTCACTTTCTACCTTTCACTTCTCACCTTTTCTTTCCTTTTTGCTTTTCCCAGCCTCTCTCCATAAAACCAGGATTGCCGCGTGATGCAACATCATCCGGACCGTTCCAATTGGCCAACCTGATTTCAGAAGGTACTCCGTATAGAGTATGTATTCTATCCCATCCATGTAGGTACATTTATTATGAACGCTATCTACCTTGTGCAAGCATTAGGGCTTTATCTGGAAAAAATGAAAACAATTATATAGAGTACCTGGCATAATCTCTACTTTCCCACTTTAACTAGACTAGGTATAGATCTAAAAAAAGCTAAGACCACACGTGTTCATCAACCTCGGGAGCATCTCGAAAAAATCACCGTGTGGGTCGATGCTGTCTACTAAAAATAGAGAAATTCATGACCCGAGGTATCGATATTATCTAGTAAATTCAGTGAACTTAATGAATTCAACATCGACCATCCGGGAAGCGTTAATTATAAGAACCTTGGACTTCCTACGCCAAGGGGTTTCAGAGTGAGGTTGGGTAACTCGCCTATTCTGATTGGTACGTTATATGTTATGCACGCCACAGCATAACTTGATGGTATGCCCAATATTGATTTTACTATTTTGTTTACATAAATTGAACAAATTTTTTTTAAAATAAAGAAGTACCGGATATCCACCATACTATGCATTTGTGTTCAATTATTTAACGTATTAGACAAATTATATCCTTTTGAACAATAACAGCTTGGACCAACATATCCCTGCCGTCCCTTGACGATATTATAAGATAAAAACCCCCACAAAAAGAACTACACTCCAGTTAAAGTTATCTAGAGTGTTTCTCGGTATCATCGGGATATAACGGCCGGAAGAACGCGAAACAATAATATCACAGCCCAATAATGTTGACACCCAGTCCCCACCCTATATCCCATCGAGGTGGGACGGTATCAGGATACATACCAGGCTTGTAACAGAGGCTTGTCAGGCTTGTTTTATCCTATTTACAGACATTCATTAATTCATTATCGCCTCGATCTCTGAAACGGCATCAATGGCTCCAACTTCTGGTGGTCAATACCATTGGGTTTCTGAGCGTCCTTGCCTTGATATCAAAAGTTTCTAACATATATATTCTATGTCAAATTATCCTGTTCTCTCTAGTTTGAATGATGTACTTTAGTTTTCTTCGTGTGCAATAGAAGAATTTTGGTGGTAGATCTACAATAAGGTCGAGGGTGACGGTGAAACAAATATCAGCTCCTACGGCTCTCTACATATATATTATCCAAGCTCCAAGCCTACTACGTCTCCCAGTCCAGATAGCCGTCTCTCGGCATATAGTTCAACGGGATAATACCGAGTAATATAGGTCCCTATACACTAGCGCACATGTCCGAAGAGGTATAAGATGTAGCTCGAGACGTGCCTATTGCCATGATCAAGGTATACTTCAGTAGCAGTCTTACAGCCATCGTCATAATTGTTAGCTTTCTTTTCGCCAAGCCATCTGTGGAAGACACTCTATATATCGTCATTGGTTTTCCGTTCCTCTGCGTCTTCTAAAACATAGGGAACCTTAATCGTAGGAGCGAATAGACAAAGCGCTTCTACCTGGTAGATCTTTGCCTTCACTCTCCTGCGTCGTCAGCCATACGTGTTGTTACTTATTAACATGGTAATCTTGGGCCCTAGACTACTTCTAAGGCTATGATATCTCTTGATGTGGTAGTCCTGATTTACATGTATATCATATCAATTAGCTGCGCGATCAAACGGAAGAACTTCGTAGTTAGAGCTACATTAAAGCATTCACATAAGAATGAACTCTAATGTTGCTTGCAAAACCGACGCAAAACTTAAAGCGGCCACAGTTCATTGGTTCTCAGGTTGGCAATGCCAGATATCAACGCAGTTCAAGTTTTGCATAAATGTATGTAGCAATGGCATTTTGCCTGTACTAGAATAAGAGAACTGCCCTTCGATTTTCGGAAACATAGGGGAGAAAAAACCCCCTCCAATGATCTAGCACATGTCGGGTTGAAGGGAAGATGGTAGCCCGATTCCTTCGTGATAGTCATGTGGGGAATATCTACGCCACAATATATGTTAAAAGTATAACCTTGTCTGGCGGAGATGATAGTGGACACTATGTTGTAATATGTATGGATGGAGATGCCGTAATAGTCGTAGTGCGTTGGCTCTTTTCCTTGCGGAAAGTCGCGATTAGCAGCTCAAATCTATGTACCTAACATTGAGGTACATAAAGAGTTGGAGGGCTGAGTTGGCAAGGATAGAGCGGGTTATACACCTAAATCCCATGAGGACGTGCCTTTAAGCTCTATGGCCCATATATGAACACCTGTACAACACAAGATGCCAACATGTCAAGAACTACGGGCGCATACCCTGGTCACGCCCTAATGCAGGCTTATATTGGTGGCTGATTGATCACAGAGTTAAGTTAAACCATCCCATTGAATGGTCTAATGTATCGAAGAAAAGAAACCTGCCACTAGGTTGTTGAATTAATCCTTAAATGAAGGATCTATTTATTCCAATAGATTTATACTTAACCTAAAAGGTGATTCCGATTTAGTAATGAGTCAAGTACCTTACGAAAATCCTTGGAGAAAGCTCAAATCAAAATAGCCGATCGGCTGAGGTCCATTTCCCAGTTTTGTCTGTGGAAAGGTTCTATAATTCTATACATTGTTTATACATAATGCTCGGCGTTGAGTGGGAGCATGTGGGGGGTATCTTATCTATCTATTAAAATAAAAACGTGAGTTCCCGGGTTGAATCCGGAGAACCAAGAAGATCGAAGAATCAAATGACTCAATTCGAATGAGGGGCTCAAGCTGTTGAGCCACCCGCTGTTTTGGGCGCGACGTCCTCCGCGGTGACCTGCACCTCGTGGCTGTGTTCCAATTCAGATAGAACAATCCACGTGGGGACGATGGCAAGAATCGTGATTCCGAAGTTGAGACCGATGCTGACGAAGTGGTTGGCACCACCTTCGGTTTGCATGGCCCATGCAACGGTTTGTCCCAGAGCCTCGAATCCACGTAGGATTCCGCAGTGGTAGGACAAAGATGAGAGGTCGGTACTATACTGACCAACCAGCCAGTAGAGGAATTGCTGGAAGGCTTGGCCACCGAAGGTCCAGAAGAAGATAAGTGCGTATCCCTTGTTGAAGCCGCTTGTGAACCAGTCGAACATCGGGGGCTCGGGTGCGTCGTAGTACTGCTTCTGCAGGACGGTAGCCCAGATCCAAGTGCCGATGATTATGGTAATGATGGAGCAGAAAGCAATTCTAGCGCGGGTCTTGATGAAGATGGTTTGGCGATCAAGCAGAGAGGCTAGGATGAACGAAGACGCGATTCCGGCGAAGTTGGTGAGGAACGATGAGAATGCGCGAGACCGGACGGTGAAGTAAGTGGTCAGGAATGTGCTCTGGAAGCCATTGTAGAAGTAGCTGATAAAGAAAGCTGGGAGGAGGAGGAGGACCCGGCGAGTGAAAATGAGAGCAACGGCAGCCTTGAATTCTTTGGCCCAAGTTTCTTTCTTGTTCACAATCACAAGAGAGTGGTCCTTGCGCTGGACTTTCTCGGCGGGACTGAGAAAGAGCGAAATCGGCAGACCGAGACACATGATGACAATGAAGACGATGTAAGTCGCAGCGCTGACCGTTCCCTTGTTAGAAGACTGTGCATTCAGTCCCAAACTGATTGCACCGCCAATGATCGGACCGGAACACTTGGCGGTCTGCCAGATAGCAAGGTAGAAAGCGCGCTCCTTAGGACTGGGGTATCCAATGATAATAGCGGCCTCGGCAGCCCAGAAAAATCCAGCTGAGATACCGCACAGCGCGGAGCCGAAGAGCAGGAACCATGTCGTGGGGTGGTAGTTATTAGTGTACAGACCGGCACCGTAGATCGGGTAACCGATCGCACCGAGGATCAACCCGTACCGAAGACCGATTCGGTTGTTAATTGCGCCAGCGGCGACGCAAACAACTGCAAATAATCCATAGACCAGAGCGTTCGCCGCGGAGACAGCATAGGGTTCGGCTGCACCACCTGCTCCGAGGTTGTTCAATGCATCCCACATACCAGGGGCGGTGAAGGAGACACCACTAGCAATGGCAATTTGGAAAGGGATGGAACGGTACCAAGATGGCCGAGACCCGATATTTTGAGAGTCATCGTGGATTTGCTCAGAAGCAACTTCTGGTTCAATTGGAGGGGCCATAGTAAATGTATTCCCTCAATAGTCTATACAGAAACAATTAAAAAGAAGAAGGAATAGGTGAAGATATATTTTCAAAAAAATATTAAGGTGGATCCCCACAATGTCGTGCTTGATGCCAAGATATTTTGAACCTTGGAAGACGCCAGAGCCCCCATTTTAATCAGGTTCCCAAGGTCATGACTGGTTATAACTGGCTTTGGCGCCTCGGGGCTTACCAACCCTATAAAAGGGCATTGCTTGACATACTAGAGTTCCAGGTCATGGGTTTTTTTTGATATACTCACACAGTAGAACCCAATTGCTCTTTTCGCGCATCCCGATATACGAGAAAGGTGATCAAGCCAACACTCAAGAGTTGTGCGATAGTAGTGGCCAGATTTGAGATGAATCCCGTTCGAAAATTTGGGGCAGAACTAGCCGGATACTGAAATATCTGTGTCCACGCGGCCATGGCTTGGCCGATCGCGTTCATACTTGCCGTGACAATGGCGCGTTCTTCAGCATCCTTGGCCATGGTGATACTCGCCCAACTCATAGTGAGCGGACTAATTGCTGTAACATGAGTCAATATCGCCACTTTTTAATATGAGAAATAAAGATATGACAAATAAGATCAAGGTCTAGGTATGAATATTCGGAATCCACATACCTCCTTCAAATCCAGTGAGAATGAACCCCACCAGCCGCCCCGTCTCCCCAACGTTATAGGCAACGAGCAAAATAACCCCAACCAGAACGGGAATGCTGGTCACCACGGAGGGAATCCAGAAATTTCGTAGGCGATCCGCGGTAACGCCCGCTACTAGCGCGGCTACGACGGACAGTGCCGTTGCGATTGTCGGTAAAGTGTTCACCCGTGAGACGGAGTAGATTTCTGGTTTAGCCTTCAGATATAGACTAAAGGGCGTCGAGTATGGTGTGAAATTCTGGTCCATTAAGGTCCAATGCACGACAAAGACATACCAATGCCATCGCCCGAAGACTCGCTTGAAGATGGCCCGTGAGACTTTTAGTTCGCTTGGCGCTGTTAGTCCTGCCAGACGAATGTTGGCAATATCATGCTCGGTGGCTGTTAGAAACCGTGGCCTTGATCGGTGAGGAACATCTGGGAAAATGATATATCCTCTGGTCTGTGTTAGGTGAACAAGTGAAATCTTAGGTTAGGATATAACTTACACAATGCAAATGGGAATTGTAATAATAGTGCAAATAATGAACAACCATCTGCCAACGGGTTAGTGCCAAGAACATCCAAGTTTTTTACATCATTAGAATCAGATAAAGTTACCTCCACCCAGCTAATCCATGCCTCCCCTCTAAATTTGTATAAGCAGCAGCCTGCAAATAGCCCGCGAACATAGTCCCAAGTGGTGAAGCAACAAAGAAAAGCGCAACTCGACGTGTCACCTCGCCGGGCTTATACCACGACCCGATGACATAAATGACACCGGTGAAGGAGCAAGATTCACAGATCCCGATGAAGAAGCGCATTGCGTATATAGTATTCAGGTTCTGTGCCCAAGCACAACCGAATGTGAAGAGTCCCCATCCGATTTCTAGGGTCGGTAGCGCAATGTTGATACGCGTGCGAGTTAGCCAGTAGCAGGCCGGGATCATGGAGGTGCAATACGAAGCCCAAAATATCGCCGTTATGTAGTTCAATTCATTGCCGTGCAGCTTGAGGTCTTCTTTCATGCCTCTATGATAGGTTGTTAGTAATCGAGGTTGTCTGCTAGAGTGGGTGTATTTCCGACATACGATACATAAGCATTGGTGATTGCCTGCTGGTCAAGGTATTTGGTGAAGAATGAAAGGCAACCAAAGACTAGGATCATGATATCCAGTTTGAGGACTAGCTTCTTCTCCTGGTGTGCCATGTCCTTTGGATACCATTTGGCATACGTAAGAAATCGGAGCCATAGTCCATCTTGTGGACCTGGGTTGGAACGGATTTCATGATCGGATACTTCGTGGATCGATTTGGTATCAGTTGCATGTAGATTTTCCATTTTTGAGTAGTTAGGTTTCTTGAAGCTCGTATGGGACAGCTGAAAGCGATAATCCAGGAATCACCCAATATCTATATAATAGTGATCATCTATTGGGAGTATCCTCTGGTTTTTCTAGCATGTTGTATTTGGTTAGATACAAGCAGATAATGGAAGATGGAGGATGCGAGGATTATGGCGCCTGATGGCGCCTGATGGTGTCATCTGTCCCTGCACCTGCTGCTTCATCTTGCAGAGATATCACGAATCCCCGAGTCTGGCCGAGTCTGACATAAATTCTCATTATGGCTAACCTCGGGAAATCAACAGCTTATCTTGAAGGATGGAGTATCATAATTTACAAGTAAATTTGAAAAAAAAAAAAAAAAAAAAAAGTGTCATGATTAGTTCTTATTTGCAGTCGAATCCTTGGCAAATGACAAGGGTGGAGTAGCTGGGCTTGAGTATCGAAGGTAAAGAAAATGAAGAAGTTTGAGAACTGACATGATGTGTAACGCTTGATGTGTATCGATGTGAAAGGAAAAACAAACCCCCAAAAATAAATGCTTATAATCATACAATGTACACTTCCTTCATCCTCAACTCTTAATGTCGATCTTGTACTGCTCAGCCCAGAATGTGACATTGTTGTTCACAGAGTAAACTTCCGTTCCGAAACTGAGACTGCCAAGGAAGTCGTCTTTGGCTGGGTAATCATCTCCTTCCAAGTTGTAGAGATCGGTGATGAGAGGATAAATGTCTCCAGTGAACCTCTCGAGCACCGTTTCCGGGACCCAGGACAAAACCTGCTGCCCATTGTCATTTTTACCGGTGTAAAGTGTGCTGATGAAGTTACATGTCAGCGTATGTTGGGATATGTTAGGTGCAAGTTCAAGTCTCAACTCACAAGTTCGTTCCTTCCAAGGTCCGGTTGATTCCCGGATGTCCCCATCCATGGGGCTGGGCCTCCTCGTTTGACATCCAGAACCAAACCATCACCTCAAAGTTCGCCTCAGATGCATTCGTAGCTTTGTCGGAATCGGCATCCAAGAACATATCAATGGCGACGTTGGTAGCAAGGTTTTCATTCGCCAACGCTTGGACATCTGTTGACTCGGCAGGCTTGTCACCCACTCCGTATGTCCAATGCAGGTCAACATTCAATTCCGAGATCTTATCCATCTGCTTTGGCAAGACGTTGTCGACGCGAATATTCGGGTATCCATGGACAGGCATAGTTGGAGGGCCATGGTCGTACTGCCAGGTGATGGAGAACTCGGGAGCAGTCTGGGCTGCATAAGTCTGGTTGACGAACGTCGTGATCTAAATCAAGATGTCATGTCAGTAGCCCCCTCAGTAAGAGTGAAGGTGGGTATGTTCATTGCGTACATTCATGCAGAGCCCATTTCCAGTCGAGTCTGCTGTCACACCCCACTGATTGGGATTCACTACAATCTCGGTCAGTCATCGTTGATGAATTAACAGCATCTACGCTGGTAATTCGAGGGTACTCACGGGTATATTGTTCTGTTTTCGACGGCGGGGTGATTCCATAAGAGAGATCGCAGTACAGAGTGTGTTGCACGCCGTTGTTGGTGATCGTGTGGTGACCACCGCCGCCACCGCCAGTACTGTCGCCGCCGTTGCCTTTTCCAGGATTGGTGCTATCATCATTATCCCCGGTGAATAGAGGCTTCTGACCATTAGCAGCTCTATGGGCATCAATGCCCATGAGAGCTCCTACGCTCCCCCCAACTGGGATAGCTATAAGGATCGCATTGACCAACAGTCCTACTCCGAAGACCATGACCAAGAGCAAGAAGGGTATGGTGTTTAAAAAAAAAGATGAAATAAGTGATAGATGGAAAATGAATAAGCAAGTTCGAAGATGAGATTAAAGGGGAACAAAAAGGGAGCAAATTGAACGAATAGCAAAGACGAAATTCTCGGTATCACCACGTAAGAAGGATAAAAATGCATTAGGTTAGCGTTAAGGAAAGATCGGGAAAGACCACCCAAGTCTTGATAAGCAAAGACTAAGTGGGTATTTACGTAGTTTAGTGTGGTGTCATATAGTACTTTGTATGTAATATAGTGTCTCGGGATTTCAGGTACAAATCAGGTAATAGATCAGGTACCCGATAAAAAAGAAACTTTGGATTGTATCTATCGTATGGTATGATTGGTTCGATTAGGTGGCAATCTGAGAAAAATTACTTTAGAATTAAAATTTCTTTGTAATATTACTGAAATATACAAATTTGTTTTTTTTCAAAATATCATATTTTATGTACAAAGGATGTACATATGTATGTACCTCCATGGCTTGATGCAACCAGAAAAATACTGAAAAAAAAGGAATGAAAAAAAAAACAAATCAGACAAATTGCGTAAGAAAACCACCGTTTGAAGTGAAACATTTTTGAAAAAAAAAAAAGAGAAAAAAACGGAAAGCTATTTTTGCTCGCGGCTCCGGCCCAAAGCGGCCATGCAACTCGGTCCTTGGCGTGCACTAGTCTCAGGGCTTAACCATCTGGTCCCTTAGAAGATCGCTGGTACCGTATTCCGACCATAACTGAGGAATGTGACCTTTTTCTCTTCCATCCTTCCATACCAGTCTTTGGGCTGATCACACTCGTTTTCAAACGATTTCCAACGTTTTCAAGATCCCACATTCTTGACTTACCTTTTTTGATCTTTACATAATCTATAATTTCTGTCTCAAAATGGATAGACGTTATGGTCATGAGGACCAAGATGAAAAAGTAGAACTGGATACCTATCGAGGCTACCATTCAAACAACAGCTTCGAACATCCAGAGCCTTTTGTGCCCCCAGGAATCTCTGCAAGGCCTCTTACTCCTATCAGACCAGGTCATTTCCCTACCGACGAGTACGGCCAACCTGTTTGGCTTCAACCCACCGCTCGCATGTCGGGTACCTCCGATTCCTTCAACAATTCATCCTGGAACTCACAAACCCCATATGATTCCCGGTCGGGCTCACCAAGTCTAGTTAGTACACTACTCTCTTTATTCTCTTTGTTCCCCGGTATAGTTCGCAGCCTAACGAGTCCTTCTTCCCCCCCGTACAGTACCAAAACCATGGAGTGCAAGAAAGTCATCAGAGTCTTGCCCCCTTAGTGACCTCACCTGCTTCTCCAGGATTCGAAAAGGACTGGGTCAAATCTGGATCAATTGCTCGCATTCACGACCGTGATGATGTGGATACATGGAAAGGATGGAAAAGATGGGTGTTTGCCCTGGTACCGTTTCTCACATTTGCCAACACTGGAATCTACTTGTTCTACCTTGGTCTGAGAATCGCCTGCATTATTATGGCTCAGAATATTGAAGGGGTCTCATATGCGGGAGCTTGGGTCTTTGTGGCCATCGAAATTACTGTTGCCATCCCCTCCCTCATGCACAACTGCTGGACTATGATGGCTTTGAAGAAGAGAGGCCGTGCCAAGCTGAGATTGACCGGTAATGAATGTCCTACAGTCGATGTCTTTATTACTTGCTGTGGAGAGGATGATGAAGTCGTTCTCGATACCGTCCGTGGTGCGTGTGATCAGGATTACCCCCGCGAGATGATGAGAGTTATCATCCTAGATGATGCCAAGTCTGCCACCCTCGAGGCTGCCTGCAACCAACTTGCCTTGAATCATCCCAATATCATTTACATGGCTCGTGAAAAGATTCCCGGAAAGCCCCATCACTTTAAGGCGGGTAACTTGAACTACGGTTTGGAGCAAGTCAACCTATTGCCCGGAGGTGCCGGCCAGTTCATGGCCGCCCTAGATGCTGATATGGTAAATTACAAATATTCCAGCCCATCTTGAAATTGAAATTTGTGTACTAACAATCCGCAGATTCCCGAACAAGAGTGGCTTCGTGCGATTGTTCCCCACTTGCTGGTGGATCCCAAGATGGCCCTTGCATGCCCGCCGCAACTTTTCTACAACACCCCTGCATCCGATCCGCTAGCCCAGAGTCTGGATTTCTTCGTTCATGTTATTGAGCCGATCAAGGATGCACTTGGTGTGGCCTGGTGCACTGGATCCGGTTATGTCGTTCGACGCGAGGCTCTCGAAGAGATTGGCAACTTCCCGCTTGGTTCCTTGGCTGAAGATGTCGCGACCTCAACGCTTATGCTTGGCAAAGGATGGAGAACCGCATACATCCACGAACCTCTTCAATTTGGTACCGTGCCGGAAGACTTTGGTGGACATCTCAAGCAACGTACACGATGGGCCATCGGAACCGTCGACACGGCCGCTAAGCTGAAGTTCTGCCTCTGGGGTGACGCCGTTCGAGAGATGACCGCCGCTCAACGCTTTTCTGGCTTCCTCTATGCAACTCTCAGTGTCTACACACTCCTGCTAACCGCTTCCCTCTTCGCCATTCCGATTATCCTCTTGTGGGGTAAGCGCCTTGTCGCCTTCGCGACTGAGGAGCAACTTCGCTGGCTGATCTGGGCATGCTTTGCCGCAACCATATCCAACCGTCTCTGTGAAATGGCCCTATTCATCCCAGCTGGCTACCATACCGGCCAACGAGGCTCCCGCTACCAACTTTGGATGTCGCCGTACATCGCTCTCTGCATTGTGCGTGCCTTCTTATTGCCCACCTGGCTGGGTGGCCAAGCCCAAGCCTTCAAGCCAACAGGTTCTCTGGGCTCGGCTCTGAATGAGCGCGATGCAAAGAATTCCAGGAATATGTTCGTCCGCCTACGTGTGATCCTGTTCAACTACATGGCCAGTTTCCACCTTGCCTTCGTCTACGTCACCCTCGTCGGAGTTGTCATCTCCTCTTACCGCTGCTTTGCCCAGAACTCCGGCTTTAGAGATATCATCCTCTGTCTCATTACCCACGCTTTCTGGCCCCCGCTTACCTTCCTTTTCATCTGCACTTCGCTGTGGACCCCTGTCTCCTATGCGATCGACCCGCCCAGAATGCCAGAACGCGAGGAACTCCTGACACGAGACCCTAAAACTGGCGTCGCACATCCGACGAAGAAGAGCAAAAAGATCGCCTTCGGTGGCCAGGCTGCTTGGTTCGAGCTCGAATACACGGTTGCCACCGTAGCGACAATTTTGGTATTTGTCTACTCATTTATGTTCTAATTTTCATGACTTTCCCAAATGCGTTTTTTTTTGGGAAATGTGTCTGCATAGCTAACGTGTCACATGCTTCTCTTCCAATCCATTTTTCTCGCGTTATATGTACCTATCTACGGAGTCGGTGTTCAACTTTGTGCCTCTCAGGTGTACAACGTACTATAGTACTGTATATTTGGTCATTATTATACATAAAATACATATTTTTTGATCAACTACGAAAAAAAAACAAAAAAAAAACAAAGTGATCCCCATCTTCCTGGGGCTGTGTACATATTTCGTACATAAATAGTCGGTGATAACAGCACGGAGTACGGAGTACATACATATCCCGTAGCTCTCAACCAATCGCCTGGTCTAAGCGCTTTTAGTTCGGACCAAGGCGGATATGTTGCCTGGGTTATTTTATTTCTGACACCAAATTTGTAATTTCTGCATTGAGGCCTGATACGCCCCCTAATTTGTGTCAAAAGATTGTTTTGCCTTGCTTGATTTCTTATCTAGCGTCACTGATCGCCAGTGCCTTTTTGATGCAATTTTATCGGACATGTTCATTGGTTTTATATTATCGAAATCAATGACACCGCTGTTCTGGTGACGTTGCTTGGCCTAGAACTTATGCAGGGACATAAGCTTAGAAAGCTTGAGGTGAACTGGGGTTTTCGAAGTTGAGACCAGATACGGACTCCGAACGGAGTAATAACTTGGACTTCTATTATATATCATTTGGAAAAGACAAGGGTCTGTTACTAGCTCAGACGTTAGCAATATTACAACATTTGTACAAGAAAATGCCTAAAAACCCTTTCTTTTCAGTTTTAGTGCTTCTTGCTTTCTGATCACTATGTACAGAGTATACCAGAGTACTCCGTTAAGTATTCTAACTTGATCACGTGCCATTATATAATTTACGTGATCAACCTTTCAAGGAATTCCAATATGGAATCTCAGTGGTATTGAAACTCTCTAAAATCTAACAAGAATTTTCACAGACATCACTAACGGTAATATGTACTTACGTATGGCGACCATTTCAATGGTCACATTGTTTTCAGGAAATACATACATATGTACCCTATATTCAACCACATCCTCCACTCCCGAGGTCGGTATTCGACACTTTATTTAACCTAGAAATTTTGAGGATACTATCAATGGTCTTGTCAGGGTTTCCGCACATACTATATTCAGCGTAATCGCCTTGATCAGAGTATTTACTTCGGCGTCCCTGTGCTGCAGCTGCACCTGCAGCTGCAACGGAATCTCCCATGATACAAAAAATATATGGGCACATTCTGCTGTCAGACTGTCGCATTACTTGCACCTGATCCACAAAATGATAGAAATTTTGACTATCAAGAGCCCGGTCCGAGATTGCACCTAGGCGATGATTTGTATGGGATCACACATCCAGAAATCCCAGGTGAGAGATCACTATAACCTTCCTTTACAGCACAGCCTGTAGAAAGGCTTGAAATAGAGACACTACTCGTAGACCTACGCGACAGCAATTTCATTCCCTGAAGATGGTCGAAGAGCTTGGCTTGCTTTTTTGTCGTCGTGTCTAATCGCGGCAACATTTGGAATCACCGCCTGCATCGGTATTTTCCAGTCTCACTGGCAGCTGTATCAACTATCGATGCACAGCTCGCAGGATACAGCGTGGATCTCATCGAAATATTTCTGACTCCTATCCCTTGGCGTGCAGGTCGGGCCGCTTTTCGACCAGTATGAACCACGAGCGTTGACATCCATAAGCTCAATGGGGTGTGTTTTGTACTTGCTGCTCCTGGATCAATATACAAATTATTGGCACTTCCCCCTATGTTTCGGGGTTGTGGGTGGGATTAATGGTGCAATTATTACCACGGTTGTGCTATCGCTAATATCTCATTGGTTCAATGCTAGGCGAGACCTGGCCACTGGAATTACATTCACGGGGACCAGCCTTGAAGGCATAGTGTTTCCAATCGCCCTGAGCTCTATATGAAAGCATATATCTTGGGCATGGTCGACGAGGTTGTTAGCTCTGTATGAGTTTATACTGCTGCTGGTTGGGAACTTGCGCGAGGCCGATTACCAGTACAGAAACACGGAGATATCATAAATGTATAGTGGTTCAAGGACTCGAGGTTTCCCTAGACAACTACTAGGACCTCATGTATCCAGATCCCGTATGTAATAGTCTGGAGGTTGCTACGGGCATCAACGCTCACGCCAAAGGCCTGCATAGATTTCAGCACAACATCTGTCACCATCAAGACCTTTTCCTCTTCAAGCCGGCGGGCAACAAGCTACAAACTTACGGGCATTCTATTCTCCATTTTGGCGTCATTTATCTTTTAGAAGGTTGAGTTAGTTATGATTGGGCTAGAGGAATAAAACAGCCTTCGCACTCACAGTCGCATTGCACTTGGGTGTCGATCTCACTCAGCGGGCGGTGCTCACGGTATACTGCGTCAACATTTTGAACAGGAGAACGCCGACTTGCTAATGCTCTACTGGATCCAACTGTAAAATTTCATGCCCAGCAGTTCTGAGCCTTTCCATAGTCTCTCTCAAGGCGCGTGCAACAGGCGGAGTCGGGGTGACTACACCGCCGTGCCATAAAATGGCTAGTTTCAGGTGCTTCTTTGGTTCGATGAATCTCCATGGAATCGGAATGCACTTTGGATCATGGAACTATAGCTGTTGGTATATTATTGTCTTGGAGTAGAAGGCTATTTCCTCGAGGGTTCTGGCCAACGGACCATTCATGCTATTCGTGGCTTCTTGGCCAATTAACCCCGAGCAGGCTCGATCATGAGGGAATCGGCCGAAGGCTGGGGATGATCACTGTTGAGTCTGTGTTGACATCCATCGATTTTCCAATGTATGTACTCTGTGTCTATGTAGCTACCTAGATAGGTACTCTGTAGCCCGAACAACCTCATAAAAGTGCTCAAACAGGAAACCCCATCCGCCATAGTTATATGTACTATTTTTCGGTTGGACTCCTAATATCCAAGGGTTTTTCCTCCCCGAAACATCTTGTTCATTGTCAAATGAGTCTTTCGGAATCTTTTTAATTTAAGGTTCAATGGAGGAATATCTTTTCTTATCCTGATCTAATAAAACGGTAAACGATCCCGCGACGTTAGTTTGCCTCAGAAAGCATTGCAAAAGCAAGAGATTACGATCTCTACTGACTCTCGTGACTACCCCGTACTAGCCTAGTGCCGGCGATATCGGAAATGAATATTATTTCGCTATTGCCATTGGTTTATGTCTGATCATCCTAGCTATCGGAAAGTCTTACAGAGGGTCCCATATCATTTAAGATATGTCTCAATCACCGGGGTCGGATTTACCCCGAACCGTTAACGGTTCGGGGCTTTATCAGCTGTCCGTCTTGCCATACCCCAGGGCTCTTTTTAATGAGAGGAGTATTTGATAGGCTTCAAGCCACTCGGTCCGGTTTGTACCCTGCCGATCACCTGATCGGTGTCTGGGTATATCTCCCCTAAGAGATGGCACATCCGAATGCAATGAGCCTCCGGGTATGTCATGGGAATCGGATTCAAAAGGTCGAGGTCCGTGTTATACATCGGATGGCTTGTTCTAAGCTCCGTGATTCATGAATTGGGTGTGATTGTGATGGCTATTTAGAAGATTAGACGTCTCCGAGTTCAAATGTAGTCAATAGCAACTTCAAAATACAATTATCACAGTTGAAACCTCAGTCTCAACTTTCTTTATCAATAAATTACAAAGATATATCTTCAAATCTTTATTCCCAATGTCCTTCCTGAGGAACTATTTCGGTACCTCCGCTGTTCTAGCGAAGGACGAGAAGAAGCCTATTCGTGCTCTACCCGCTTCCTGGTACACATCCCAAAATATGTACGAGCTTGAACGACGAGCTATTTTCTCGCGGAAGTGGCTTCTTACTACACACAAACACCGAGTCCCCAACACCGGTGACTGTGTCCGTTACGATGCCGCAGGCTACGAGTTCATTGTCACCAAAGACAACAATGGAAAGATCAACGCTTTCCACAGCAACGATCTCTTTCCCGCCCATGTGCACATTGATAGAAATGGATTTGTCTGGGTGAATCTGGACAATAGCGATGTCCCCGAAGTTGCTTGGAAAGACGACTTCGACGGTGTCGATGAGCAGCCCCGGTTCGAGCACTATAACTTCGAAGAATACGTCTTCGACCACACCTGGGATATGGAGGGCGAATTCAACTGGAAGATCCTGGCTGACAACTACAATGAGTGCTACCACTGTCGAGTCGCTCACCCCGATATTCCTACCATTGCAGATCTCAACTCCTACTATGTCCAGACTAAGGCTGGTCATATCCAACACTACGGCGCCCAACGACCTGATCAGATTGCGAAGGGCTTCCGCATAGCAACTACCTATTTCTGGCCTAATGCCTCGTTCAATATCTCGTGAGTATACATATCCCTCGCATCGGAATCTATTAAAGGCTAATATCGAACCTCCCTAGTCCCAATTTCTTCTTTATGCAGCGATTTACTCCCACCAGCCCGACGCAATGTGTAATGCGCTACGAAGTTTACCGGCACAAGGATGCCACCAACGAAGCCTTCAATCTCATCAGCGATATGTACAAGCGAATCATGTCCGAGGATAAGCACCTGTGCGTGAACACGCAAAAGAACCTCAACGTTGGTGTCTTTGTCAATGGCCAACTTCATCCGGAGATGGAGAAAGGTCCGCTTCACTTCCAGAAGACTGTGCGTGAGGTTGTGACAGAACACCATGCCAAGGAGGAGGCTGCGGGTCATCAAATTTGGCCTGCAAAGCATAGTCTTCCTGGGGACGTTGTTGTCAGCCAGGATCAAGATAATATCGCTCTCCATGCGGGTGTGCACAGCTACGGTGCTGAGGTTGACACTTTCAAGAATTCCATGGGTACCGATCTCTCCACGGTAACGGCAATCGCTGTGTAGGATTCGTGGTGATTTGGGAAGAGAGAACTCCATTTGCGATAGATATAGTTTGATATCATTTGGAATTTAGCCTTGACAGAATGGATCCCTTTTTATACCTTCTTCAATTACCTCTTACCTTCAAAAGTATGAATACATTCCTCAGTGCGCTTGATTAATTCACAACCATGATTACCCAGGTGGGATTTAGCAAGCGTATAACATAACTTGTGATCCAACATGCTACATTCTAAATCAAGTTTATCCAGTTAATAATTACATTCATATATATATACATACACTCCCGCTGGACAGCAACGAATAATCACTCGGCCCAATCAACAAGGAACTCATCCAGCAAATCATAATTAGCCCTCTCCCTCTCCCTCCGTCCCCTCAGAAGATCAGCAGCAATATCAAACTTTGACTCGGGACTCGAACGACCCTCTGGCGACGAAGCACGACTGGAAACATTTAAATGTCGAGCAACATTGGTGCTGCCCAATTTCCCATTCCCAACAGGCTTGATATTGGGTATCTCGGACTCGAAATCTACTAAATCAAGCTCGACTCCAGGATGTCTTTTTGTGTCATGTACTTCGCACCCATCTGATCTCAAGATGGATTTTGCACCGAGTAGAGATGAACCGCGCCCAGGAGCCACCCTGGGATATTGATATGGCTCATGCGATGACGCTGGTGACTCAGACCTCGTGTGGCTATCACTGTGATCTATCGAACCAAAGCTCTGTGGAGACCATGGTAGTCTCTGTTCAAGAGAGTCCTCCACTACGTGATGCCTACGAGCAGCACGCAAATAACCCCTCCCAGGGTCGCGGGAACATTGGCGATGTTCACAGCCATCAGTCAACAACTCGGTAAGAAGGACATTTAGCTGCGCCAAGCGTTTGACCTGTCTCGCCGGGATCGTGTCTTCAGCATATTGAGGTAATTTCCTTTTACGAGACGTGCGCGCGCCCATCTGCGTCTGCTCTGGCAGTTCTCTTTCTCTTGTGTCCCTCAGCCCACGAGACTCGAACCTCGGCGACTGGCCGGCCTCCATCTTTAGCGCTTCTTCCTCATCATAGGCGATGGCGGGCTTGAACCCTATGCCGTGGTCGATGAGGACCTGGTTGAGATAGTTGACGCGGCTTTCAAGGAAGGCCACGTAGCTGCGTGGCACCTCTTGTTTTGTGAGGGGGTCGTAGCCCACGCAGCGGACTTGAGCTTTTTCGCATGACTCACAGCGAGGGAGGCGCTGGTCACAGCGGTGTTTTCGGAGGCGACATCTGTTGCAGGCGGAGACGCTGCGGAATGGAGGAGCTGGGGGTTCAGGTGTGGTTGTGTCGTTCGGTTTTGGTTTAGGGGTTTTTTGTTCTGATGTGAGTGATACAGAGGTCTGGGGGGTTCTGCGGCTAGTTTTCACTGAAGTTTTGGAGTTGGGGAGTGGACTACTCCGTTTGCTTTCTAGGGAGGATGAGGTTGGGGATGGGAGTTTCAGCATTGCGAATTGAGCTTATGGAGTTTTATGATGTTCAAGTAAAGGAAAATATTTTCAATCAGTAACGCTTTCAATTCAATATTATAGATTAATATTATTACGGTCGAACTCCGAAAATAGGACATTCAGTATGTCTCATGGAGTTCGAATTCCGGGTTTATGCCGGAAGTTCTTGGTCGGGTTCCGGAATGACTACCCTAACTCCGGGAGCTCTTTATCGAGTACTACTATAGTTATATAGAGAGCTTTCATAGTTTCTATACACAGTTGATTCTTTTCCCCCCTACTATTCTACACTCCCTTTGACTCATTTTTCACCAAAAGACCCTGACTCGGCCGAATGCGGAGACTCCACGTGGATAGGGCTGTGGAGTCCAACACGAGAGCTCCTCCTCTCCACTATACGGAGAATTAGAAAAATTGGAGTACTCCGTAGAAGGCTCAATACTCCCGACATCCAAGTTCTACCAGTGTGCTCCTTATCATTCTTTTTGTTGAACTGTTAGTGTGGTTTTTTTTGGGGGGCAAGTCGTGTGGTGAAAATTATATAGTACGAGGAATGTCCTAATTCACACACGATGGAGAAGGCTAGGGTATGTTGAACGATGCTTGTAACATAGGCATTGAATAAAACCCAAATATAGCCCATCAACCATGGCAAGGCTGGGAGAATTTTCCAGACTGTAGATTTGTGCTGAGACACATCAATTCGGATCGAGACATGATTTGTAGTGGGCAATACATCTGGGAATCCCGGCCAATCCTCCAGATATCAACATTGCTAACAGTAAGGCATTTCGGCCCCCTATGTTTTCCCCGCCTTTCTCTCCATATGATGTGAATGTGTTAACTATGTACCTACATTCTAATTCAGGGTGCGTTCATTTCAACGGAATCTAATGTCGTTTTTGCTATCTTTAATTATACATTCAACAGGGATGATCTACAGGGAAATTCATAGATAGGGGCTTCTATACGGAGTACGGAGTAGTATGATTGCAATCATTTTCATCCAACAATATAGTTTCACCTACGGTGTTGTAACTTTTTGAACGGTCTGCATAGATTACGATAATCAGACAAGTTCTTCGGCGTGTGTTATTGTTGCTGTGAGCTATTCATATTTCAGTACGTCGTCTCCGCAGATCCAGATACTTGGCAGCATAATCATTAGCCAATACTGGATCACCCGTAAGATGCATAACAGTGGCCTTCTTAGCCATCATCTCCGTTTGGCCCTTGATATCCTCGATTTCCTCAAAGTGATCATATGCCGAGTCAATGTACCCAAGAGCACGGTTAATATACTCCTTTCTCGCGGACGTCGAGTCCCCACCCTGCAAGCTCCACAGCTCACCCGCCATGCCCATATTTGCATCCACAAGAAGTGAATACGCCTGCGCGACAACGCCGTAATTTTCTAACTCCAGAACCTGAGGCATGATGCTCTCGACTAGTTCGCCCGTAGCTTTGAATTCACGGAGACTAAGTAACACTGTCGCTAATGTGCAGATAGCTTCCCAGAGGTCGGCGAGGACCTTTGAGCGATGCGCAATATTGGCTGCGCGCATGGCGAGGGAGAAGCCGCGTTGCGGTTGGCCAGATTTGCTGAGGACTTGTGCTTTTAGACAGAGAAGCTTGACTTGGGAGTGGATGTCGAAGTTCTCTGGTTGCATGGAGTGCGCGGCTTGCTCGACCATTCTCAACGCGCGACCGTAGTCGCCTTGGCGCATGGTAAATTCTATTGTATGGAAGGCAAGAAGTAGGCGCATGTCGAAATCACGGAGCTGCACTGATTGGAGTTGGGATAGAATGTGTTCGACGGCTACCTTGTCGTCGCTGTAGGTTGTTAGGGATGGATTTGAAATCAGTTGGGGAAGGAAGGGAAACATACCGACAGATTTTTCGCTGCAATTGCAGTAATCCTGAGAAAAAAGTCCAAGTGTTGTTGTAGCTGAAAGCTCGGAGCTTCTCTGGGTCGATCCTATTCATCTGTGTGAATGCCTCCTTGTAATTGCCCTTCTGTGCCAACTGTGCGTGATGAATCAGCAATTCCGTTACATATTTCCAGCTAAGGGAAGCTTCACATACTATTTGACAATTTCGGAATGTGATCTTGACAAAGTCATCATAAGGTTGGCCCTCCGAATAGCATTCGCTGAATATCTCGGTATTCAACCAAGCAAGATGAGTAGCTCCTGTGAGCTGTGTTAGTGCCATGGCAATTACTATACACTTGGTACCATACCTATCCTGGCGTACATCGAGCCCTGTAACAGCATGTATGCACCCGTGGGACTCGCAACGCCCTTTGTCACATTGACGTGGGATGCTCGCACGAATGATTCGATAATTGATGCAAGACTCGCTCCCTGTTCATCATGAGCATCAAATTAGTTAAAGGGGAACAAGAATCCTTACTTGCTGCATCTCTAACTTAGCTTCGCTAAGTAACGTGGTACTCATGAGAGACCACATCTCAGTCTCCTTAGACTTGGCCTTGAGGAAAGCGAGCCCCTCTTTTTCATTGCCCAACATGCCACTATTTTGAACTTCCCGCATCTGCTCTGGGAAAGCTTTGCCGAAATGATACAGCCAGCTCATGCAGAAGTTCAGGCAGTTCGTATCGTGAGACTCGCGAGCAATCGCTACGGCCTCTTGCACGGCTGAGATAGCTTCATTGAAACATTCAAAATCTGCTTGCATGATAGCCAGATTCAGAAGGGCAAATTGATATGCACTTCGGTCGAGATTAGCGTGCATGGTATAGTCGAAGTAACGGTGAAGATTGTCGAAGGCTGAGGTATAGTCTCCAGCTCTCCAGGCGTCAAGATATCTGTTATTTTGTCAATCAAAATGTACTTTGATAATGATGTATACAACAACGTACTCCAGGTAATACATCAATACTGGAACCGACGACTCTGAGGTCATTATGCGTTTCAGCTGGACCCTCATTTCATCCGGAACTCTGCCTCCCATTCCTGTGTCCGTTAGCACATGAGCATGACAAGCCGGGAGAAAATTGCATACTTTGCAGTTCACTGACTTGGAATTCAATTAGTCGCTCTGCATCCTTGACGCTAACCTCTCCTTCCCCATCTTCATCATCTTCGATGTTACCATACACCACCTGTGAAAGGTGGCTGGTTGGATCCAGTCCCAAGTCGCGTAGATTAACATCAACGGCAGTTTCCTCGGCTTCGCGATGTCTGCGACTCCAGTAACTGTATGTGGGTAGACGGTGCTTGACAAATCCCGTCCAGAGCTTTACGGAATCGTGAAACTGCAGCCGCGTATATTCAAGATAAGCTCTCCGTATAAACCCGCCAAGCGGCGAACTCCTGGACAGGCGCATACGATCATCTGCAACTGGTGCAATTCCATGGTCCCTGTCATAGATCAGCTCCTCGCGTGATTTAGCTAGGAGCGATGGGATAGCCTCGCCGAAGAAAGTTTCCAGCGCATCCAGCGAATCGATGGACCAGAGATTCTTGAGAAACAAATCCCAGAGCGTGCGCCCAGGGATAGAGGACTCCAGGCGGGACAGGCATTTTTCAAGCTCTGAAATCGTCGGCACGTAATGCTCCTCCCATTCCTTATCGGCAGCATCTAGTGGGAACAGACCCGCTGTGAGGAACGAGAGGACATCAATAGCAGAAGAATTGGGCACAACTCCTTCAGTGTACAGGGTGACCAGACACAGGAAGGAGACTCTCCAGGGAGTCAAATAACGCGTCATTTTGACTTCGCTATGGCTGCCTCATCTTGCTGTGTTCTATCAACGGTATATTGTTCCAAGGGCGCGCGTGTTGGGGATAATTGATTGACACCTGAGGCGGTAAGGCTATAAGGCTGCACTGCGGGACAAGCACTCGGAGGGGAGGAAAAAAGATGACGCATAACCATTTTCCTCCGCGACTCACCAATTGAACAATTTTACAATGGCTCAAGCTTTGACAACCACAGATTTGCAGGGTGCCCTACCGCTTGTCGCCAGAGGCAAGGTCCGCGATCTCTATGAAATCGACGATAAGACCCTCCTCTTCATTGCGACCGATCGCATCTCCGCCTACGATGTGATCATGGAGAATGTACAATTCCCCCACCAACACCGCAGTTGTCTAGCCAGACTGCTTGCTAATGCCAGTCCTGGTCCGAAATAGGGTATCCCTAACAAAGGCGTCCTCCTCACCCTTTGCACAAAAACGTGGTTCAAGGCCCTTACGGATGCAAACCCCGCCCTCCGCACCCACTTTATCACCCTCGATCTCCCGCCCCAGATCCCGGAATCCCTCCGCCCTATCCTGCAGAACCGGAGCATGCAAGTGCGCAAGCTGCGCATTCTTCCCATTGAGGCAATCGTCCGTGGATACATCACCGGCTCGGCATGGAATGAATACAAGAAGTCCGGGACCGTGCATGGAATTCAGGTCCCCGCCGGCCTGCAGGAGAGCCAGGCTTTCCCCGACGGCCCTATCTACACCCCCAGCACGAAAGCAGAGCTGGGCGAGCATGATGAGAATATCCATCCAGATCAGGGTATGTTCTTGTTCTCGAATCTGTTGGCTTGAGATATCTGCACTATATGTGTACATACCACGGGACAAGACCTTCACCTAACATTCGTCACTCACAGCTGTCGCCATCCTGGGCGAACCCTATGCCTCGACTGTCGCTAAGATGGCCGTTGAGCTCTACAAAACAGCGCACGCGTACGCTCTCGAGCGGGGTGTGATCATCGCTGATACCAAGTTTGAGTTTGGAGTCGACGAGGAGACTGGTGAGGTTGTGCTGGCTGATGAAGTCCTAACGCCCGACTCCTCCCGCTTCTGGCCTAAGGAATCTTACGCCGTCGGTCGCGGCCAGTCCAGCTTCGATAAGCAGTTCCTGCGTGACTGGTTGGTCAGTGAGGGTCTCAAGGGTAAGGATGGTGTGCGCATGCCTGATGATATTGCGCTTAAGACGGCGGAGAAGTACAAGGAGGCTTGGGAGAAGATCACGGGTGGAAAAATCTAGAGTGAGCTACACAGTTAAGCTCGATATATTGAGGGATATATATATGAACCAAGTTTAGATTTTTTTTTCTGTTTTATGATTGATTCAAGAGAATGAAATTTAAGTATCATGTCCAATGGCTGTGGCCCACCGTGGAAGGCAGCAGGGATTATTATACACATAAAAGGCCTTATATTATCCTACCTTCACTCCTCCCACTCGGACTTCAACCCCTTGAGACCCTTCTTATTCGAATCCTGATCCCGCTGCTTGTTCTCTTCCTTCACAGACTTCTCCTTGGGCTTATCAGTCCAACCAGAGCTGACGCCTTCATCAAGAGGCAGCGCATGTTCACCGCAAATACGCCGCTCCTCTTCAATCTCCGCCTCACTAATGCCATTGGTCGCCCAAATCTTATGGATGCGTAGATCAAAGGGCCCGTCAACACGGTCCGTGAGACCAATACCAATACTTTTAACACGCTGCCGAGTCAGAGAATGCTGGGGCTCAATGACAAAGCCATAATTCGTGCGCACAAACGAGTTAAAAGGCAATAGAACGGTCTCCCATCCATTTGAGCCAGACGTCGTTGTACTAGTAGAGGTAGACATGATCGTCGACTCAGGTGGGATGTCTGAAAGCGCAGCAGGCAAGCCGCCAGGATATAGGTCCTCAATGGCATCGGGTGAGTCTGCTTGGAAGTCATATTCCTCCTGCAATTTTGGCGTATCACGCACGCGGTGGTGTCGTGTGTATAGTCTGTGTTGATGGATATCCGTCTCGACAACCGCATCTGTCTGCACGTTGACGGTGTATCGGCGACCGTCGGACTTGATCCGCAGGGCAAGGTACGCGTAGGGATCAACGTCCCAGAAGAGCCTACCGAAGAGCCAGAAGCCTCGATCTTTGTTGCGGAACGCTGCGTAGCCTAGGTTGCGAGTATTAGTTGCTTTTTCTCCCTTAATTTTTTTCATGTTCTAGACCACTTGGGTGTGTTGCTACCTAGGTAGCGGGTAGGAACATACCAGTCCTTTCAACACGCCAGTTGTCAGGAAGCTTGGTTGAGATGCTACCGTGGAAACGGGCATGTGAGGGAGTATTTGAAGAAGGTTCAGCAGGTTCGTAGTCTAGGCTGGCTGTGCTAAAGCCTCCTACTGCTCGGTCGGCCATGGTCTTGCATCCTGTAACGGTGCTCTCGTCTTCGAAATTCAGTAGAGTATAAGGTTTAGTCGGGGTGTGGAGGGCTTCTGTGTTCCAAGCTGCGGCAAATTAGTTGAGGTGCAAGACTGACGGCATTGACACAACTTACCGATCTTTGATAAACGGCCGAACTCATCGGCACTGCGCTTGATGAATCCACCCTGGGCTAAACGTCGGGTTGGAAACATATTGGAATGATTGTAATTCAGAGGACGGAGACAAGCTCAGAGATGAAGTCGGAGTTCCTTAATATCGGCTTCCGAGTTGCCTAGGTGGCGCGGGCCGATAAGATAGTGTTTGGGATGTTTGGTCTGTTCTCTTTATGCCCCAAACTTCCTTTTTACTTCATTTTCATTATCTCCTATAGTATATGTATACATCTAGGAAGTGTTTTGCAATGATATACACGTCATCATGTTGCAACTTTACCTTCCAGGGATTCGCAAACATTCAAGACTAACGCTAAGCGCACAAGCCAGCATTTTGAAGACTTGATCTTCCTTTATCTTTGTTGAGTTTAGCACTGATATCAAATGCTACAAATATGCCGAGGACTGACGACATTCTGATCCTCAGGAGTATCTTGTACCTAGATATACTTCGCCAGGCCGATACCTGAATCGGCATGACACGTATTTCCTTTTTTGGAGGGTCAGCTAGACTTCATGGCCAACTCTATCTGAAGAGTCATATGGATGTTATGCGCGATAAACCTCTTCGTGAGGGCCCGGCTTCTATTGCTCTCTTGGATGTCCGATTTTGAACCAGTGGTTTGATGGTCTCCTGGACTATAGAGCCTTGGGTAAGGCTTGATTCCTGAGTCAAGTTGGCTTCATACTAGCCCTATGAAGGCCCTCCCCAGAAATTTACCGTGGTTAACTTCAAATCTGCTTGTCTCTGCTGGGGCATCCCAAGTCTGGAAAGCGGATATTCTCATATTTATCCCAATGTGGCGACGGAGGTGGTATTCATAGAGGATATACCCCCGTAGTTATCTCGCTCTCTTCTCTCTATTTTTCTATCATACATCCATACCACGCTCGTTTACCGCATTTGAACAATTCGTTTACCGCAGTACAATTACCTAGTTACTCTCGTTGATTATATACCTCCCCAATGGCCATTCATTATGTCGAACAAAATGGCTCTACGCCCAGTGTCTCTAGGCATAGTGCCCCGGAGCCTCTCATCTCAAATAAAGATGCCCACGAAAATACAGCTTCGGAATCTAGTGCTCACCAGTCTAGTAGCTCGAAGCCTAGTACACCGGAACAAACTGCCAAGTCAGCCGAGCCATACGAGCTCGAACCAGTCAATTCAACCAATTCAGCAAATCCAACCAACGCTGGTAAGCCAGGAAAACCGGAGGAGATAGAAAAGCCGGTATACCTCCCGCGTGCCGACCGATTGCTACAACGGCCAAGCAAGGAAAATGCACAGGGCCTCTTTCTTCCCGATTGTTGTGTTTTTGTGGGAAAGTAGGTATTTCCCCTATTTGACACTATATATACTGACTGAATTAGTCTCTCCATTAAACATTCTCTTGAAAAGTTGGAAGAAGATCTTACAGAAATGATCTCTACATTTGGCCGGTGTCATGTTAAGATCAAACTGTCACAGGGGTTGAAGAAACTACCTGTTGCATTTGTACAGTTTGAAGTGAGTACAAGTTGATTGTATTGTGATATATGGCATATATGGGACATACTAACATACTAAATTAGGACACCACAGCAGCAAATTCTGCATTGAAACAAAATGGAAACCTGATGCTTCATAATCGTGTGTTGAGATTGGAATCATCTAGGGCAAGACGTGAGTTCCTTTTTTTGTTTTTTGGGACTCTTCATCTTGTCTTTGCACCTTCGCATTTTCTCACTTTCTCTCATCTTCACACCTTCCTAACCTTTCCTTTTACTCAGGAACTGCCCACTTCGGTAATATCACTGATGCTCCCATCGACAAAGCTGAAATTGCTGCTGCCCTGAAAGGACGTGGTAGCCTTGAGGGCATAACTATTGAACCCTTTGTCAACTCCGAAGGCGTCGAATCTACCTTTGGCGTTGTAACTTTTGCATACCCCGACGATTACGCAGATGCCCTCCAGGTAAGTCGACTTTCCAATTTCTTCTCTGAGTCTACTGACCACTTGTCTATTCTAGTATTTTCAAAACAACCCTGATTACTATATGAGCAGACCCACCATGGACTCCAACGACAACCAGCTTCCTCAGGATTACCCTGCCCCAGGACATAGGCCTTCTAACCAACCTCCTACAACCCGCGGCAATGGCAATCAGCAGCGATACAACAATGGTCGCAGGTCCTTCCACCGTCCATGGTATAGCGGCGGCGGCAATAACAATAACAACAGAGGCGGATTTCGAAATGCTCCTGGGGCTGCCCCCAGACACCAAAACACACCCTTTGCAAATCATGGTCACAGCCAAAGCTTCAATGGTCAAGGCCATTCACCTCAGGGCTCTTTCTCTCAGAACTTCCCTGGTGGCAACGGTTTCCCTCAGAACAACTTCAATAATCAGGGCTATCCCAACCCCAACTTCAATCAAAACTTCCCTGGCAACTTCCCCCCGAACTATCAGGGCAACTTCCCCCAGAACTACCCCAATCAAAGCTTCGTGGCTGCGGGTGCCTTTCCCAATCACCCTGTTATGTTCAACCAAATGCCTATGCCTATGTCTGAAGGCCCGCCCCCGCCATACCATGCTGAGTACACTGCTATGCCAGCCCCGGGGTTTCCTATGTTCTTGAGTAATCAATCATATCAGCCTCCCAATACCCTTCCTGCGATCGTCACTCAGCCCCAGCCTCTGCCTCCGCCTCCGCCTCCGCCTGTTGCTGGTCTTATTCACGGTCGCCGGCGATTGCCCCCCCGTCCTGATTGTCCCTTGATTGTCTCCAGCCAGCCTCAATTTGACACCGAACATCACAAGCAACTTTACTATGAGACCTACCCCGCTGATGAATCCTTCACGAATATGCAGCCAGGTTGGGCCGGTCATCCAGGTGCTTGTTTCGTGCACTCTGACTACAACCAGCCCTATCCACCCAACGCATATCCTCGCAGTCGCCAATCTAGCATGGAAAGTCAGCAGAACATCAGCTCACTGCCCAGAGCCATCGAATCTGAGTCGGCGTTGACACAGACCAAAGTCCAGACCTCTGAGACTGAGAGAGGTCGCCAACTATTTAGGCCGCGTCACCCCAACACCGATGGAGGATGTGATATAACACCAGTATCTGCTCCTGCTGAGATGACTACAGTGTCTACCACTGCTCAGACCCAGAGCGATCCCGTCTCTATGCAAGCTCTGGATGGTCCACAGGAAGAAATTAATACGGCAAATATGAGCAAGTCCATTGAGGCTCAAAGTGAGCCCACCGCACATGTGGAAGAGCGTGTCAAGTCTCAGGGTCAAACCACTGAGCCTGAGAATGAGCCTCACCTGCCTCAGACTGAATTCATTTGTGTTCCAACTCATGATCAAGGGAATGAAGGGTTGATGAATGAAACCAAGCCCCCATTGAAAATCGATACCAAGAATGAAGAAAGCGGATCTTCCTCCGAGGCTGGTCCCAAGACACCAGACACCGATGAATCTCGGGAAAGCGCTAAACTTCAGACTCCAGCTCAAGCTGACTCACTGGAATCAGCCGATACTGAGACTCCTGATACCGACGAGACCCTCAAGCCAGTCGACAAGGGCATCCCGGATAAAGGCAAGTCCCCGGAAGTGGTCACACCTACTCCAACCAAGAGTGGCAGCAAAAGGCTCGAGCCTGCAGTGCCAGACAACAAACACCTACTAGCCCGCCATGCTTTCCAGCACCGCAAACCCCTCAAGAAAAAGTACCAACCTAAAACCGACACTGGCAAAACAGTTGAGCAGTACACCCGTGAGATAAATGCGCAACGTGCCTCTATTGATCCTGACTCGCGTGTCCCTGAGCATATCCTCCAAGAGGTGATCCAAGAGCTCGAGAATGAGCGCAAAGATAATATTCGGAAGAGTCAAGGTCTCGGTTCCAGTGATAAGAGCAGCGTCGATAGTGGTACTTCTCCGAAGAAGTAGGTTTGATGTTGACAAATGATTGAAATGGGGATGGAGGAAGTTATGCGGTTTGATCTGCTTGCTATGAAGGGTCGTTTTATTCTTATCTTTTCTTTACTCTACTTTTATGGTCTGTTCTTTCAAATGTGTGCGTTTTTCAGGGAAAAGAAAAAAACATCAAAAAAGGGGGAGCATGTACGTTACTATGAACATGCTCGGGTCAATCATCAAATTTCAAATTTTATTCTGCAAGTTTGCTCGTTCCTAACAGTAATCCAATGCATCTTGTACATGAGTTCTTAGCAGGGTATTATTAGTTCTAGTGGTCACATACCATAAGTTGTTTTGATAGCCCCGGGGTATGAATATAAAGACGAAGAGTGGAATGGCTTATCGATATGTGTAATAATATGATCTGATTTCATTGACATAGCCGAACGGCAACTTGATCCCTGCCCATGTGAACGCCGAGACCGAAAGCCGGTTTATATGTACAAAATGCTTCTCGATGCCAGGCTGCATGCCATAGATACCGAGACTAAATGCCAGTGGGGGATAGTGATGCACGTAGAACCAAAAAAAAAGAAAAGAAGAGGGAAAAGGAACGCAGAACGCAGAACAGAAGAAATGGCAAATTCCCATATGCAAACGCTCATGGTTAAAATAGATGTGGGTCGTGAAGATAGAGAGGATATGCTGTGAGTGTGGTAGAAGGTCCACGGGTAGAGGTGACGTTGAGAAGTAATCGGATATGACGAAGATAACGCTGGGAATCAAAGCAGAGGGAGGAACATGGCGAGGAATAAAGACAAGGGAAAGGAGGTGTAAAGTATGTATAGGAGCGTGACCTCTCCCAAGAAATTAGTGATCAGCCTAATCATCAAGCTCTCACACGTCTAGCATCGAAAAAGCCCAGATTGACAGCCGTATCGTTGACGCCCAGAAACGGCGCCGCATCCTCAAGTAGTTCCCAAGGACGCACTGGATATGGACCGACAATACGACCGCGGTGTTGAAGACGAAGTCTGTTGGCCATACAGTTCGAGTCTGGCAGTCCGGTAGACGGTCCCGACGCTGCTGCGACAGACTGCTGCGCTGGAGATGATCCAACGATAGAGAAAAGAGCAGGTGACGGGGTTGGGGTTGACCCTGATGCTGCGGGAGAGGGGGCTGAGACTTGCTGGGCATTTGCAGAGAATTGATCTGTCATTGGGCCCAGGAGGTAGAGGAAGCGAGAGTCGTTCTGGAATGGAACGAAGGATGGGCATTTCTCTTTCAAAAAGCGTGCACATTGGTGGCGGACCTCGTCTGGGAAGACATCGATTAATGAGGCGGCCACGTCTAAGGCGTGGGTCTGCAGGAGAATTCCTGGGCAGGGGCGAAAGCCTTCAGTCGGGGTCGGGTGCGGGAAGTAATCGGCTGCAGGGAATAGACGAATGACATCTCCGGGGAGCCGCGAGAGTGCAATGCAGAATATTGATGTTAGAAGTCGGAGCTGCTCGTGCAGAGGATTGGTCTTGAGGGCTGCGGGCGGTTGGGCGAATGCAGATCGGTGGAGGACAATCATCCTGAGCAAAGCGGAGAACCAGAATGCAAGAGCACGCTCAAATTTTGAACGACCTGTGTTAGCCACACCCTTGACGAGGGTACTGTTGTGCATGGTGATAATCTTATGCAGGAGGGAATCCATCTTTTCCACAAGCACTGGAGCGACAGATGGAGCTCCAGAATCGGGGATGCTACTCGCAAGCTCTTCGATGATGGTAAGATACATTTTGGCAGTTTCCAATGATCCCAGTTTATCAGACGAATCAGGAATATCACCTATTGGCTCTTCAAGCAGTGGGATGGAGAAGAATTCTTTCTCGGCACGTTCCCGGATTTGGCGTACGGCGTCCGGGCTCATCAATGCAACCAGGTCAACCCAATGGAGTCTGTGAGCACGACAGTCTGATACAGCAGTTTTGAACATGGCATCAACAATATTAGTTCGATCTTCAGACCCCGAATCCGCATGGAATAGAACTTGGAGCTTCAATTGGCAAAATGGGAGCGAGAAATCGTCGGTCATACAGGCAAGTTTTTCGACCTTTGAGAGGACTGAGCTACCATCGGACTGTGACTCGACGCCCAGTAGAAGATCAAGTGCTTTCTGGACAATACTCAAAGCGGCTGGGTATTGGTCGATAAGCTTTTGCATGCCATTTTGTGCCGCACATTCGGGGTTTCGCACAAGAAGATCACGTAGCAACATGACTATAGAGCGTTCCAGCCCGCTGTGCCCAGTAGAAGAGACATCGGCATTGGAGGATGCGGCGTCACAAACAATTTTGAGCGCTTCCTCGGAGTTCTTATTGAGAAATTCCTGCTGTGCCAACTGGAACCGATAGGATACCAAATCGAACGACTTGTTATCTTCGTCATCAGAGACAAGAAGTTGGACAAGGTCAGCAGGTAGCTGGGCTGCATTGGGGACTGTCGCTGGCGTAGAGAGTGTGAGTCTCTTTGCAAGGGCCAAAAAAGCTCTGATAGTAACGCATCCGACACCAATTAACGGCGGTAGAATCCGCAGCAAGATGGTACGTTCAGGGGATCGCAAATGGCCACAGACCCAACGGGCAAGAATCCCATCAAAATGCTTTGGATGGAAAGACCTGAGCTGTGCAAGGTAACGGCAGGTGTCATTTGCTGACAAGTTCGCATGGCCATCATCGGACTCCAGATGCTTTATGAGTATGTTGAAAATCGCGTCTAGAGTGGGTTCATCCATAACACTCCCTGATTGCAAAAGCTGATCTAACTTCTCTCGGAAGAGGGGATCGACATCACCAAAACCATCTGGAATGTGGTCAGAGACTGGAGAAGATGCGGCCATGATTGACTTATTCTCCATGCGAGAGAGATCCTGGCGAAGAATGGACACAGTGTTAAGTTCACTAGGAATGCGCAAACCAAGTTCGATCAGAGAGAATATCAGATCAAGACTTGGCATGCCAAACCTCTTCATGCCGGCATAGGCATCAATGAGTCTCCGGAATAGATCCGTTGTGGCGCCAATCACGCAAAGAGAGTCGAAATGGCAGTTTGTGGTATCTGCAACTGAGGCAAGAACGGTACTATCACCACAACTAGATGCAAACTTCAACACATCTGCTAACATTGAAATGTCGCCAAATGATTCGAGAGCATCGCGGACGGTATAAAACTCAGCAGGAGTCAGCGCAGATACCACAGAGGCAATGCCAACGGGAAAGGCTCCTCTGTTAGTTGACCTATTAGCGAGTTAGCAAGGTAGGTGACGGGCTTAGGAGAGAGAAAATTCAAATGCTTACTCTGCACTCCGGTTGTGTTCCGCAATTACTCTGCGAAGCCACTGGCCCACCTCGGCTTTGACAGCCCAAGGCAGGTTTGGTGGTAACGAGTCTAATGCTATTGACGTAGATTCATTGACGCCAAAAATTCCGGGTAAACGTTGGCTGATGATATCTTTCACGTTGTCGATAGCTGCGTTCTCCTCTGAAGTAGAGAGCCCAGTACGAGTCAACAGAGTACTCCGCAAGTTCCCAACATGTTCTGGAAGACGAGCAACGGGGAGTTGCGCTATCAGTCCGATATCGATTGGCAAGTCCTTCACCTACACATCCGTTAGTGAGCAGAAGGGTTTAGGGTGTAAATTTGATCTTACCTTGTGCTCCTCAGCCGAAGATGATCCATTGGTAACGCCTCGTGCCATGAGCCATTGAAGATAGCGGCCAACTGAGAATGTCTGTGACCTGACAAGTTCAGAGACGACATGATAGATTTGATCCATATTAAGCTTTTGATTGTTATGTCCGCGCGATAGAAAGGCCAGTATGTGACTGTCAATATCGACGCCGGCCAGTTTCCATTTTCGGAGCAGGCGAACGCCAATATAAACCCGGCAAAGACCGTGACGGAACGGTGTGGACAGCCATTCTAATAGCTTGAAGACTAAAATAGCCTTGTCATCAAAAGCGTCAAGATAACCAAAGATAGAAGAGAGATCCTGAGCGGAGCGTATAGAGTCGAGAAGTCGGATGATGCGTTGATGGGGTGAGCGTTGAGTTGTTTGTTTCGAGTGTCTAGGTCGCTGCACTCGCGCATTGCGCTCTGCGAGGCTCTGGAAAAGAGCTCTTTCTGCCTCGTTGCCCAAATCAAGAGTAGATGACACCTGTTGTTTATACGTCTCCCAAGAATTTGGGAGTATCATCGAAGACGTATGGTCAAGAACAAGCTTTTTGATAAAGCGAGAAAGACGGTCGATAAGAGGTTGGAGTTGAATTAATTTAGCTTCAGTTGCCTATTGCTTGGTGTCAATATTGACTGCGGGCACAGAGCAGTTAGTTAAACTTGAACGCACCTGTCGCACTTTTTGGAGCAGCAGCTCAGCCAAGCGTCGTCCCCTTCGCCGATATCGCATGATACTATTCCAGTATATCCCAAGCATCAAAAGCCAGACTGGAATCGTGCCAATAGAAGCAGCCTCAAATGATGACAAGAACCATTCAAGAAAATGGTCATGATCCAGTAAGTTTTCGGAGAATAAACGAGCAGTCAGCCCAACACTAGAGATAAAAGTTAGCATATTTCTCACAACTGAGCAATCTGGAGCACGTACGCATATGTCATTTTCGCCTTCCAATCCGAGGACTTGGGGGCAGCAAATACCCCTTCAATAAATTGCTGGACATTTGTCGTCCAGTCTCGGACCCATTTCGCCTCTAGCCCAACAGCCAAAGCACCACTGGTGCCTTTTCGCTTGAACGCACGGATTTCATTCGCACCCACACACTTTGCTAACCAGACAGCACGTGCAACAGGGATCCATTTACCAAGGCACTGGTCCAAGAGGACCTTGCCACGGATACCATGGGGAATGGTTCGGCTCAACCTTCGCAGCGGAACAGACGGGTTGGCAAGATCTCGTAGCCATGCTTCGCGCTTGTTATCAGTGAGCGTGACCCGAGGTGGCGGTTTGAAAGTTGACGGAGCATGAATAGTGTTGTGACTCTGTCGTTTCTCCAAAGCCGCAGCGAAGACAGACGAAAGCATTTGCAACCCTGTGCGATTCTTGAGCTGCGCATATAATGCAGGACGCGCTGTATTCGATTCGTTCTGGGAGACCTGTGTACGATCATAGTACCCTTGTTTCGCAGTTTGTTCGCTCAGGATGTCCTCCTGGTGGTTTCCAGTCCATGGGGCGAAATCAGCGGGTTCTGAAAACAAGGCAATTAGTCACGATAGATACAATTCAGAAATCCGGGTGTTCATTTACTTTGACCTTTGTAGACCGGAGCGACTGAAGGGATCTCAATGCGATACGGGGTCGTCTGTACAGCCCCGACTGGGGAGCTTTCCCTCGACTTCACGACACCGCTTCCCTCAGGTTCGGCCACAAAATTATTCTTCCAAGGCTGAGCCGGCAACGGAGGCGGAGATGGGGGCTTAGATCCGGTAGCGCCATCGCCCCGATTCTCATTGCTTGGGAGTTCCGACACGACAGCCTGGAAGGACCAGGCCGGACGACCGCGCCACGAGACTGCAGGTCGCGAACTTGCACTTCCAGGAGTATTTCTCGTTTCTCCCACCGCCAAACCAGTATCCGATGTATTCGATCCACTCGGAACCTCCAATCTCGGTCGTTTGGGGGGCGGTTCTCTATCTTGCGACTCCGGACCGCCTGCGGTCAAGTCAACGACGGCGGGTTGTCGAATTGGCGGTTGTGGTAGTGAGGCTGACCTCTCGAGCTGATCATATTGTCCCAACATCTGCGCATTATCAGCCCATCCGGGACCGCCATTGAAGGTCCGCAAAGGGTGGCCCCACGGTTGGCCGCCGGCAGAGGAATGGGGGATCATCTTAGGCTCATGATGTGTCCAAAGGATGGAGTATTCGGGTCATCCAGGCGACGTATAATTTCGAGGAATTCGAGTCAATGAGAATGAAAGTAAACGCGGTGAAACTAAGTGAAGGTTGGCGGGTAGGGTGAGCTGATGTCGGGGAACGGGCGACTCGGGTATCTGGGTAATCTGGGTATTCTGGGGTCGGGGAAAAACACAAATTCCTCTTAACTAATGTAAGGGAAAAGATTAGGGGTTATACAAAGAAGTAAGTACAACCTTAGAAACATATAATGTACTTTGTGAAGTCAAGAAAAAGGTCAAGGATTTGTGTTCATATCGGGCTATCATATGATTTGATGGTAATGGGCTGACAGTACTACTGTACATTTTTTTTTCTAAATAATCGCAATATCCCGGGTTTATTTGCTTCTCCGAGTCTTTCAAGGTGCTATTAAAGGCTGACATATATCTACATTGTACTCCATAATTTCCAATGTTATAGCCCTATCTTCCTTTCCCCATCCGTCGGCTCCCGGAAAAGGTCCTATCTGGTGATATTCCTCCTTGGCAAGTCTTAGCCGCGCGGAATTATTCTTTGTTCCCATGACGGAGTACAACATATATACAGAATATTGTGCTCTAATCCAAATACAAGTCTACCTGTTACACAGGCTAGAGGTCCAAGAGCGCAACGGGCCGTTCCCATTCTCTCTCGGCATAATCCCCGAGGCCTTCCAAATGGCTTATCATCTGGAGTGTCCACCAGTGGACATTCCATAGAGCGCATATCGGGCCCATCGGATCTTTGCATTTCCAATTTCCAATCTGACTCTGAATCCGTGGCATGTTTGACTCAGCCTGGACTTATAGTGGCAAATACCGTGCCGATCAATGTCTACCTGCATATTCAAGATGCTATGAAACTATACAGTGAGGACTGGAATATGCTAACTGTAAGGGGGACTAGCAGTAAACTGAAGCCTACGGAGTATTGAGTACACTGTACCATGTCATGTAGGAAGTGATCGATGCACAGCCATCACACTAACCTGCAACATATCCAGACCATTACACAAACCCCGTATGTTGTATGTTGTCGGTGGGTATTATACTCCGTATTGATTTCCACATTCAACCCGTACGACTACATATGTATCTTCCTCCTATTAAATTCATAGCTAAGATCCGAAGGACTCTATTTCCATATACAAAGTACATTGTACATTATTGTACCTTAGCATTTATAGCGGTAAGTGTCAGGTTTATCTATTTGTACACCCGGGCAAATTTGGAGTATCCCCTACTCCGTACTTATAATGTTCTCACTTGAGAACCAATCAGCCAATAATGATTTTATTCTGAAGAGGAGATACAGACGATATAGATGCATAACATAAAAGGTACAAAGAAAAACAAAAAGAAGTGTCCGTGTCCAGGTCGGAGATATCAATCCGGGGTGTTGTCGGAAAGTCTAGCCCACACTGGCACCGCCTTGGCACGGGGAAGTGGCCAGTTCAATCCTTCTGACCTCAACCTATCATCTTAATATCATATCTCAACACAATGTCGGCAAAGAAAGATATGCGCAGGGCTGATCTTGGTGAGTAGAGCAGTAACTGCTTCAGGTCTTGGTTCGTCAAAGCTAATGTTAAAAAGCGATCCCCTATATCGATCCCCCTAAGAGCAGTAGCGATGCTGATATCTCAAGTACGCCATATCTACGTTTCAGCAATGGAATATTTTAGTGCGAGGACTATGAAGACTGACTCAGCTACATAATAGGCACAATGTCAAGCACTATGCCCATGGCGGCCGTAAGTCGTTGCACCCCAATATCCGACCTTACGATAACGTGACCCTAACTTTTCTCTTAGATGTTTACTCGGAACCGGTGAGTCGCGCGTCTGATACAAGCTATGAATATCGGGCTATGAACATTACTGACGAGTCTCGCGACACAGTATGATTGGATGGTAAGAGGGCAAGCAGTCAATGGTTGGACCAGTTTATCTGACTGGGAAACAGGGTATCATTCGTCTTCTCACTTCAGTCCTGGTTGGGTGAATCCCCAGAGCAGAAGAAGACTGCTTCTACACCGGCCTACATGTCGGTTCTCATGTCCTGTTCGTTCCTCTCCATAACTGCCCCCTGGTGCTTGCAGGACTAATCTCGTGGTATATAGTGATGGCATTGGTTGTCGTATGTATCCCGAACCTACAGAACTGCGGCGCGCTCAGCTTACCGACCCATCGCAGACCTACTTCCCTCTCTTCTTGCCTCCTCCGGCTCGTGGCGGTACCACTGCCGCCGCCGCACCGACCCCGCTGGCCTCCTGAACACACGAACTTCCTTGATACCTTTTCTTTCTATCCTCATATACGTATCATAATCTCCAAAGTCTTATCATCTGAACTAAGATGAATTAATTGTCCGCGGGTCATCATATTTTGAGTCTGGATTAAGAGATCTCCACCTTTATCTATTATTGTCACGATGTACCAATATTCAACCCAAGTTCTGTCCTTGTGATCGTATTACCACCATCACTGCCACGAATTGCTGGTAGTTTGAATTAGGACTGTGTATTACTGCCACCTAATAATAGTTCTTGCACATTATAGAGATGTCCACGGCCCTGGGGGATTGTCTTTCCCAAGTGCCCAGCACCTGAGCATGAGATATCGCTTAGTCACACACCGCCTTCCCCCACAACGTGACTCTTGCCTCAAAAGGCTCTGCCACTTCTTCCCTCCCATTCTTCCACCACAGCAACTCCTCTCTTCTAACCACACACGCTCCGATATTTTACAGAGATATTGAATCTCGCCCTTCGCTCACTCCATCAATACCCATTTTAAACGTCGTTTACTACTAAAAGGCCGAGTTTATGTCCATCGAAAACCTCAAGACCTTCGGTAAGTTCGCCACTTTCCCCTCCTGGGCGCGCGTGTTGGGCCTCACCTCCCCCCTCACCTCCCCCCTCCCCCCTCCCCCACATACACGCATATCCAAAGTTATGATTCCTTCTTATGCAGATGGGACATACGTCTTTCATCATGTGTGGTTTCAAAGCTGTAGATCTCAGCTCTCCCCATCGAGTCTCACGACGGCGGGGTAGAAATTTGGTACTGGACTGAGGCTGACATGTGCATCTTACAGACCCCTTCGCCGAAGCCGACGAAGATACCGGCGAGACTAAACAGTCTCAGAACTATATCCACATACGGATTCAGCGTACGTTCAATTTATTACCCTCACCGCCTATGGCTACTCTTGCGACTCGCTGGCGCTAAAGGGGGGTACATGCTAACTACTTGTTCCACAACAGAACGCAATGGTCGCAAGACTCTGACCACTGTTCAGGGTCTACCCAAGAAGTTTGACCAGAAGAAGATTCTTAAGGTCATCAAGAAGAAATTCGGTATGTCTTCTATCTTATGATATGTGCATATGTATGTCCGGGCCATATTCTAACCATATTCTAGCTTGCAATGGCACCATCGTCTCTGACACTGAGATGGGCGAGGTGATTCAGCTGCAGGGAGACCAGAGAAAGGATGTCCAGGAGTTCTTGACTGACAAGGAGGGACTCGAGCTTGATGCCAAGACCATCAAGGTATGTCGCTGCCCCACCCCAATATCTGCCCTTCATCACCATTATCACTGTCTAATTTGTCATATCCTAGGTCCACGGCTTCTAATCCCATCACCAACATCATGCCTTGTTCCGCTCCGCTCTTCCCGGTTTATGTTGCCCTGTGAGCGGTGGGATAGGAAGCATCCCTCATCCGCCGGCCGTATACAATACTGTATGCAATACTGGCCTTCACATCGATCGAATGTCTTGCTTTCTTCCCCCCACCACTCTGTGCCTGGCGTGTTAGACCTGGGCCCTTCGTCGAAATGACCCGCTACACCTATGTGCCTCCTGCCTCTCGTTACTGCATGATCGGCAGGGAGAGCGGGGTGGTTCGACCACTAGTCTTAAGGATGGGATTATGACGGAACGAGGAGTTGGTAGATACCCATTATCTGCATAGACAGACAACACTTTTTTTTCTTTTCATGACTTTGCGTGCGTTTTTCAACCTTTTATCCTCTGAGAAGGTGTTGCCTTTTTTTTGCCTGTATTACTCATTGCCATTGCATTCCTATGGTCAATTTGTAGTCTGGCTGATTGAAGAGATCCAGATTGAAGGGCGTGCTTTTGCCGAACCGTTTTCTCGGTATCTACCGTCTACTTTTAATATTTGTGTCGTTCTCAATCTTGTACTGCCTCTCTCTTGGGGATGCAGTTCATTGCTTGGAAACAAGGAAATTGAACCGTTTGTCCGTCATCTTTCAGCCAATGCAGCAACATAAAGTAAAATTTGAGATAGGGGACCGACCTGATCTCAGTCTATCCAGGTAGTTTGAGAGAGCCCAAGGGTAAAATGTCAGATTGTGAATCAATTAATAAACAAAAACAATAGATTAGACCTATCAAAGATCGCCATGTCTGAAAAGAAAAACATCCCTAGACCAGGGGTATCAAGCGCAACAAAGCCCAAAGACAAAAGAGTCTTCAAGTATCTTTCCTAAATCAAAATCAACCCCAAAAATGTACAAATCACCCACTCTGTCTAGCTAAGAACACTTGTCCAGCTTGTTCAGACGGTGGAAATCAACTCTGCGAGATATCCCGAAACAAGAAAAAGAAAATCCAGCAACCAGCAGATAAGTAAGCAAGCTATAGTTCTCCAGCAGCAATACGGTCATCCGCAACTCGCATGCGCAGGAAAATAGCCACAGCCCAGTCCCAAAGTTTGCGGGTGATGACAAAGACAGGCACTTCTGGTTCGTTTTCACGGGTCAAATGCAGCTGCATAAGAAGTGAAGACATGCTTAGGAAGCTTGCGACGGAAACGACTAGTAGTGATGCTGCTGTTTCGCGTTTGATGGTTGTATGGTTTTGCGTTGCATGGTAGACAAACGTTAAAGACTGGGTAAAGGGTCAGTGGCTGTTGTAAGCTAGATCAACAATTGGAACTCGGGGTAACGTACGGTTGTTATGGAAATCCAGGCTGGTAAAAGGAGTCTGGGGTCAGAAGATGCACCAGATAGGTAAAGGACCCAAGAAGTGATATATGCAATCAGGCCGTTGGTTGTTAGAAGACGGATCACAACCGCTGGTGGGGTGTAGTTTAGAAGCCTGTGTATATCATGGATTAGTATTACGGACGACAATGGGACGTTCAAAGAGAAAACTGACCATCGAGACATCATGCAGTCAGCAAAGAAATAGGAAAGATATGCGGATGCACAGCACTGTCAAGTAGTCAGTATAAAAGTATGCAGTTGGACACCAGCAAGTAGCATATCAAAAAAAGATATACGGCCACATGTCAAGGCAGGAATATCACATACCCACATAATAGCCAATGCCACCTCTGTCACACGGAACCTCCGCTCAACATCCCATTCCTGTCCAACACTGCCAACAATCGCCGCCGCCCACCCCTCTCGTCCCATACCCGGCCTTATGTGCAGCAACTCGGCGAGGAAGGTAAAGGCGCATCGCAAACCCCACCAGGCAGCAGGAAGCGTGCTCAAAGCCCGACATACCAGCAAAGGAACATACCACCTGCGGTCTACCCCGAGGATGACAGCGACCCGCGGGTGCAGTGCTGATGTAGAGCCATCACTGCTGAGTGGGGTATGGGACGTGGACGTAGAGGAAGTAGGGGAGGGCGGGACAGTCGAAGCAGATGGAGGAGCCACCTCTTTAGCTAGTTGGATTTGCAGTGGTGCAGGGGAATTGCTGAGGTAGCTAGGCGGAAGAGCCGATCGAGCAAGATTCAGGTCTGGACCAAGGTGTGGATGTGGGTGTGGATAGTCATGGGGAGTGTATGGTGGAGGAGAAGCATTACGCCGAGGAGGAGCCAGCCTTTATTCTGAATCGCGGCATATGCGGCCGCCACGCAAGGAATGGAATGGGTATAGGATAGGCGTTACGATCGAGCCGTTCGCTCTCGAAAATATTCAAAGTTGGGTTGTTGAGCTGTTTGTGAGTCCCCTAATTGGCAGATATCAGACCCAGTGTGTGGCGGGCGGTGTCTTTTTCGGGCAGTTTACAATTCTATACGTTCAACTTATTTTTATATATGACAGTGGCGTTATAGAATACAGCTGGGGAGGATATAAGCTGTAGCTTGTAGCCTCAATAAGAGGGTTCGTTCACAAGAACCTCACTCGTTGCTGTCGACCGAATTAATTCACGTGACCTACAGTTCCGCGGATTTCTGTTCCTTGGCCAGGAACAGGAACCATTTCTCTTTCCAACCCGATTAGCAATGGCGTCTACCCTACGATTTCCCGCGGGCACATCCGCTCGGATTGTACCATCTGGTTCCTTTGTCCAATGTCGGGCCTTCTCCGAGACCTCCCAACAATGGCGTGGGAGACAAATGAATTTCCGCCCTCCGAGTCAAGCGCAACCGTCTTTCAAAACCAGAACTCAGGGCATGAAGTTAGCCGATCTGCCAAATGACATTGGCATATTACCAGGTACATTTGTCCGACCATTATGGAGGGATATGCCGTCGATTTTCAAGGCACCGCGTGATAGGTGGCATATGGAATGGACATGGCTCAAGGCCTGGTTGAGCAACCATGCCAGGTTAGTTCACCCCGAATCCTCGGAATATTCGGTAGAATACCTTTGCTAACTGGATTACAGTCTGCTCCAATATTGCAAGCGCGAAAATACCCTTCCTCTTCTCCTAAGCAAGCGGCGCCACTTCGGCGCAAAGCTCCAGGAGGAGATGTATACAGCATTTGCCGAGTAAGCACGCACCTTTTCCCCATTTACCTTTGAGCGGGACTAACCATCATGAATTGTTGTAGAGGCAATATTCCTAAAATCCGCCAGATCTGCTGCGACGGTCTCGCCAAGCAACTCAGTACAGGTATCGAACGCCGCCCGAAAAATGAGAAAGTGACCTGGAAACTGGTGAAATACCTACGTAAGCCAAGTACAAGCTTCACCGGCCTCCGCGTCATCTCAGATCGTGCGACATCCATCCCCGATATCCCAAGATCCGGTATCCGTCAAATTGTCGTGCGCATCACGAGCCGACAGTCTACAACCACGACTCAGCTCCAAGCCCCCAACGGAAAAGAACCTACCGAAGCTGCCACCGTTTCCACCAAGGAGCAGGACTGTACCGAGCACATTGTCATTCAACATCTCCGCTGGAACAACCAGGATAAGGGCTGGAGAGTCTGGGGCCAGATCAACCCCACCACATTGCATGATGCTTGGACCAATCCCTACTTCATGCCTGGCTTGTCAGCTATCGAGCGTTTAGACATGATCAAGGACTCAATGGGCCAGAAATAAATTTGAGTCACATCTCGAACTGTGATTTGTTCTTTCCTGTCAGCATTATATGCTCTGAGCCATCCGCCAATTAGTGACTGCAGCTGCAAGATCCGACCTCAAATACTGGATGAAACTGTATGCCCTGCCAACAAAAAATTGTTCTACCATCTTACCGGATCAACAACGAATGGTTTTGACACGGTATCCTTTATTTCACCTACTTGTTTTATTTTTGGTTTACCAACTCCTAGTTTTTGGCCTAACACTGGACAGAGGCTCAGGTCAGCTTTTTTTCTGGCCTGTTCTCTTCCCTGCACGGGAAACCCCTGATATAGAAGCATTTACAACTCCCATGTACCATAGCCACCTGTTTTGATCAAATTCTACCTTTCTTTTGTGTTACTTGTATAAATGAATATTAATGTCTCAGAGTGTCCTTCCTTTAATCTACTATTATTTTTACTCTAAGGAATACACGACAAGACGAGATTTGCAATTAATAGGTTAGTTAGACAGCCACGTCAACTAACTAACCAATCCCTAGGCAATATCCTATTATGTTCCAAACTTCACTTCAAAGATGCCACTGTACTTTCTACTACGGAGTAGTATGATACCAAAAAAGCCACTATTTGCCGCATCTTAACCTGACATCATCTGTAGCACGATTAACTATGCGTTGTTCATGACCGGCATAAGTCAAAACTAAAAGGACTAACTAGGCAGTATGTATATGTACAGTCGGAAAGCACAAAGGTACAATATTAATGTGTAGCACAGGTATCACTGAGGAAACACCAAAAAAAGACAGGAACAAGAAGTTCAACGGGAAGCGATGCACTAAAACATTGTCGTGAACCAACGCTCTATTCCAAAAACAAAACAAGGAAGAAACTAGGAATATTTCAGGGGCAAATTAATCAGTCATCGTCAAAGATCTGGAATGTATTATTCAGGATCGTCTCGATGACACGGACCTGCCACCCGGCGTCGGCAATATTGCCACCGGAATTGGCGCCCATGAGCGTAGGTCTATCACGAGAATTAGCGGGTCTGTATCTGATAACGTCGCTGTTTATATAGAATGTGGAGTGTGCAAGGACATACCCGAAGCAAATGGCTAGATTGCCCGCATTCATGCGGTTCTGGGTATAGTGTTCTTGAATCTTGTTGAGATGCTGCAAAGGAAAGGATTAGTGTCTGGATGAAAATAAAGACTAATTTCTTGTTGGGGATCGTACCAGAATGATGGCCCGAAGAGTAGCATAGTGAGCATCGGGCAGACTGTTAATAAGGGCGTGCATCGAGTCTCGGCGTTGGATGTCGTCGTCGAAGCCTGCAATTTCATGGTCAGTTTCTCAATACGGGGTTATGTACTCTCTCCGTGGCAAGAGTACTACTTACGAGCTGCGTCAATAAACTGGTGGTAGAACTGAGTGGTGAACAGAGGATCAGGTAGATCTCTGAAGAATTGCTTCGCAAGTCCTGCAACACTGTTGACATCATGGTAAAAGTTCTCTGGATTTGTGAAGTCAACTTGTGATGAGTCTGTTCATGTGAAAGTAGGGTTAGCAAGTTGCCCAAATTTCCTTAAATGTCTAATCAAGCTTACCATTGTCGAACACAGCTTTCATGTGACTAATATGATTGGCACTACCCGAAAGTCGATAAATACCCTCCATATCCAGACCGAACAGCTCAACTGCTTGGAAGCACTGGTAGACAATGAACGGAACTGCTGTTCCATCCCGGGCGTATAGGTCGTTCAGCGAAACACCGAACACTGGCTTCAATGGAGGGAGATTCGATTGGAAATTCCTGTCCACTGGGGGAGGTCCTGCCATTGGCACATGAACCATAGGTGCGGGTTCCGGAGCCGGCGGCCCTGAGACTGGGTAGGGAGGTGTGCCGGCTGTGGGAGGAGTGAAGGTTCTATCCTGCTGGGGAGGAGGATATGGTGACTGCGGCAATCGATCACCGCTCTGCGGTGGCTGAAGCGCCGGCGAAGAGACGTTATTCGGGGTGAATGCCTGCGGCATGATTGACACGCGCTTATTTTGAGTGCTTGTTTGCGAAGGTGCCGCAGGAGCAGAAGTGGAAGAAATAGCCCCAGCACCACCGAGTGTCTAATCAACGTGTTAGTATAGTTAAGCAATCGAGGAGCAATGCAGGACTTACAGGGTGGCGCTCATATTTGACCTGTTCTGAAGCCACAGCCCCCGGGTTGCCTTCATGGCTTAGAATAAACTCGTGGAGATCTTTCTGGTTATCCACTTGGCGAATAACTTCGGCAAGGCTCTTAGGTGCTAATGGCCCGTTGATCGCATCGCTCTTCAAAGGGCTGACGCAGAGACCTTGGCCCAGAAGCAGTTTCTCGTTAAACGTGGCTGCAAATTATAAGCCGATGAACCATGAACAATGAAATCACCTGTGGAGAAAGACATCACACATACCAAACTTCTGTTGTTGCAGGGTCAAGCCCGAGTCACACTCAGCGATCAACTGCTGAAGATTGTGTACAGCTTGAGGCCGGTGGGTAGACACTAGCTCCTTGCGCGCCGCCTGAGCAGCCTGAACCTTAGACGCATAATCGCTATCCGCGTTCTGGACCTTGCGCAACAACTCCTCCTCGTGCTGCGCCGCAGACTTGTGGCCCTTCAGACCGAACTTTCCACCCTGCTTGTCTCCCGTGCGAACGCGGTCATATTGCTCTGCCAACGACTCGTATTTTGCCTTTGCCTTCTCCGCCAATGATTCTGCATCGACAACCCTCTTCTCCGCAGCTAAACCCGTCTGTTTCCATTGCTTGCGGCCGCGCTCGATGTTACCGGCGAGCTCGTGCAGATCATCGGACATCTGGTGGAGGGAGACAGCGAATTGGAGCCCATGATCGACCATTCGCTCCTGGATTCGGTGGATATCCTTGTAGCTGGAACTGTAAGTTCCTTGTCGGTTCTCGCTGCGTTGCGACGCATCACTGATCACGCGAGACAGTTTTCTCAGCCCCTGAGCATGTTCTTCTTCAAGGGATCCACGCTTTTTCAGGAAGGTTGAGAAATCCTAGTAGATACCATGTCAGTGTTTGCAATCGTCATGGGAGTTCTTTCACGATTACGAACCCTGGCGGAGGCCACGCTTTGCTTCAGCCGAGTCAGGAGTGTTGTTATGCCGATCTATTTCACGATCAATATAATTGTGTCTTTTTTGAATATGCACCTGACGGTGAATTATTTCTGCTCACATCAGAGTAGATAACCTTGTCCAGGCGGGCTTTCAGCTCGTCTGAGATGGCTTCGTGGACCTGGGTCTGCTCGCCCCCGTGGCTAGGGGATGAGCGACCGGCGCTTGACGGAGGCGCATCGGAGAGCGTCGATAGCGCCGTGGATTCGTGTACGGCTTGATCCGACATGAAAAAAAGGTCTTGACTTGAATGAATGTCAAGAAAGAGGAGTTAAATAGAGGGGGGAACGGGAAGCCTCACGGGCCACTATTAATATCGCGATGGGGGGCGTTAGGTGCCGATCAAAATGAGGTCAGTCCAGGGACTTGAAAATGCTGCAGCCTGCCTTCTCAATTTCACTTGGGCTGAAACGCTGGCGCAAACCTATAGGAATTTCCTTAAGGAGAATGGTAGAGGTTAAGACGTAATGGCGGGTTCAGCCACACAAGTGGATCTTATGTTGTAGGCTTCAACATACGGAGTACAAATGTATTTATGTACATTATTATATAGCCCTATACACAATAAAAATCACTTTTAATTCTGGTATCTTCGCTGAGAATCAAATATCAACAGTTATACAGAAACGCCATGGCAGTGATTGCCATCTATAAAATCGGAGGCGCGACGAAAGAGTCAGGAATGCCGTCAAAAACCCAATTGAGTGAATCAAAGACTTCCGAGAACCCAGATTCGCTGAAAAATGCTCCACCTTCATCAAACTGAGCTGGTATCATCAAAGATTGATCCTCAAGGGAGCTATCCTGCTGTTGCCGCGTCATGTGTCCTGCCGGGCCTAGTATATCTTGGTTCGCTGCTATGGCAGCAGCTATAAGAAATTTGTTAAAAAAAAAAGGGGGATCAATCAACTAAAGAGAAGAGGAAAGCAAAGAAAACTTACCTTGCATTTCCTCAAGGCTTTTGACCGGTCGGAATCGCTGTCGCCAACGCCAAACTGTGTCGTAGACATGGCTCATGCTCATCCGGCAGCGGACTTTAAGCTGTAGAGCATCTTCCTCGGCGGGCTCCAGGCTCGTTGCATTCCACATCTGAGCGAGGATGTCTGCAAGGCGAATCGGACGATCGTGATCCATGACACTGATTCGGCGAATTGCTGAGATCGCACCGTTGAACAGTAGCTTGCCATGGTTGAAATCGAGGTGTCGACTGAAGCTGCTCTTCAACAACTTCATGAGAGCAAAAGCGGCTGACACAATCATTTGAAGGATATAGTTGGTGGAGTGCCCGATTAATTCGCCTGGTGATGTTTCGAGATCTAGTACTCGGCCAAGGAAGGAGGTTGTTGCAAGGAAAAGTTTGATCAGATCGTCGCTTCGTGCAGTAGACCCCAAAAACATGAAGTATCGGAAGTGCAATTCTGCGGCACGGAGATGGATCGTGTTGATTGCTTGGGAGGAGTGTGAGCGGTGACAGATTGAAATGATACGACAACAACTTACCGGAGATTTTGCTGTCAAACTCGACATCCATGTCCCTAAGTTCACTTTCCAAAACCTGCACGACCACGAGCTTGTCGGCACTAATAAACTCCCCAGGCTCAGGTTTACTACTGTACAGTGACTTGGTCACCCGGTCGCAGAACTTTTCGATGCGCAATCGAATGGCCAGGTCATCGGGAAGCCGGTAGTCGGCATCCCTTAAAGAGGCAGGCTCAAGGGCCCAGTCGTATATTGTGCTCGGTGGCTGGCCATAACCAGTCGCAACACTGCCGAATCCTCAATCAGTTTTTGCGATAAACGACCGTATATGGAAAGGAGATACTCACTTTTGAGCAACGATGTTGCAAATAACCCACGTATGTAGTCGATCCTTTAGAGCTTCACCTTGAACTTCCATGCGGAATGTTGTGAACTCTTCTGCTTGAACCGGACGGTGCAGCCCAAGCTGCATAGCAATCTGCATCATCAAGCCGCTGAGCATGAAAGTTGCATCCGTGCGCTGGCTTGTAGTCGGGAGAGGCCATGTACACAGAACACAAAGGGCCTTAACTACCCGGTAGTCCTGTGGGACACTGGTAATGGTTGACCACAGCAGCCTGCTAAATGGTCCAGACAGTGCACTCAAGAGCCCAGGCTCATATTGAGACCGTCGACTCGCAACACAAATCATAGTCCACGCCAAAAGAGGGCATCGATTGAGATACACCTCTGGGGGCTTGGGTGGATTCAAAAGAGGAAGAAAGGGATGATAATAAGTGAAATATCTACGCAGACGTTAATCACAGAAGATCAAAGAAAGGGGTAGCACATACTGTTCATATAGTCGAAGAACTCGGGCTCTAGAAAGACAAATATCTTCCAGCCTCCACTGGCCTTCATCCTGTGATATAATAGAACCATCCCTTTTTATAGTCAAGGGAGTTGCTATAGATGAGTGGCTTTCAACTGGCACTGAAACGTATCGAGATGGATCAATCGCGGCCGAGTCGCGGCGAGAAAAGACATCCTCTGAGCAATGAGACATTTCATCACCTCCATGAGACTCATGAGGCTCAACTCCTTGCTCATGATCTGAATTAGGTCCCAGACGGCGGCGGAGATCTGCAATCTCCTTTTCCATTTCAGCATTGCGCCTGTGAAATTGAAGTCAATAAATAAGATGCGAGAGAGAGGAAAATAATATAAACATAACCCGAACAATAATTACCTTCTCTTAGAGATGCGCTTGAATGACTGTTCAACCTTACAGTCTATCCCAAGCCTGCGACAACGCGAACAGGCCGCAGCTGGCGTTTGAACAATATCACATCTCAGCTAGTAAGGGTTCCAGATATCAGCGCGATTGTCGGAGAGACCTGATGCGGTCGAAGTCGATTTGGGTAAAATTGCATAGTGCTTGGATATATGCACATAACTCACCTTTTGCTGCTTACATTCATTACAGGCTTTCCGGCTACCACCTCGGCGCTTGCCCGTGACAGGCGGGGTCTTCTCCATATCGCAAGATTCGGAGCTTCTCTGCATGAAATCGATTACCGGGGGTGGCCGGGGTAGTGTGGGGGACCGAAAGTCGGTCGTCGGTATTGAATAATGCGGCCCATCCGGTGCCAGTATGTTCCGATACCCCAAATCCATCGAGGTCAGCCTGCGTTCAGCCGGTATAAAACCCCACGAAACGTGAACGAGTGCTCGTGGAGTCCATGTGCCGCAAATCGGAGAAATCGGCCCGCTGAAGGGGGATGTGGGGAACCCTTCTGCTCATTAAGGACGGTGATTTGCGGGAGATTTGACACAGAAACGAATCTCGGCAGTTGCTGATTCATCTAATGCCTAAGGCATCTATTTATTATGTAATCTTTACTAGAGGTCCTATCCATAGATAGTAACGTTGGAGCAGTTGAACATGTATATACATATATGTATTTATGGACGGAATACTTCCATCATCAGACACTTTTTATTGCTGAGGATATAAGTAATTGCTATAACTAAGCATAACGTACTTCGTACTCTGTAGAGGGTTCATACCTAGGTAGTGTATATTGCCGTACCATCCTACCGTCAGCTAAAATCACATAAATATATATATATACAAGGTGTATATAGTATTAGCTTTATATTCAAGATTATCATAGAGATCAGAGTCGAATGAAAAGTATATGATTGTTGACATTTCGATATATCTCTCGACTCGAGAGTCACAACGAACTCTCTGCGGAGTTGGGAGTGTAGGTTGAGGACACAAGATTCTTGGATAATAGATGTGTCGGAAAAGGTGGAGTGAGAAGCTCCAAGGCCCTAGGGGAGAAGGGGGGGGGGGGGGGGGGGTTTATAGTAGATTCCCTCTGGTGGGCTGCGCCTTCCGATCTATATATAAGTAGGGAAGTAAAGTAATGGATCACGGCGGATAAGCCATGCAGAGAGACATTGCAAGTCTGGAGACATCATGCCCCACTTGCCCTGGCCCGAGGTCGATGTGGATTATATGATCCGCATTCCATACATTCCTAGGTTACTTTGGACATATTTAATTCAATAACTCTTCACTCTCCTCATAATTTATCACTCCAATATCTGATCTCGGATACCTGAATACCATTGAATTTAACTGTGAAATAGTGGGTTGTATTATTGCTCCATTAATCTTGGGGCTGTAAGGTTGACAACTCAACCCCAGATCATGTCCGAAATCAACGTCACTGCGGTTTTCTTTCCAAAGCCAGAGAAATTTGAAGAAGTTCGCCCAGCCTCATATTTCCCATCAACGACCTTGTCAGTCCAGATATCTAACATATCGTGTTATCCTCCAGGTAGCTACTCTGGTAACCGAAGTCATCAAACAGGTGCAAGAACACGAACCTGATACACTGCTCTATTACGCATTTAAAATCAAGGAAAAGAATGAGATTGTGATTGTTGAGAGGTAAGTCAACCATTGAGTATCGATATACATCCGTCCTCATTGATACCTCCCCCTCCCCCGCATGGAAAGGGCGCGCCTCGGCACAATCTACTTCACATATATCCATGGATATATCTTTCCCACAATTTTCAACAACACTCTGATCATCGCTACAATATATAGGTATAAGAACCAGGCAGCGATCCAGACCCACGTCAAATCAGCCTATTTCCGATCCTTCTCAGGAAAATTACCCACTTTGTTGACGAAGCCGGCGGAGATCAGGGCAGGTGGATTCCTAGGTGGTTCGCGGGGGGTGTCGCGACTGTAGGTCTTTTCTTTTCTTTTTAGGTATTTTGGTTTAGGATCTAGATTGAATAAAGTACCATATATAGCTGATGTCCGGGGGTGGTTGGTAGATATAAATAGGATAGTTGATAGACCATGCATAAGCACATATTCCTGGAGATTTCCCATAATGATTCGACATTGAGTAGACGCCATCCCATGTCCTGGCGTCACTCGTGATTCAATTGTCATGCGATTGGTGCATTAGTGATCGCTGACCAACAGATAGGAGGTCTGTGAGATGTTTTAGGAGAGATTAGACCCTATCACACGGGAGAAGGGAAGATACTAGATTCTGTTTACTCCGTACGGAGTATAGTCAACAGCAATACTTCGTATCGGTAGTATATAAAGATATTCAGATATATGTATATATATATAACCACATAGTATTTAGAAATAAGTGGAGACTGTGTTTTTTTTTTTTTTTCAAAGGGTTTTGATCTCTTCCACTTCATAAGAGAATAATCTATTAGTGACCTTGGCTAGCGGACTAGTCTGATCACTTTCCTTTCTTTTTTTTTTTTCCTTCCCCATCTTTGAATCTCTCTTTCTCTCTCCTTTGGATATATGTACTTTTTTCTGTGAGGTGAGTCTCTGTTCCAAATCTCCTTTCATCTTCATTTTCGTCTCCACATCTTTCCCACCCCCTCTTTTTCCTTAGCTCCAGCCTCCTCGAGCTTCTTTCCCAAAGCTGACCCCCCTGAAGCTAAAGCTAATATTCTGAAGATACCCTTGTTGCCATTGTGTCCTCTCACGTTATCGTTGTTATTTGGTCCGAGCCCCTTATCGCCCGCACCTCCCCTCTCCCCACACCCCCCCAACAGCCCCTGTTGGAATTTGGCTTGATTTGGTTTTGATTATACATTTTGCGACATGGCTTCGGGTCCGGCTACTCAGTCATTAAAGGTGGGCAGTTGATCTGATCTACAGCGATGCGCGGCTAATTGACAATACTTGCAGTGTGTGGTGACTGGTGATGGTGCAGTTGGCAAGGTTAGTATCCCGACACTCTTGATCCCTATTAATCTTGCGATAGTAGATGCTGACCTCCAATTCCCTTTCTCCTAGACATGTCTTCTGATCTCGTATACAACGAATGCTTTCCCGGGTGAATACATCCCTACTGTGTTCGTACCTACTGCCCTTCAATGCGAAACCATGGATCTCGAACAGACATTGATTCCTTTACAGCTTTGACAACTACACGGCCAGTGTTATGGTTGACGGCCGGCCGATCAGCCTGGGATTGTGGGATACTGCTGGACAAGAGGATTACGATCGCTTGAGACCGTTATCCTACCCCCAAACCGACGTCTTTTTGATCTGCTTCTCCATCGTTAGCCCACCATCATTTGATAACGTCAAAGCGAAGGTATAAATGAACCGAACATACCCAGGAGCCATATCAGGCCCTCCTTATTTATATGCGACTAACTGTTCCCCGTTTCTAGTGGTTCCCTGAAATCGAACACCACGCCCCCAATGTCCCTATCATCCTCGTCGGTACCAAGCTCGATCTGAGAGATGATCGCGCGACTACGGAAGCACTCCGCGCACGCAAGATGGAGACCGTCTCCTATGAACAAGCCCTAGCCGTGGCTAAGGAGATTCGCGCACATAAGTATCTTGAATGTTCGGCGCTGACACAACGCAACCTGAAGAGCGTGTTCGATGAAGCCATCCGGTGCGTTTTCACACCCTTTCCCAGAGAGACTACTTGCGTATATCCCTGTTTTTTTCTTCTTTCTTTTTCTAACTATCTGACACAGAGCCGTTCTCAACCCCCGCCCCGCTACGAAATCCGGGAGGAAGGCAGTCAAATGCAGTATCTTGTAGAGCATATTTGTTTGGCTTGACTCGTCTCCCATGTTCTCGTATGCTATAATGAATAATATATAGTTAATACGGCGTCTGGGTAGTTAGAGGCTTTGTTTTTTTAATTTCGCCGGCCTCTCAGTCCTGTTTTGTGATGAAATCCATTGATCATTTTTCTTGGGGATACTTCCTGTCTCTGCCCCCGTGGCCCGTGTTCATAGTCTGTCCTAATTCATTCGCGATGTTATTGACTCTGAGATTATACTCTAGCCATTTTAAGTTATCTGTAGTTCGTGTCACGATACATGTCCAGTGGGGCAATATTTGGCGTGAAGGAAATACAGAAAAGAGCATATGAATTGGTATCTTCAAAATCAAGCAATAGAGACATGAAGTAAGCACTTTTTGGAATAAGAAAAAAAACGGCCAAACATGATGCTTCCCGGAATGCATGGCTATCAAAATGTCCAGCTGCCTGCAGATGCTCCGGACACCATGCTGTGCACTGTTCCGATCCAACAAGTTGAGACCATCCGAAGTAAACCCCAACAGTGAACCAGCGGATTTTGTTGATTTAAACGCGGCCTCTGCGGCTAGGGTGAAGACCGGCCCACTGATCGTTGTTACCGTTGTCAGCCGGGGTAGCCTTGTCGGCTGCGCCGTCCATATTAGCAGCGTTGGCACCAGAGCCGCCAGCCGGGGCAGCCTTCTTCTCGTGCTTTCTCTTATCCTTCTGGATATCCTTAGCCTGGCGCTGGCGCTCCTCATTGAGCTTCTCGTTCTTAGCCTGGATCTTGGCATTGCGATGTTCGGATTTGGCGCCGCCGCCACCAGCACTAGAATTTGTAGTTAGTATACGGTCTATAGTTGCAATTGCTCTCGCTTGCTTGGAAAAGACTTGGAAATGATGATCGTCTTCCACATTTGTGGGGGGGGGGGGGGGGGGGATAACTCACGTCAGCTCAACGTTCATGCGTCGGGGTGGGTACTTTCCATCGTCGAAGGTAGAGTGGTGGTACAGCTTGAGGCAGGTCTTCATGCGATCGTAGTTGTCAAACTCAATGAATGCAAAGCCGCGGCATTTAGTAGGGTCTTCTTTCTTGGTTGCGACGCGGATTGTAGCCGGGGGGTTCTTCTCGAAGTGCTTGCTCAAGGACTCGTGGTTGGCGGAATAGGGAAGGTTGCCTGTATATGCGAATAACCTTTAATTAAACCTGTCTCTTTGCTTCGGAGTAGTCCATCTGGGTGAGAATCACTTACCGACAAAGCAGATGAAGCGGGAACTCTTCTGGGCCTGCTCGGCCTCCGCGGGTTCAGCGGTAGGCTCTTCTTTGGTCTCGGCCGCGGGCTCGGTCTCCTCCTTCTGCTTCTTGTCCTTCTTCTTGTCCTTCTTCTTGTCCTTCTTCTTGTCCTTCTTCTTGTCCTTCTTATCGGTGTCTACCTTCTCGGCAGGGATCACGTCAACATCCATAGCGTCATCGGAGGGAGCAGCAGGCTTGGCGTCGGCGCCCTCGACCTTGCGCTTCTCCTTCTTGTCTTTCTTCTCCTTCTTCTCCTTCTTCTCCTTCACTTCTTCCTGTGGAGGGGCAGCAGTTTCGGCGGGAGTGACAGCCTCAGACTCGTTGTCCAGCTTGCGCTTTTCCTTCTTTTCCTTCTTCTCCTTCTTGTCTTTCTTCTCCTTCTTCTCCTTCTTCTCCTTCTTCTCCTTCACTTCTTCCTGTGGAGGGGCAGGAGTTTCGGCGGGAATGACAGCCTCAGACTCGTTCTCTAGCTTGCGCTTTTCCTTCTTGTCCTTCTTCATCTTCTTGCCCTCGGGCTTGACCACCTCATCCTGCACGAGCTTGCGTTTATCGCCCATTGTGGTGGTGTGTGGGGTAAATGTTGTGGTGAAAAATGACAATGGTGGGATGGGAAGAAAATAAGACAAATGAAAGTCTTGGGATGTCCGAGGAAATAAGAAAAGAGGTGGGGAAATTTTGTAGCGCAACGAGACTCAAGCTCCAAAAAAAAGTCGGGCGGAGAGAAAAATGAAATTTACTTTTGCCGCGTCGTCTCCAGAGGCGGTGAAGACAGACAACCCGATAAGGTTTTTTATAGATCGCAATTTATGTATGTACGCACTACGCAAAACAATTATATGAATACAATGTTTCAAGGTTGCATGTACTCAAATTTTATACCAGTATCAAAGTTCGTGATAAGTCCTCTGTTAGATTAGAATACCAAGATCTTCACACCCTTTTTCGCTCCATAGCGCTCACGCAGTTCCGGCCGAGTAAGCAGCTTTAACAGCGGCATGTGCGTGTCCTTCATATCGAATATGCCTCGTTGCTTCTGGTCAACGTGTGATCCGTCAATAACAATGCGTTCCAGCTCCTCTAGATTGAGAGTTCCTAAAAGATAGATTATCAGCGTCTGTATACACAACCAAGTAGAGCTATCTATAGATAGCAACCGAGTAAACTCACCAGACTCGATCAAATCAGATATTCTGGTTGGGGTTCCAGCCCCGATACCAGAACGAGCACGTAGAAGGAACTGCTTCGATTCCTCCAGCTTGATGTGCTTCGCGAACAGCTTGCCTACAATGCTATCCTTAGTTTGGAAAGAGCGTAGTGCCCTAGTAACACCAATCGTTAGTCCTTACTTGAACTCATACCAGAGAAAGGATTGAAAGTTGCCCACTCACCGTACAACATCAGCAGATCGCATAGCAGCACCCGAAATGACTAGTGTATGAGGGGTGCCGTTTTTCTCGGACGACTTTGAGAGGTCGGAGCCCTTGGGACTGAATGACTTGAGGAATTCGGGGAGCTGCTCTAGCTTTCGGGCGGAGGTGAAGGAAGAGGTATCGAGGAATGCAGAATCTTTATGTTTGTTAATGTCTAGGACACCTCTCGGCCTTGGCCGACAGAAAAATGGCAAGTACACATACCTGGAACTGAAAGATCACTCAGCTCAACAGCAGAGAGCTCCTTCTCATGTCTTTTGGCCTTCTTCGCAAAGTGATCGCCTAACAACCGGCCGTCCATCTTGCCAATCGACTCGTCAATACCATCTTTACGCGTCGACTGTTGCTCATCGTGTTCAGCCTGCTTCTTTTTGTTTATGGTCTTCTTCTGCTTTTTCTTGCTTGATCCCTCTGCGGCTCTGCCTGTCTCGGGCTTTTCTTGCTTGGCAGCAGCGTCGTCGGCTTGTCTCTTGCGCTTGTTTTGGATCTTATTGGAAAGCCCTTTGGGGGGGTTTGTGTCGGCCATTGTGACAAGAGCAAGTAAACGTGACAAAATAATCTTCCGAGTATTTCTAAGCTTCAATTGGTAAATGCAATTTGCATTAAGAAGACTTCATTGCGCCAAAAAAAAAAAAAAAAAGGCCAGCTGATTCAGCCAACTTTATCGCGATAAGAACCTTGGAAGGGACCAATCATGTACGTACTGGCCCGCAATTGTTCCAAGGTGATGTCTAGACGCGACAGACCAACATCAACGTCAATCTTGTAATTCACCATACGCCCAGTTGGTCCAGGGTTTTATTGCCTTAGTGATCATATATGTGATCTGGTATATCTCACATGATATAACTGTGCTCCATGCGGAAAAACCAAGCGATGTCTACTTCTACCCCAAACGCGCGTGGCAGCTGGTCACCATTTAGGACCGCTACCCCATCTGGGGATGCAACATTGTCAGAAGTAGGTGCGATCCATTACATTTTAGAAGGTTGTAAAACCACTAACCATATCATCTTCCTACAGCTCCAACGCTTTCCTAGCCATACACGCTACCCTCTTACACCAAGTCGACTTGTTACTACAACCACGCCGGGCACCCAACGGTCCGCCTCTCGATACACACCAAGCACTCGAGGTGTGGGTGCGCCGGCAACACCATACGGACTCCGTGCCCGACAACAACGAGCGGCGAATACCCCTGGTCGGGATCGCCGACGAAGCGGCCGAATGCAGCGGGAGACTACATTCGATATTCTTAGAAACCTAGGCCGAGGTAAGAGAGTTTCCCCACGTACCATTCGACATCAGGAATTGAACTGATTATTCGGGCCGGGCTTAGCACTCGCTCCTGTATCTCAACCTATCCGCTCCTCGCCTCAGGATAAACCACAGCCGATTGAAGAGCCAATTGATGAATTTGAACAGCTTGATAATGAGCCAGAAATCGAGCGACCACGCTTATCCCTCCCTATTCAGGAGTCCGAAGAAGAAGGCGAAGAAGCAAGTCCTGAAATCCAACCCCCGAGGATGTCTCTCGCATTTGCAGAAGAAGATATGGATTTTACATATCGGTCTGTCGAATACCCTCGCGACGCCAGCATCAGAGACCGGGACAGGCTATCAATGATGAGCCGAATTACTGGCAGAATCAGTGGAGATTTTGACGAGACACGATTAGAGAGCGACGATGAAGATGAAAATGGTATTGTGGGCGAGGATGATGAGGCAGAGGACACAATGATGAGTGGGGGCGATTTTGATAGAGGGTGGGTATACAAGAGTTGGATTGTCTATGTTACAAAGGCTAATATCACAAATAGGGGAGAGACAGAGGACCTGGGCCGCTTCCATTTTGACCTTCACTTTCCATCTCCTGCGGCTGCTCCGCTGGAAGATCCCACTGGTGGGGATATGACCGATATGGAGGATTTCAAATTGTCCACCGCGGAGCCACTCCCAGCTCCATCAGACGACGATGACGACGATGACGCTAGAGATGAATTTGGCTTCGGACTGGACTTCCCACCCGCAGCATCCCCTAGCGAGAGCCCTGGGATTGTTGGAGGTGGACTGCGAGATGAAGCTATCCCTGCCCAGGGAAAGCAAAAGAAGATTTCACGACATGGAATTTCTATCCCAAACTTGCCTGCAGGTGTGGTAAAAAAGCTAGCGACTCGCTTTGCGCGTTCGCGGGCTGGATCAAAGGCAAAAATCAATAAGGCCACGCTAGCCGCGATCGAGCAGGCGTCCTCTTGGTACTTTGAGCAAGCAAGTCAAGATTTGGCTGCGTACTCAAAGCACGCAGGACGGAAGACCATTGATGAGAGCGATGTCACCACATTGCTAAGAAGGTCAGTTTCCTTGCAAGCCAAAATTTCATGCGAGTAACTGCTGATTTGTTCCAGACAACGCCATATCAACAAGTCAACAACCGTATTTTCCCTCGCCCAGAAGCATTTACCCAAAGAGCTTCAGCAAGACATGAGATTGGCTATGCCTCCATGAATGCCCAGAACAAAATTCTCCATAAAAAGTAACGCTTTCAACGCCAATGAATTATGCTAAGGTAAAGCTGGAATCCCACTACCCATTACCAGTTTCGGTTCTGGCGAACCCGGCGCAGTGCCTCGTTGGGGTTCTTCCGTATAACCATCCACATCATGATGGTCGTGGCCAAAGACAGGCCATACCTGCAGAGTATGAGCGAGAATCTCGATCGAGAAGGGAAAGCACGCAACTGATCCAACTTACCAGGTGAAGATGTATTGAGAATGGTTGTTTCGCAAATTTACCTCTGCGGCGCGGCCAATAGGGATACCCTTGGCCTCGCGATCATAAGATTCGACGAGGTCAGGCACTGGAAACGCAATTATTGTTAGCCATGCCTTAGGCAAATAATCGAATCTAGCCTCCTTACCCATTGTTTGCTCAATCCAAACAGGCTGGCTACCGCTCAACTCTGCCATCTGATTGATGTCGGGAAAGTAGAACTTTCCCTCTTCCGGCTTGTTGTTTGGTGTAAACATATTTTTCTTCCATGGCTCTCGTAGCAAACCCTCTACGGTCACCTCTTCATCCAGTACACCCAAAGGCCGGTCTTTTTGGTCCTTCAATTTCCTTGAGATCCAACCCCGGTTCACAAGTACGGTGCTCTGTCCCTCTCGCTCGAGGGGAGTCACAACGATAAACCCGTCCTCTCCTTCATTCATGCGGGGTCCAACAAGCATCTCTTTGTCATGACGGAAATGACCGGTAGCATACACGCGGCGATAATCGAACTCTGAGATGGCCTCTGGGTCAATTCGCGGCGGGAGTGGCAGAGGAGGCTTCACGAGACGGTCCTCAAATTTGGCCATCAGTTTTGTTTTCCAGTCCAGGCGCTGCACCTGCCATGTGCCCAGGATAAATGAGATGATAGGAATGAGAGCTATAAACATGTAGAATAATATGTTAGTAATTATCTCTTAGCTAGCACTAGACATTGACCTACCCAAGATGATCAGACCAGGTCCATGCTTCTTATTAACACGGACAAGCTTCGCCGGGTGGTCTACAATATTCAGACCATCAGCCAGCTGGCGTGATTGTGAGATACGGCGGAATTGTTGTAGGCGGAAGTTGGCGCAGATGGAATTGATCTTCGATGATACACGAGGGGTTCGAATGGTCCGAGTCGGCGGTGTCCAGACCCTCGCGGATGTTTTCTGCAAAGCAGAAAAGATCGGCCGCATTTCGACAATCAAGAAATTTGAATGAATTAATTTGGGCGGGTTAAGAGTTCGGGTTGCTTGAAAATGCGACGGCAGTTGGAATTTTGGGATCGGGGGTACCCGTGACCGCCCAGGCTTCTCCAATCTTATACTTGTCTCTCCGCACTGGCCTTCTCATATGCCACTAATCTTTACTGGAATGCGATTATGACACTTTTTTACCACGGATCCCTTCAGGAGGGCATTGCTGCTGCAGTGAGAGATGCCAAAGCGGTTACTTGCTTTGTTAGAGGTGGCTGATTTTCTCCCCGCATCGAATGATGTTGCTGATCTTTGGACTGGACAGATGACGAGGAGTTGAGCTCTCAATGGGAAGACGCTTATTTTGGTGATTATGAGGTACAATCACTCGCTACAATTGAATGTCTAGCGGTATCTGACTCCTTGCAGGTCGCGGAAGCACTCAATGCCAAAGCAGTTGTATTGCGCTTGACAGCGGGGTCACAGGAGGCTGGATTCCTGGCCTCTTTCTGTCCGATCTCGAAATTTCCGACTGCTGTCCTTATCAAGTGCGTTCATCCGTCCAAGGGGTGTTGGTTTGCTGACTTCATTCCAGGAATGGCACGCTGAAGGAATACATTGGGCCAGATGTCTCGAAAGATGACTTCCGCAGTCGATTGATTGCAGCTTTGGGAAATGAGCAGAAGCTCGGTCCTACGCAGCAACTGCGAGGGAATGACATTCCTACCGCTTCAACTAGTAATGCGCCGGCGTCAGTCGCGCCATCCAATGCTAGCAAACCCGCAAATCAAGCAATCGGTATGGCAATCGAGAAACGATCGCCGGTTGAACAAATACCCAAGAAAGCTACAGAACCTGCAAATTCAGCAGGCTCTACGCCTCAAAAGCACTTATCATCCAAAGAAGCAAGCAATAAAGACATTAAAGGCAAAGCACCGGTGGGGTCTAAGAAGCCCACTGGCAAACGTGTTGCAAAGAGCGAGCTCCAAGGGCCAAAACCTGTAGTCCCTCGAGGACCTCCGACCGAGTACCGGTTACAAGTGCGCCTGTTTGATGGAAGCTCTGTGCGATCTAGCTTTACACCCACTCAGACAATCCGAACTGATGTACGGGCTTGGCTTGATCAGAAGATGGAAGGCGACAACCGGCCCTACAACCTCAAACATATCTTAACCCCCCTCCCTAGCGAAACTCTTTCTGTCACCCAAGAGTCCCAAACTCTTCGAGACTCGGGTCTCGGTTCCACAGCGAATCTAGTCATGGTTCCGGTATCAACATACACGGAGGCCTACTCCACAGCGGGTAGCTTGCCCGTTCGTGGTATCTCTGCCGCCTACAACCTGGCGTCTTCTGCCGCCAGTACTGCAACAGGTTTTCTGAGTTCATTGTTAGGATATGGCTCAACCGCACCGGCAAATGGTGCAACCACCTCTTCGCCATCTCCGGCTACTGGCAGCTCTACTAGGATTACGGGGCCTAATATTCGCACGCTGAGGGATCAACAAGATGGACGTGAGAATACTCAGCTCTACAACGGGAACCAGGTATTTGATGCTAGTCAGAATATCTTATTCAGGATTAACTAACATCTTTCTCAGCTAAACTTCGAGCCACGAAAGAACCAGGATGACAAGGACAGATAAGTCGCGCGGTATTGCTTCGGTGTTCTTGTATTATTTCTATATGGCATTGATGGATTGGGTTAGCCCACAATACTCTGTATTATGGCACTCTGGCGATGGATTGTTCACTTTTTGCTTACTGTAAAGTTGGTAGCTGTAATACGCGACCTTGTGCATGTAATTAATACTGCTCTTTTCCATAATATTTAGATTTGATGCAGATATTAGCAGATGACAACAAAGGTAGGAAGTTCATTGAATTCATGTATTCGATTCTTGATTTGGTAGTCAAGCATTGATTTCTTTATCGAGGAGATGGTATAGAGTACAAAGAGGGGACATGGAAACGGCTATGCAAGAGAAAGATTTGCCTATGAACGATCAAGCCCATAGACCCCATCCCTTATTACTAAAAATGATATCTGTCTTTCTGACCACCAATGGTCAAATTGGTATCAAACCCTTAGTAGGGCTTGGCAGCAGCCTGGCAGGCTTTCTGTAGGACATTAGTATTGTATTAAAAAATCAGAGTAAAACAGAAAAGTGAAGACATACCAGCTGGTCAAGGTACCAACCGCAGATGCTCATGTTACCCTGGTTCTCATCCATGCAATTGCGGAAGTTGCGGACGTCAACCTCACAGGCAGGGTTTTCGTACGAGTTCTGGGCAGCGTTGCTCTGGTAGAGGCCGTTGTCCATAGCCTGGGATTGAGCAGGGGGAGCCTGCTGGGCCTCGGCGGGGGCGCTGGAGCCACCGCTGAAGAAGCCACCGATGGCATGGCCGATAGAGGAGCCGACAGCAACACCACTGTATCAAAATAACCGTTAGCGCATATGCCGGAAAACTTGATCCTAAGCCCGGATTTTATCGGGTGACGAGGCACAAAGCCGGATCTGAGACTTACGCTGCGGTTGAAGCCATCTGGCCGAAGAGTCCAGGTCCAGCACTTTGCTGCACAGGAGGGGCCTGCTGGGCCTGTGGGGGGTGAGCGGCGGTCGAGTGAGGCTGCGACTGCTGCTGGGATGGAGGAGCAGCGGGCCGAGCAGGAGCAGCGGTGGGGCGGCTGGGAGCGCTGCGCGCAGGGGTGGGAGCGGCACGGCGTTGTTGACGAGGCATTTTGAGATTATGTGTAGATTTGTTTGGACTAATGTAGAGAAAAAGTGAGGATATGCAAGTTGAGATAAGTGAAGTGCTAGTGGAGACCTCGGGAAAGAAGAAGCTAGAAGATGAGTAAGTTCGGCCACTGAGGCAAACTCCGATGCAAACCTTGGAGTTTTATGGACGCTGATTGGTGAACGTTGTCACGTGGATCGGACATTACAGTGCCGGTTGTCCGGCGGAGACAGGAACGGGGATTAGTTAGTTAGTTAGTAGTACTGTAGGAATTATGTACTACATATGTATGTACTATATTAAGAACAATAGAATGGATGTGAGCGAATTATGTCATGGAAAGGAGCAGTCGATTTCATTACTAGCTTGTGCATAGGTAGTTCCCATTGCGGAAGGGTATCTTGATTCATGGAGACATTTTAGTCTCGTACATAGTACAGAGCCACTCATCGTGGTCTCAAGATGGCCGAGGCATCCATCTAAATGGAAGCTCATGGTCGGACAGGCTTGGCAAGGCGATTACTAGATTCGACAATGCATATCGTGTCGACAAAGGTTCTGATAATGATGACGCATAGCCAATGCTATGCTTTGAGACCGCCCGGCAGTCCATCCTTAGCATTAAAGGCGCAAGGCCGTCCGTACTTAGTTCCCACCAAAACCGTGGTGCAATGCATTCATTGGGCCTTTCGAGCCTTTCGAGCTTCCTCCTTCTTCAGCCGTCGCTCCTTCTTCTCTTCTTTCAGTGTCGCCTTGTTGATTTTCCTCTCCTTCTTTGCCTTGCTGTGTTCTGATTTTTTTTCTCCTTTGAATTTCTTTTTGCTATCCTTCTCGGTCTTGGGGGGATTCGTGTCGATCTGGGGCTCTGCTGTTGTTGCAACCTCCACGCCCCCTTCAGAGTCGTCGGAGTCAGAGTCATTATTGGATTGTGCTTTCGAGGCCTCAATGCTCTTGCGGGCCAGCATGGCTGCTTTGAACTGAGCACGGGCTCGTTCTTTGGCCTGCTTTTCTGCCCGTTCCAAGTCATACTTATCATTGCCAGCCTGCGCGGAATTATTTAGTAGCCATTGCAATACAATACAATATGACAATACTTACAAGGCCGTGTTTAATGAATCTTCCTGCAGCTGCCTTGTCAAGGGTCATGGAGCGTTCCTCGGGCTCGGTCTCCAGTACCTTGATCTTTTCAAAGTACTGCTTCACACGAGTCAGTTCCCGGAACACGGGATGCTGCTTCGCATCCACACCATGAAGCCGTAAATAGGCTGTCCAAGTTCATTAGTAAAAGTAAATTTTGTAAGCGTAGTGTGACGTACAGAAGATTAGTGATTCTAGTGTGTAGGTGATCAACACTTGAAGTTTTGCTTTGTCCATAACAGGCAATTTGCTTGAGCTTTTGAGGAGTGTTTTGGCTAAAAGAGGCTGGAGCACACTCTCCAAATCATCAACATTGTCGTCCAGCTGCTCAAGCAGCGGTAGTAGATCTGTCGGCTCCATAGTGGTGAGATATGGTGTAGATGAGAAATTGCTTGATCTAAGAAAAAAAATAGGACGGATTCAACTGGGGCGGTGGGACAAGGCGGTGTGGATTCTGTGATCATCATCTGCAATTGAGATCGCCGAGCAAGTTGCGCATATCCAACAATTGCTTGATTGTTCAAAAATAGGCCTTGGTGGACACACTAGTGGCCAGGCTCTTACCTATTTGGTCATATTCATCACACAAATATCGATTTCTCACCAAGCCCATCGTTCTGACCTACTCCCGTCGCCAAACACATACTTGCAATCCAATCGGATATCCCGGGGAGATTTTCCTCAACGGTCTCAGAATGCAGTCGATATTTCGGTCCCGCTCTTTGTGTCGACCTGGTATTCTTGATAAATCTTTTCGGTTGCGGGTTCAGGTCCATGGTGGTTCAAGCACACGATTTATCTCAACATGGAAAGACGAATTGGACGAGATCAACCATGATACCAAAGTACCCCTGTCAGGCCGAGTGCATATCCTAGGAATGGGAAATCTAGGTTGCTTCTTTGCTCATTCTTTAGCCACGAGACAGTCACCACCACCAATCACAATATGCCTGCATAATGACTATCTCTACCAGGCCTTTGCTCGGAAAAGGGGACAAATTTCTGTTAGCACCCATGGCCTTGACGATGTTAGAACGGGATTTGATGTTGAAACAGTGGACGAAGAAGGAAGATGGTATACAATGCCGCCTGTTGACAACCGGCCCTCGCCGTTCAATTCCGAGTCACAGTCTCTGTCAGATAATGGTCCCATCGAGTGCCTGATTATCTGCACCAAGGCGCATCACACGGAGCTTGCCATTAAAGACATTAGCCACCGCCTGACGAAAGACTCGACTATTTGTCTCGTCCATAATGGCATGGGCGTACTCGACTCTATCAATCAAAATGTTTTTCCCGATCCCAACAATCGACCACATTACATCCAGGCAGTCTTCAGCCATGGTCTCGGGAGGAATGACTCGTTCAAGATTTCGCATTTGGGAGTTGGGACCACAATCCTTAGCCCGGTTGGAGCTCCTAATATCCCTCCCACATCACCTGAAGCTGATCATACATGGGCGCCGTCCACAAAATACCTTCTGCGCCTCCTGACTCTCACTCCGCCCTTGGTCGCTGTGGCTGATACACCGGCGGGCCTATTACAATATCAACTTGAGAAATTGGCAGTGAACTGCGTCATTAATCCTCTGACTGCACTGAGCGACTGTACCAATGGTGAAATCCTCTATTCATTCAGTTTTACCCGTGTCATGCGGCTACTACTCTTTGAGATCTCCGCCGTGATCTGTGCTCTTCCTGAACTGCAGGGCATCCCTGGCATTGAAGATCGCTTCTCCCCAGAACGCCTGCGCCGTTTGGTCGTGAACATCGCGAGCAACACGGCCAAGAACCACAGTTCTATGCAGCAAGATATCAACCAAAGGAGGTTGACAGAGATTGAATACTTCAACGGATGGATTGTGCGTCGCGGTGAAGAGCTGGGTATCAAATGCGCACTCAACTACATGATCAAGCATTTGGTCGCTGCTAAAGCGGCTACCCATCGGAGCCGAGAAGCTGGCGCGATTCCCCTTGATCTCGACAATGTTATCTCTACCAATGAGCCGCCCATTTAACAGCTCTGGGGTACCTTCTACTCTGTTGAATTCTGCCTCTGCCTTGATTCATTGTCATATCTCTCTATGTGTGAGCAGGTCGAATGATTCAATAGTAATCTAAATTCTTTACGGAGAATCCCTATACAGAGACACTTTTGGCCGCATGCTCGCAGAGATCCTTGATCTGCCTCCACCGTCTCAGCAGCATCTCTGCCTTTGAACGATGCGCTTGAACTGTAGTGTCGAGTTCCATGGCCTTCTGCAGCGCCGTTATAGTTGCATCTGCCTCTGCGGCATATGTCAGAATCCACCCCTTGATGGTGGCCTCAGATCGGCTCTCATCCAAGCCCTGTGATTGGCCTTCAAGAACATGGTTCCGCCAATCCTCCTCCTTCATATAACTCAGACATGCGGCGACCTCTGTGCGGTAACAGGGTCCATGGGGAGTGACTTGGTAGTTACTAGCGCTGTGTCAGTGGAGAACTGTATATATCGCATGGAAATTGCGCATTATCATGTAAAAGATCAAATGGAACACATACCCATAATACTGATTCAGCCACAATTCTTCTTGCTGCCCAGCGGAATGAATGTCGCGAAAAACAATGTCGTCAAGATATATCGAATCTGCTTCATTTTCATCAAGGAAGAAGCCATCTATAAAAGCGGGCGAGTCAGCATGCCGAGGTGAAGAAGATAATGACACTTTCTCACATTCTGCTAGTAAGGTATCATTTGGATGACTGCCATAGTTCATGAACACTTCATCGCCCTTCTCATAGTCTTTCGTAGCACGAAATTCGTATGAATTCTCATCGAATTTGACATCACGCTGTTTCCACCTATGTGTTAGCTCGGTCAGTATAAATGAGACCCAGACAAAGCACGTACGGCAACATCCGCATGATTGAAGTAATCAGCAAAAGGCACCAGCCCCATTGCATCATTAGGGTCTTCCGGGGTTTCTTGTCCATCCCCAATCCAATAGAAGCTCCTCGTATTTACAATCAGCCAGTTGTATGAGAATGTCTCCCAGTTGGTGTCCGGCAAGGCAGAGATGACGTCCATCCATGCTTTGCGCAGGCGCTGAGCCTGCTGGGAAACAATGTTCTGGTGGTCTGGGCTGTATTTCCTTGTCTTTGGGCCCGGCTGCAGACTATTCCAGAGCCCTGAAATTGACGTAGGAAGAAGACTTGGCTGCTGCGAGTGAGTCGGGGCGTCGTCTTTGCTGCTAGGCAACTGCGCTCCTCCCAGGGCTGTCGGCCAGAGGATGGGCATGCTGTCTTCGAAGTCTTTTCGGCTGGGCCATGACTTCCGCCATAGATCGTATCTTGATTGTTCATCTAGTGCATCATGCGTTAGATATGCCGCCAGGAGTGCGTGCACAGAAATGTCTTCTGGGAGTTTGCCGACAAAGGTGGAAGGAATATCTTCAACCCGTAGCATCAACTGTGTCGGCACTTGGAGAACAATTTCTCCTTTCTGGGCAGATACTCGCTGAGTAAGCATACAAATGAGGAGTAGATATAGATTTGGGGGTTTATACTTTGATGTTCCTGGTGGCCATCATTCCCAGCCCACGTCCTTGGAAGCGAGCCGGGGTCACCGAGTTGGTGTCTATGCCATTAGAGATTGCCCATTCAGTGAAGGCCTCATGCTCTTCCCCGGGCCACCATTCTGGCTTCATATTTGATGGATTTTGTGCTTCTTAGCGGACTTTTGAGATGCTTGCGCTAGTCAGTATATACTACGAGATCCATGGATAGGAATTGAGTTGGAGATATATACGTTTGTTATAACACACCTTCAGATGGGCCTGTTATATCATACCCTGTTCTTTCAAGACAAAAGGCCTAAAAATAATATTTAGTAGTCTCAATGGGCGTCAAAAATAATGTGTGTCTGAAATTCACTCTACAATGTGGAGCAGGTGGTTATCGGCGATAAACGGAGTTATGGTAAATTACGGCAGGGTACAGCAGCCATTTGTGCTATCCCGGTCGATCTGATAATCATACCACTTCCATTTCAGCTTTCGTTCCAAAACATGCAAAATTTCCTCTGGCTTTGGGATTAATAATGTCGGTACTTGGGAGACGTGGAGTAACTGAGCTTCGATACTTGGCTGCCAGCCCAAATCTATCAGCTGCAAGCACTCTACGGCCTTTTTCCGTTCTGAACCGCCCACCACCAAGCTACCCTGGCCATGTCCCATTGACTACTATCGAACGTGGGGCTCTTGCTGTAGGCTCAGCAATTGGATCCCTTATAAACCCTAGAAGAGCGGGTGCGTGGATTTAGTTTCTCACAGAACCAGTATAGAATCTCGGATCATGATTTAACATGATACACTATAGATCTCATTGCGGCCTTGGGCGAAGCTACTGCGACACCATTTTTCATATACCGGCTACGCGATGCCATGCTCTCGGATCCAACAGGGCGACGCATTCTCCGTGATCGCCCACGCATCACCTCGGAAACTCTCAAAATGACCCATCTCCGCACCCTCCCCGAGAACTCCGTCGGCCGAACATACGCCAAATGGCTAGACCGCGAGGGCGTATCCCCCGACACCAGAGACAATGTCAAGTATATTGACAATGAAGAATGTGCATATGTCATGCAGCGATACCGCGAGTGCCATGACTTCTACCACGCAGTGACGGGTCTACCGATTTTTGTGGAGGGCGAGCTGGCTCTCAAGGCACTGGAGTTCCTGAACACACTTCTGCCTATGACGGGGCTCAGTCTATTCGCCTTTGTGCGGATGAAGCCCGCTGAGAAGGAGCGGTTCCTCTCGTTACATCTCCCGTGGGCTATTCGCAGTGGACTGGGGAGTAAGGAACTTATCAATGTTTATTGGGAGGAGGTGTTAGAGAAGGATGTGGATGAGCTTAGGGCCGAACTGAATATTGAGCGTCCACCAGACCTAAGAGAGATTCGGAAGATGATCCGGCAGCAGCAGAAGCGGGAAAAAGAGAGGCAGCAGCAGACTTTGAACTGAGCTAGCTAGGTTGCGTCCTGTCGGAGCGATAGATCTCCAATATAGGGAGATATGTATTATTATTGGATTGTTGTAAAACATATCACCGATGCGCATGTGCGCAGATGCGAGGCGGATTGCACTGAATTCAAACCAGCTCCAAATAGTGTAATAGAAAGAGGGACCATAACGCCTGGGGTAGATTTTCCCATAGCCCACAAGCGGATAGCAACAGAGGTATCTGAATGCAATAAACAAAAAGGTCACAGGCACAAGTGATCATAAATCACATTGTATGCGACCCTTACAGGTCCAAGAGATCATCGTCGTCATCCCACCCACCTTTGCGGCGAGAGATAACGATTTTGTGCTCCTCCTCCTCTTTGCGCTGGTTCTCCGCAACAGCCGCCAGCAACTCCTTGAGCTGTTGTTCAGTTACCTTTGCCCGTAACTGTCCAGACTGGGCGAGCATGATGAGGCGGTTCTCAATATCTGTTGCACGTGATTCCTTAACGAGGCGGATACGACCAAGGCGATCGGCAGCTTCGGGGTCGAGGATTTGTGTCAGGATAGAAGCGCGTTGTTCGGCTAGGATAAATTAAAGATTGATTAGAAATACAGCAATACAAAGGACATTTCTTATAACCCATCGAATGCGAATGGACTGAGAATGTCAGATCTAGGGACCCACCCTCTGCTTGTCTTATTGGGCTCATTAGCATACAGCATATTCCTGCGACTTATCCTAGCACTTACCTCCTCTGCTGTGCCTGCTCACCACCATCCTGACCAGCTGGACCACCTCCGCGTGGACCTTGTTGCTGGAGTTGCGCGAGCCGAGCTCGTCGGATCTATTTCCTCTCTTAGTACCGGGATCGAAGGGCGCAGACCTCTCATGATATATGCCTGTAAAACTGACCTCTTCTAGCTCTGCGTCCGCCATGGTGAATATTCAAATAAAGTGAGGGGTTTGGATTGACTAAATATTGAAGAATCTAGGATTAATTTGGTGAACCCCACTTGGCTCGCCTGAGTACGGAGGGGTGCAACGACCATACTTGATTCTGGGGTAGTTTTGGACTACAAATGTATACAATAGTGTAAATGGCTAGAGTGGCTACTGGTATGGGGATTGAATTCTTCAATTGTCATGAAAGTAAAAATTCAAATGTTGTTATATATATTTTACTATACAGTCTGCCAGTTTTTGTTTTAAATTGCTGTCATTCCTCTACGGTAGAAAATGAACACCACCCCCACCAAATATCAACAATACCAGATAGAAATAATAGAAACAAAAGAGTAAATAACCGATAATAAATTCTGTTCTCACTGTATAGTATTCTATGGCATAAGAATGCCATTCCCTAGGGCCGGAGTTAAATATCACACCGTATTACTGCTACTCCATACCTGTGGGGGGAGAATCACACGTGGAACTTCAATGTTTCATACCACACCTATAGTTATATATAACTTGAGGGTGTATATTTATGTTGTATTTGTTTAATTGGCCTTTATCACCTAATTAATACATACCTTACTATTCTGTATATTAGCATGAACAGTGGACGCTATCCTGAGATAAGATCTTAACACGTACTTTGTACTTTGTATTCTCTACGCGCCTATCATACAGGCAGCCACTAAAACGCAAATATTGGGATCCATCCAACTGCGCCTTGAGGGGCAAAGATCAAATTGCAAGTAAATTAATCCGTACCGATCAATAGCTTCAGGTTTAGCTCCAAATTAATCCCCGAGGCACTATCACACGCGCCCGGGGCCTCCGGTCCGTGTCCGAGTGGCAATGCTGAATTCATCCCCTCACATTGGCCTTAAGTTCCCTACGCAGCCCAAGCCCATTTTCATATAAGATTAAAGTCTTCAACATTTTCTTACAAGTTCATAGCGCAGCCGATCCTTCAATAGTACGGGTTCGTATCCGGGTGACTAAGCTTTTCATCTCCAGGACTCGCGGTGCCAATCCCGACTTCGTCGACACCCTCAACAGGCTGATATTTCCGATCAGACCTGTTTGTGGCAATTCAATCCTTCTCTTGACTTTCAGCGCATTCATTTCTGTTGTGTCTTCCGCCATCCAACTCTCCTCATTCCCAAATCCCCCTCACTCCCAAACCCGGATTCGGCTATCTTTCAACTTATTACGTACCCGTGGGCCTACTCGACCGCACGCGCGACCTTTCTATCCTAACACTTGTCTATTTGGGTGTGAATGGCGCAGATATCAACTTGTCTACCGAGGATTTTCTAGACGTGATCTTGATCTTGCGACAAGCGAACCATCTTTTGCCTTACATTCCGAACGCCTTCTACGTCACTCACTATGGCCGAGTAAGTTATCCATCGAGACATCCTTTTTGGGAATTTAATCAATTATTGACACTTTAGGTGGGGCAGTTTAATTGCCTTTCAGACCTCTCATCATAGTTTCTTCTCACCATCCAACATGATTCCGCGCCACAAGAGGTCGCTTTCCTCCGAGCACCCATCGTTATCCTCTGACCGAACCGTCATTAAAGCGAAGTCCACTACCAATCTCTCCGACATCGCTGCTTCCAATGGAACACACAATTCTGGATTTGATGAAAGCGGTTTCAGCACCTTGCAGGATCCGCGATTGATGGTCGGGTCGGAGGTTTCACATTCGACGTCATCGCCTCAGCACCCCGATTTGAGCAACGAAGTAGCAGCATTGTCTGTGAAACTGATCCAAGCCATCAACAACCAAACAAACCTTGATGATAGCCTAGTTGCTACCCGCCAAGAGCTAGAACTAGCCCAGGGCAAGATTCAAGCTCTGGAGTTTCAGAATGAGAAGTATCGGCGAGACATTGATAACAAAGTTTATATAAAAAAGGCCGACGCTGATCGCGAAATTTCGCAATTACGGGCTGCATTAGCGGAAGAGAAGACCCAGCGTCTCGCCGCTGAAAAAGGCAAGAAAACTATTGAGCAAGAAGTGGAAACTCTTACTGCGGCTCTTTTTGAAGAAGCCAATAAGGTCGGTAATCCTTTTCAACATATGCATATGAAATGTAAACTAACTTCTAACACCATTTTAGATGGTAGCTTCAGCTAAGATCGAACGTGAGGCAGTGGAGAAGAAGAATGAGCAGTTGCGTTCACAAGTCAAAGACACCGAGTTACTCCTGGCATCGAACCAGGACCAGCTTGCCGAGCTCAAGTCTGTTATGCAAGGGATGAATCTTCAGAAAGATGATGTAGAAAGCCGTTCCACTCCGGCTCCACCATCTCCGGATGGACATTCACCAGCGCAAGGTTCTAGTAACGAAGAGCCCGAGCTTGACCCCGTTCCTATATTGATTGACAATACCGAGGAGCTCACTCCGGGGCCTTCCTCCAGCTTCCCGCAGCTCCTCCGCATGGTCTGCCGGACGGATTTGCAGGCTTATGAGGATTTCCGCGATCTCCTTGTACTCTCTCGGAGCTCCAAACCTCCTAGCCGTGCTGCTAGTGGATCGTATGGAGGCCTGAACGTGATGGGGCTGGCAAGCTTTGCTAGCGGAGGATCTCCGTCGGCGACCTCATCACCCACCAAGGGGTTTACCCATTCTCCCAATGGGAGCACGTCTTCTGCAACGGGATCACATTTTTCCTTAAAGGAAACTCGCTTCTACAAGCGCGTGCTTCTGGAGGATATTGAACCTACATTGAGACTAGATCTAGCGCCGGGGATCTCATGGTTGACCCGACGTACTGTTCTAAGTGGTATTTGCGAAGGCAGTCTTGTCGTGGAGCCAATGCCCCCACAATCCAAAGTATTCGAATTCCCTTGCTCTGTCTGTGGTGAACGCAGACCTGGCACGGCTAACGCGAGAACCCATCGTTTCCGAACTTCAGATAGCGAGACCGCTCAAAGGTACTCACTTTGTGTTCTCTGCTTAGAAAGAGTGCGCTCCTGTTGCGAGTTCACTGGTTACTTGCGTCTCATCCTTGATGGACACCTTCGGGCTGGCGATACTGAAGAAGAAAAGGAAACATGGGATGAGACCATCCGTCTCAGAGAGAGGATGTTCTGGTCCCGTATCGGAGGAGGAATCATTCCCTTGTGCAATCGCCCAAGCGAACCAGAGACGGAGCTGGTCAGAACAGAGTCTAATACTGGCGCCGAGGACGACGATGACCGGTATCTTCATCCTGTGGACGTTACTTACCTCGAGCCCAGGATAGAGGAATTATCTCCAGCGGAGGATGAACTCGCACCGGAAACACCAATCACAGAATCCGACACTGATCATATAACCCACCCTGATCTTCCTCGACCTCAAAGTTCTATCTATGACAGGGACGATGCTGCTTCCTTGAGTGACTCGGAACGTAAGCGAGTTTCTATGGATTCCGTAGCAAGCGTTTATGAAGAGGCTAGCGCTGACGTGGATACCAATTCCACGATACCTGTTCCCAATGAGCCCTCAATCATTCAGAGTCGAGACACAGACACAGATCTTGCAAAACCTAATGGTTTGAGCAACCCTTGACCTCTGTTGATCACAAGCGATCGACACGAGTGAGATGACTATACGGTTTACCCAGCATTTAATGATCCGCCTAATGTCTTCCCCTATTCTTTGGCATTGCATCCTTCGGTCACTTAATTCTCGTCTGCTTTCCCGCGTTGATACAGACCTCTACCTTTACTTTAATTACCCATTAGATTACATCTTGATGATGTCCTTCATTGGTTCTGGCCTCTTGGGTATCCATCTCTTCACAATCAGCAACATGGCCTCTTGTATTACTATCAACCTTTTCACTTCTGACCATGTATACATACTAATCCGTTTTGTTTTCCCTTCTCTCTTTTTTTTTTTGCGGACATTTGGACCAGGTGTGGCATTTGTGATCTTCACACTTTCTGTTCTTTCCCCCCCACCCTTTTTTTTTTTTTTTGCCTCTACTTCTGACTCGCGGGAATACTGGTCCCGGGCCCCATTGGTGGTCGAAGTATCGTCATAAATGATAGATGAATTTGAATCAAATTGCATAAATAGATGATATATACCTTAGAATAATATACCGTAGAAGATGCAAGCAACACATGCCAATTACCAATCTCCAAAGGATCACCACTAGAAGTTAAATAGAGAATGGGAATACACATAGACCAGACAGGATGTTTCGTGAGGTTAGAGTAAAAGAGGGCGCTATTGTACACAAATAGAAACAAAGAAGCTCATCATCCAGATTTCATCACTCCCAAACTCCACAAATGGCAGAAAAGACATGTTCGAGATAGAAAAACCCCGCGAAACCTCAATTTGAAACGAGAACATCCCGTCTGAACTTCATGTGGCCGGGGGATATCATTTCTTGGCAAGCTGATGAATATGTCTGAGCTGGTCTTCGATGTTCATACTCTGGACGTTGGGATTCTGCACACCAGCTGGAGCGTTCGGGTTTTGTGGGCCAGCTGAGCCATCGAGACCCATAGCCAGTCGCTTGCGGCGATCTTCCTCCTCTTGATCGAGAGGAGAAGGGTCGAAGACGTCGGTGCGCTGGCTTGCAAGACGCTTGAGGTTGTTGACGACATCGACGGTGGAGAGGTTGGTGGTGGCACTGCGGGCTTCGGCCTTCGCACGCTGTTCTTTCCAGCGCGGGTCGAGCAGCTCGATACGGATGTGCTCGTCCAGCTCGGCGAAAGGCACTCTCTGGTTGCAGTAAGGGCAGATCGCCATCTGGGCTTGTTGACGGCGAGCCTGGGCTCGGGGCACGTAGTCTGAGCGGATGCGCATTGGCTGTTGACCGGGGATGGCCGCTGCCTGAGACGCGGCGGCTTGGTCGCGCGCTTGGGTTCGTTCACGGATGCGCTGGTCCTCTTCAGCGGTGGGATACTGGCCTGGTGGGGGGTATGGGCCTGGTGGGTAGGGAGAGACCGAGGGGTGGGGGGCGTGCATGGGTGCGGGGTGAACTGGGTAGGCGTTGTAGTAGACAGGTTCGTCGAGGCCGGTGGGCATCGCTTCCTCAATGCGTCGCATGTTGAGGGACATTGCTGCTTTTTGCTCGAGGGAGGCGGACTGTAGGTCATTGGCTGAGGTCGGTGGTGGCAAGTCGGCGTGGTCGTCGTGCTCAGTGAACTCGACGGTTTCGACCACGACGAAGTCTTGCCAGTCGATCTGGGCGTACTCAATCCGTTCCTGTTCACTTTGCTCTTCCTTCTCTTGCTTTTGTTGTCGTTGGTATTTCACCCATTCCGCCCGCTGCTTCGCACGTTCCATGACGTGAAATTTGTTCTTTGCATTTTGTTCTAGTTCTGCGATTCTTTTTGTGGCTGAAGTTGCCTCATCAATTCCCTCTGCGCGAAGCAAGATAGTGTATTGGTCAACCAATCGCGTGAAGAATTGGTACAGACTATGCTGTGGTCGTAAGAAGTCGAATTGGAAATTTCTGGCCTCGCGCTGCGACAGCGCAGTCATGAATGACTTTCCTCGCTTTGCGACGAATAACGCTGTGTGCTTGACCACGTCCAAATCCTGTGCATTGATAATCGGCATGCGCGCCGAGAAGTGGAACGAGGCTGGTTCAGGTGGCCCCTTGGGCTTTTCGGGTTCCGCGGCGGCGACAGACTCGCCAGCTCGGCCAGCTAATCCTGCTACTCGGCCTGCTTTGTACTCGGCTGTATACCATTGATAGTAGGGCTCATATGCATCTCCAGGGGTTAGGAAGGAGAACTTGTAGTTGTTCTTTTCCTTCTGGCGGATACGGTCTTCAAAAGTACCCTTATGGCGAACGACGTAGCTTGCTGTGGTCTCAATGGCTTTTCGGATATCCTTTGGAGGAAGAACCATGCCCTCTGGAGGCTTTAAAGTCCCCTCGGACCCTTCTGGATGAGGTGTATTCGCATTTGACGGTTCCATTGTGAATGGTAAGGATATGAAAAGATGGGGGTCTTGTTAATAGGATCGCAGATCTATCTAGGACTTGCTGACTAGCCTTCACCAGCCACAATTGATTTTCACCGCCACAGCAAGGGCATTACTGTGGCGCATGTGGCTGTGTATTCCGTGTGCGGCTATATTTCCTGTCTCTTCGCATTTTGGCCCTTCTCCACTGCCATGTAAGTCCAGAATAGGGAATGTTTATTTTGTTTCGGTTTTCTTTTCATGGATATAGTCAATTGATATCTCCAGATCAGCTAAGAATTATTTATCTATCTATATATGTATATCTATAGATTAGATATATCGATATCCAAAAAATGTAGCTTAACTTTTAAATCTCACTAGTAAAGACCGTTACAATACTAGGGGACTTAAAACTAAGGGGGCCGCTCACATGCCCTCCACAGCCGCCGTCGATCTGGCCTCAAGGCGGAATTGCACGCTTTCATCCATCTTGTGTTCACTTCTATTCTTGTTTTTCAACATCTTTTTTTCTTTCTTACTCTCTCTTCAGCAGCCACTTTTCTTTAATTTCTTATCTCCCTGTCATGGGGCTGTTTCCCTCATTGTTACACGATCATTAACCGGTGCCTGAAGCCATTGAACTGTTGACAGCTCGAGGTCGAAAGCAGCTTTTGACAGCGTCCACCCTTCCATTAAACCTTGAGAAGCCTTTCATTAACGATCTAACTATAACCCAATTACACGCAATTCTCCTATCATTTCCCCTCGACATTCCGACTCCCGCGCTGTTCTCCTGAACCGCTGACGTCGTTCCACACCCACCTTTATCGGAACAATATGGGACAGAAATCCAAAGACACATTGGCCGTACGGCCTCAGAGCCGTGGTAGGCGCTCGCCCAGTCGGTCGCCCAAACCCAAGAGCCGCAAGCCTTTGGCGGTGCCTCAGACATATGCCTCGGATGGAGTGAAGAACAATGATATCTTCAAACTCCCCGGCTCGGATTATAAGCTTCTTGTACTGGTGACTCTGATCGCTGCGGTTGTTCGCCTATTCAGAATCTATCAGCCCACCAGCGTGGTCTTCGATGAAGTCCAGTACGTTCCTCACCAACCTTTTGTCATAAATCGAAATGAAAATAAACAGAGACTAATATTTTGCGCTTCAACAGCTTCGGTGGATTTGCTTCCAAATACATCAAGGGGAAATTCTTCATGGATGTACACCCCCCGCTAGCTAAACTACTACTTACGCTGGCTGGCTGGCTGGCTGGCTTTGACGGAAACTTCGACTTCAAGGATATTGGCAAGGATTATTTGGAGCCTGGTGTGCCCTATGTGGCAATGCGTATGCTTCCAGCTATCCTGGGTGTTCTGACTGTCCCATTGATGTTCCTCACCCTCAAAGCTACCGGGTGCCGAACCTCGACTTCACTCCTAGGTGCTGGCCTTGTTATCTTCGACAACGCTTTGGTCACTCAGTCCCGTCTGATTCTGCTCGACTCCCCGTTGATTTTCTTCACCGCTCTGACAGCTTTAGCCTTCACCTGCTTCACCAACCAACAAGAGCTGGGACCGCCTCATGCCTTTCGCGGCCCGTGGTGGTTCTGGCTGGTGTGTACTGGTCTTTCTCTTGGAGCAACCCTGAGCGTGAAGTGGGTTGGTCTCTTCACTATGGCTTGGGTTGGATCTCTCACGGCTCTCCAATTGTGGGTACTGTTGGGCGATGCTAAAAATGTCACTCCGGTATATATTTCCAGATTCAAATTAACTCGTATTTTATGCTAACAAGAGGATTGTTACAGCGTCTGTGGCTCAAACATTTCTTCTCCCGAGTATTCTGCCTCATCATCATTCCTCTAGCCTTCTACCTTGCCATGTTTGCCATTCACTTTACATGCTTGGTCAACCCCGGAGAAGGTGATGGCTTCATGTCATCGGAATTCCAGGCAACTTTGAACTCAAAGTCTATGCAAGATGTTCCCGCGGATGTCTCCTTTGGATCCCGAGTCAGCCTCCGCCATCTGAACACGCAGGGCGGCTATCTGCACTCCCACCCTCACATGTACCCAACGGGTAGCAAGCAGCAGCAAATCACGCTCTATCCCCACAAGGATGAGAACAACTTGTTTATTCTGGAGAACTCCACTCAACCTCTAGGTCCCTATGGAGTGGTCGAGGGCCCGCTCGCTTGGGACAACTTGACTGCTCCTGGTTTCATTGAAGATGGCTCGACTATCAGACTTTACCACTCGATCACTCACCGAAGAATCCACTCGCATGATGAGCGCCCTCCCGTGACCGAGGCCGACTGGCAGTATGAGGTCTCTGCCTACGGATACGAAGGCTTCCCTGGTGATGCTAATGACTTATGGAGAGTTGAGATTGTTAAGTCCATGTCCGAGACCCCAGAGTCTAAGAAGCGCCTGCGGACTATCCAATCCAAGTTCAGGCTAGTGCACGTCATGACTGGCTGTGTCCTATTTTCTCACAAGGTCAAGCTTCCGGACTGGGGATGGGAGCAGCAGGAAGTGACATGTGCAAAAGGTGGTACTCTTCCCAATAGCGTTTGGTATATCGAGTCCAACTACCACCCTGCTATGGCCCCAGACGCCGAGCGAGTCAATTACCGGAACCCCGGCTTCTTGGGCAAGTTCTGGGAATTGCAGAAGGTTATGTGGACCACGAATGCCGGTTTGGTTGAATCTCACGCCTGGGATTCTCGCCCATCTTCCTGGCCTACCCTCCTTCGTGGCATCAACTTCTGGGGCAAAGATAACCGCCAAATCTACCTGCTTGGAAACCCACTTATTTGGTGGTCAACCACTCTGGCAATTGGAATCTATTTCGTTTTCAAGGCTCTCTCCATTGTTCGGTGGCAGCGAAGCTGTGATGACTACAAACACACATCGTTCAAGCGGTTTGACTACGAGATTGGCACAAGCGTGTTGGGCTGGTTCTTCCACTATTTCCCGTTCTTCCTCATGGCGCGCCAGCTCTTCTTGCACCACTATCTCCCCGCTCTTTACTTCGCCATTATGGTCCTCTGCCAAGAACTTGACTTCCTCACAAACCGCATTAAGAGTTTGGGGCTTGCATCGAAGCCTTTGATTGGCAAGGCTCTGATGGCAATCTTCCTGGGTCTTAGTGTTGTCGTGTTCACCCTCTACGCTCCACTCGTGTATGGCAACCCCTGGACCAGGGATGCCTGCAACCAGGTGAAGCTGCTCGGATCCTGGGATTTCGACTGTAGCACCTTCCACAGCGACGTAAGTGTTCCGGAATGGAGACCTCCCCGGCGAGGTTATTAAACGAATCGACGAGACCACGACTAACATGGACTTTTAAACGCCACTAGTTGAGCCAGTACATTACTCAATATGTGCCGAACGTGCCGACAGTGGCTGCCCCTACGACTGCAGCTCAACCACCACCCCCGCCACCACCAGTCCAGGCTCAAGAGCCTGCAGGTGAAGCTGTCCAAGCCTCAGAACCAGCGGCTGTCACTGCACCCAAGATCCAAGGCTCCATGGCGCGTGTTGAGTACCGCGACCAAAACGGCAAAGTTCTCGACGAAAACCTGGTAGCCTCGCTCCGAGCAGAGGGTAAAGTGAAGTTCGAGACTCGCTATGAGCCTGGTCAGCCTATGGAGAACGCCCATGATGTTCCCGTCGTCGATGGCCAGCTCGCGCCCCCGCACCCAGATGTGCAAGGCCAAAATCCTGAGACTGGCAGCGTGTTCGGGAACTCCGTGCCTCCTGAGAGCCCCGCGTCTGTGGCTGATAGCATCGAACGCTCTATTGAGCAGTCAAGCTCCATGGAGGCTAAGCCTGCTAGTGAGGGTAATGAGGCCACTAAATAGTGGTCGCGTGGAAGATAAAAGCGTAAGAGAGCGGACTTTGCCATGTATAATGAGACTCCCTAGAGTACTTGTCTATTTCTCTATGAGCTTTTTCTTTAGTGTTGCCATAATTGACACTAATACCCGCTGATTTTGGGCTGTATATCGTAACGACAAAGCTACATAGTTGGCCATTTTTAGCGATTATGCAACCAGTTTGTTAGGTACCTATGTAGGTATGGTTGGTACCTATGTAGGTATGGTTCTACTCAGATTATTGCCAATTTAACCTTGCAACCAAGCCAGTAGAGTACGGATATAACACAAGAAAGAGACCTATTCCCAATTGACACTTCATCTGAATACGGATACTATGCACAAATCTCTTGCTATCCCAATAGCAAGTTCACGCAGCCCTCTCCTCTCCCCGGTCTTAGTGTACATCAGCCGGCCGTAAGAAACGACGATTCGCTCCATTCAACTTCTAAAGGCACTTCTTATGGCCAATCAATAGCCATCTAGTAGTCCCACTCCTCCTTACCGTACTTGTTGAATCTCTCGTGGAGGTCCTGATAGAAAGAAGCTAATGTCAGCAATTCCCCACCAAAATAGCCAAGGTGATCGGTGCTTGAGCGATCCCATGTATGGCATAAAATAGAAAGGTCCAACGAATTCATACCTCAGGCAGGGTGACATTGGGAACAATGACGGTGTTCATGGCGCTAGGAGCAGCGCGGAGGGGCTGGCTTTTGTCACCGTGAGGGTGGTACTGGTACTTGTAGACCTTGCCATCCTCGGACTTGCCCTGCCAGGGCATAGCGCTCTCGCCAATGCGAACATTGCTCTCAGAGTTCACGGAGGTGGGCTTGCGGCCGAAGTACCTAAAGTGTTGCGAATACCAAACTGATTAGCGACCGCGGTGCTTGCTTTCTATTGTATTTGCGTGTGCCATTGAGGGTGGGAGGTCGATCGAGTAAAAGCCCGAAGAAGTGCCGATACGTCACAATGGCGCAAATGGGGCGAAATATTTGGGCACGAGGCATTGTAGGGCAATTTCGGGAGGGATGCTCACCATCCGGCAATCAGGAAAGCACCAGACATGACACCGAGAAGAACCTAAAAGCCCATTAGTTAGAATGAAAATTTCGGGGTAGTTCAATGGCTTTGTGGGA